ACTGGCATACTGGGATGCACATTCCTTACGTAGGAATGGCCAGCCATTTTCAGAACGGTCAAATCACTGGTCCAGTTGGCAGTTTTTGTGAAGCGATTTTCCCTTCAAAGTGAACCGATACAAGCGATACAAGCGATATCAATCTCAGCTAAACTGAAGAAAAGATGTCCTTGTTTCACTCCAAGATGTTTTTTTTACATGTTTGTTTTGCCAAAAAATATTGGATGCAAGCCCTTGAAACTGACCTGACTACTCCCTGGTTGAAGGACCGAGGCCCCATTGACTACTCCCAAAGTGATGATGGTGATGTGATTGGATTACGGATTGTAGCCTGAACAATTCTGATGAAACCATATTTAGTGGGGTTTCAAATCCAAGTACCCTCTGGTAAACTAACATAACTATGGAAACCATTTTTAATGGGAAAATCCACTATAAATGGCCATTTTCAATAGCTACATTAAATTACCAGAGGGTAGATAGTGTCATGAAATCGTTTAGATTGGATGAAGGACTCGTCTAAAGTAGGAAACTTAGGCCCGGTGCCTGAGCTAAGACCCTGCATTTGATGTCAGGGCACAACAATTTTCCCTATAGCATGTTGATGGTTAGATAATCCCAACCCGATCTTTGCTGAGTGTTTGTCACCATTGATGTTCAAATTACCACATCTTTTCAACTTATTGAGCCCCTCTTAAGTTGGCAGCTTGCCATTGGGGGGGTTAGCCTTCAACTTCCGCGAATCCTGTGAAATCCCATGAAGTTCCATGAAGTTCCATGAAATTCCAACCCCAGGAAATTCCATTCAACCCCATGAAATCCTATAAATCCTAGAAACAAACACACTCTTCATCGGAAGCCATCGCTCCAGGTAGTTCATGCTCATTGCCCCAAGGGCTTAGCCGGGATTCCCAGAGATGGATGACAAAGTCGCTACAAAAAGCTATTGAAAATAGCCATTGATAGTTGATTTATGTTGATTTACCCAATAAAAATGATGATTTTCCATAATTATGTTAGTTTGCCAGAGGGTAAATATATTCAAATCAGCCCGATTATTACAATGAGATCTTCAACTGCTAAAAGTTGATGACTCTGAATTGTTTAGATGATTTAAACAACTATAAAGCAACTTGTGCGATTGATGATGTTGCCATAGCTAAGTTGGTGCCCTCCGTGAACCTCTTGACAAAACAACCTGAGCAAATTCACATCGAAAAACTAAGAACTGGAACATCAGTAGCTTCGCTTACAGCACTAGGCCTTGTGACAGAGTCCCAGGCACCCAGTAAAACTGCCAGTGAAACCGGGTCCGGGGTTAAGCACCACAAAAACCCAGTGTTTCACACGCATTTGTTGCTGGATCTTTGTCCCCAAAAATAAGTGCCCTGTGTGAAATCACCGTTTTTTGCTAGTTAGACCCAATGTTTGATGTTTATGGTTAAGTTACATCCTTTGCGTTCATATAATGTGGGGCCCCACAGATATAAGTTGGTTTATAATGCCCTCCGACCATAAATACGTCCACCAGAAATCCTATCCAATAGCTATTAGGGGTTTTCAAGCAACTTATCTTGGGGTGACCAGCTTCTCCGACATCTGGCAATGATCTGGCAATGGACCGGCAGTGGAACTTTTTTTTGATGATTGGAATATTCGCAACATCGATGTAACAAAAGAAAGACAGTAAACAACGGAACATCCAGGGTACGAATGTTCCAACGTTGTCCTATGGTTTTCCCATGGTTTCCCTATAGTTTTTCCTGGTTTTCCGATACGTTAAATCACCATCATACGGCTATAATCCCTGCCGTGGAGATACTCATGGTCTAATAGTAGGACAAACAAATCATCCCAAAGCACATATCAGGTGAATTTAGTCACATCATTCAGCCAGGATTTTCGGGGGCCCCGTAAACGCTGATGGTTAAGTTATCATCCATTATATTTAGGATTGTTATTAATATGGGTATGGATCAATACCTATTAATACCATTTTTAGGGGGATTAACATCCATTTACCAGCTATTTGATGTTCACCAGGGGTACAAGGTTTTGACACACTGCCATATTGGTGTGACTTAAAATTGGATATAACACCCTCTAATTGCAATTTTGATACGGCAAAGGATGAAACCATTATGGTTTCTGTTGGTTTCCCCGAAATTCTCGGACAAGGCCATATGATTCACAACGAATTCGAAACCGACTGTATTCCCATGGTTTTATTATGTTCCCCATTCAAAATACAATTCTTATGTGTGTCATAAGTTTCTCGATTAAAGGCCTACAAACACTCTACAAACATGTTAGGTTTCTCATCATTTTCCCTAGATTTTCCAGGGCGAGCACAGGTGAAGCTATGCAAAGCGGAATCCTGGAGTTCTGAGTCCTGGTAATCCTATAAATGCAATGTATCAGTGACCCTTTACCAGTTATAAGTATTTATAACCTCATTTGGAGGTTTCCATAAATGGGGGGTACCCCATTTATGGATGATTTATAATGGAAAATCCTACGAAAAAACGGATGATTTGGGGGTACCCCTACTAAAACGGAAACCTTCATGTATGGAATGTATTAAATCCCATAGAAACAACCAGTTATAACTAATAGCCATGGCCATAACTGCAGATATATCTAAATTTCCGAGTTCAGTAAGTTCATCAGCGCATGGACAGCTTGCTGCGTGAACGACCCAGGAGTCCACGATCTGCTCGCACTTCGGGCGAGCCAAATCTCTGTATCCGTAATTAAAGACGACATCTACCGAAAAGAAGACGGCATCTGAGTGCCCTGGCCAGACGTGACCGAAGAGGAAGTTTCTGCAATCGCCAATCAAGCCTTGGACAATGCAGTGCTCTTCCAGGCCTTAGGTGGCTTCACTATGCTGTACTATGATTAGGCCAAGATGTGCTATGATCATCTCTGAGAATAATCTATGATAATCTATCTTAATCTATGATATACTCTGATATACGATGATGTACTATGCTAATCTATGCTGTACTTTCTTTCGTAGGCTTTGGGAATCAGCGTTCAACTAGTATGTCATATTTGATGATGTTTGATGTATACATATTTATAAATAGTATATTCTTATGATATAATATATATATATATACGCAGTATTTTATGGTAACCTTAATGATATGTTGTTTCATTTTTTGGTGCAAGGTCATGGCATTGGAGGGCGATGAGAAGCCCAAGGGCATGCCCGGCACCTCGGGGACCGAAAACAAAAGACCGAGCTCGGAATGGGAGAAACGTTGGGAAAATCGATGGGAAAACCCATGGGAAAATGGTGGGAAAACACATCAAACATGGAAAATTCTGGGAAGATCGGAGAATTTTTGAAGATCGAAAACGGACCATCGGACATCGAAAACGACTGGCCATGTTCAGTGTCAAGTGGTTTGAGCAATGTCAGCACTCATGGGGATTAGCAATTAGCAAAGTTATAAATCGACTGACTTACCTGCTATAAATCAAGTAGAAATGCCAATGTTGGTTAAATCCCCATAAACCCTAGCTATGGCGCTATGGCCACAAAAATCTACCATTAATCCCATTCATATCCCCCACTATTAATCCCATATGTCTCCACTTTATCCCCATAAATGCCGATAAATGTTGGTTTATTTCCCATTCAATTCCCATGATGTTCATTGAATCTTACGAAATCCTAGCAAAAACCGAACCCATTACCCTCTGGTTATGACTAACAGTTCGCCATGGTATAGCTGGCCCATAGAAATAGATGGTTTACCTGGGTTTACCTATTAATAGCATGGTGATTTTCCATGGCGAACTGTTAGTCATAACCAGATGGTAAATCCAATTGAAGCCTTGCTGACTGATCAGTTGTCAGGCTGGACATGAATGACATCTCCCGCAAGGTACCGAAACGCGCCGGTTTTTTTCCAGGTCTGTGAGTGGATAGTGGTTGCAGTCACCAGCTATTTCTGGGGCATCAACGGTTTTTGATGTGTATCTGTATATTCTATGTACTGTACCCGGCCTGGTAATTTGTTACGTAGCTATTGAAAATGGCCATAGAAATAGTTGATTTACCCATAAAAATAAAAATGTATTTGTTCATAGCTTTTCCTGAGTTTACCAGATTGTACATTATATATATATATATCCACATGTATGAGTGGATGTAGAATCACCATTAGTGGATTATCATGTGGATGTGTGGATCATATCTCCGAACATCAAACTGTTTATGTGATGACTTGATGTGTATTGAATGGCTTACAACATGTTACAACCCATTTGCTAAATCACCAGTCAACTAGGCTGGTTTGTCCGAACATGTTGAGTAAGACCTGCAATAGCCCCCCTTAAGCTCCCCCTTAAGCGCCCCCATTGGTTAATCATAATTTTCCCTATTAAAGTTGCCAGAAACGGGTGGAATAACTTATTTTCAGACACACCCGTACAATGGGGATGAACCATTGATTAATGTTTTTTTAATGAACTTGTTCAAAAAACATGACTGCTCCGAGCTTGTATAAACGACTCCACCATGACACCACCAGAAATGTGATTTAAAAGGGTAAGTGTCTCAAAATAGCCTTATTTCAGGGGTTTCAGATAGGTGAATTGCTATGATTTAGTCAGATGCATGGTGGTTAAACCAACAACAAGGTTGGTTCAAGCAACAAGTAACCATCAGTGGGGATTGATCCAAAGATAATCAAGGTTGCTCGAACCTACTACAGGTAGATCATTGCCAAAAAGATGATGGGAAATGGTTGATTTTACTAAATGTTCGGCAATGGTAACTGGGTCGTTTGAGAGCAACCGAGCAAGCTCCTTCACATAGGCCCCAAAAGTAACGGGGTTTCTAGGGCATGTTTCAGATTGGGGAGGAGACACTGGTTAGGATGAGAAATCTGGTATTCAACTGATTCAGCCAGTCAAAATGATGATTGGAACCCAGTGGGTACCTCATTTCCCGCCAGAAATCCTCGCACAAGTGGGTGGACAAGATGTTCCCTGTGGGTACCGAGATGAAATGCTTCGTGGTCGGGCGCCCGGATATCAATACCAGATGGATTGGATATCCATACCGCTAGGATTTGCTGATGGGATCCATTCTCTCAATGGGAAATCCACTACTTGGGGAATATTCCTATGGGAATATGTTGTTTTTGTTTTTGTTTTTGTTGGGTTCTTAAGCAAATCCAAGACTACCGGGATTCTGGGATGTACTGATGGTTTGCCATCCAACATGGGGAGAACATGTGAACCATAACTACTGACGTTGGTCCATCCGACTTCATAAGGGATGGCTGTAACCCTCTGGTAAACATACAAAAAACTACGGAAAGATCCACCATTTTTCAAGGGTAAATCCACTATAAATGACCCATTTTCAATAGCTATGTTAGTTTACTAAGGGTAACCCTCAGCTATAACCGTTGATATTCAGAGTGATTTAATTGTTGTCGATCTCCCAAATGCGGAGTGAAACACCAGTTGGAAGTATGAATGTGGGATCCGCAAAAGTCACCATCCCCTTATTTTCTGCGGGAGAATATGGAACATATACAGAAATATGGTAATATAATGTATATAGTAGATGTGATATGAATAATATATATAATTATATATATATACATATAGGTCATACCCTACGATGCTGCTCGCCTTGAACTTCCCGGACCTGGAGAAACATTTGCTCTCATGGCAAATTGCCAAAGACTTGCCAAAGGGCGCATCCATAGGGATCGACAACTCTGGTCAATGGGCCACAGCCAAGCTGAAGGAATATCCACCTGCGCTTTGCGGCGGGCTCAGCGAGGCTTTTATTGCTGTCCACCGTGCACACGCCACGGACACAGCTTTCGGTGTCAGCCATGAGTTCCACTCCCGCTGCTCTCACATGGAAGCGACGAGCTTCGGTGATGTAATCGGACGCGATTACGCTGGCTGAGATTCAATCCCTTGTACAGTCATTGCATTGGCCGCATCGAAAGATCCTATGTGCCAGTAGCAAAAAAAATAGATTCATACGTAATTTTTCATAATAAGATTATCCAACTGTTTATGGGTTGATGGGATATTTAACCACGGCACATGACACAACTAGAAAATGCTCTGATGATTTTCGGTGGGCCATGGATTGTGGCCAACGGATGTTTGAAATGATTTAGAGCTGTGAAAATCATTGAAAATGGGGTAAAACAATCATAAACCACCCATTTAGGAACGGTTTATAGGATCTATTTATGGTGATTTGGGGATGGTTTATGACGTTGTTTTACCCACATTACTTGCAGATTGTTCCGTTGCCACGCTTGATTACGTAAAAGCACCAAGGTGCTAGTAGCTGGATCGCCAAGCATATCCAAGGTAAATTGGTTTATAACCCTATATAATCCTATATATATATATATATGATATATATTATATGTTTACATAAGTATAGACACATCCATCAGATTGTTTTGCTCAACTAACCTACTTACAAACAAATCGCCTAGATTATGTGTTGTTTTTTGTAAAAATCAATGATGGGGCAGGATGATGTGCTTGATTTTATCTAATGCCTCAGGGTTGTGTCCACCTAATTGGTTGTAACAAGTTATATAGACTAAAGCCCTGCTATGATTTGGGTTTGTCCTGAAGTATGGCTGGTGAATTTGCAACTAGTTATATAGTTTGATGTGTAAAATGATGTTGTAGACCATGGGGTGGAATGGGCTAGCACAAATGCAGAGGAATCAGTTCGGCATAGTTCGGCTCGCATGGTAACTGGGTTGCTGGCGCCGCAAACAGAATGATACTTGCCAAAAAGTCTGGCAAGATAACCCCTCAGATCTTCGACTATTAGTAATTGGGCTATGAATCCCTTTCTGCGGTCAGAATAAAACTCTTCAAAAAGCATTGGTCTAGTCTAGTTACCATCTGGTTATTTAACAGTTCGCCATGGAAATCACATTTTTTAATAGGTAAACCATCTATTTCTATGGGCCATCTATACCATGGCGAACTGTTAGTCATCACCAGATGGTAGCATCGGATATCATCGGTGAAGCCATTCCAAAGGATGATCAGCAGCCCATTTCTGGGCAAAGCCACTTATAGCTATCCAAAATGTCAAAAGCATATTTCAAGAGTTTAACAAGTTTAACACTGCCCAAAATGGTTTTTTGTTATTCTGGAGGATTATGATTGGACCAGGTGTTTCATATACCAACTTGCCCATATTCAGTGGAGTTCCCCTCTAACATGGCACAATTCACTGATGGCTAGTAGTGTTAGTTATTCCCAAATGCTCTTTATTCAAGTGAGGCCTTTATTCAAGTAAGTGAATTGTTACAATGTACCAATCCGTATGATGTATTATAATTTATATGTATATATAGTATAATAAATATATATAATAAGAATAGTAATAATAATAATATATAATAATATAATATAATATAATATAATATATATAATAATATATATATATAATATAATATATATAATATAATGTGCAATTGTGTGTATATATATATATGTATACTTATCTTCTACAATACAAGTATTTAGTAGCTGTAGCAGGTTCATGGGCTCGCCTCCGTTGATCGTAAGTGATCGTTGCGTCTAAGGTGCACGCGGACAAGAGGAACGGGCGTATCACTTTGAGTACCAAGGAGGGTCCGTTTTCGCTGGAATTGTCCCAAGAAAAATCGCCACACATTTTCAGGTTCAGTTGGTGTATGAGAAATGATCCAGATATATCCAGATGATTCGTAAGTGTTGGATCTAAGTTGGATGGTCCTGCGTGATCTTGGCCATTAATTTTGCGGGGTGTCTTGTTAAATCTGGTTGGTGGTTTGGAACATGTTTTATTTTCCCCAATAGTTGGGAATAATGATCCCAACTGACTTTCATATTTTTCAGAGGGGTAGGTCAACCACCAACCAGTGAATACTTTGCAGGGTTTCTCAAGTTCGGCACGGGGCACGGCTGGGGCTGGGACCCCGTTCAGCTGGGTCCGTTTTGGAGGAGTTTGAGGATGACGATCACGTGACTGGCCGATTTTGGGGACGGCTACGTTTGGTGAGCCAAACGATATAGGTAAGTTGGTGAACAGAACAAATATGATAACTTAACAAATATGATATATATATATATATGGGGGGTTCCATAAATGGGGGATCCCCAAAATGGGTATTTTATAATGGAAAATCCTATATTAAAATGGATGATTGATGATTTAGGTGCACCCCCATTTTTGGAAATATATAATAAGTTGGTTTTATGCTAATTACAAACATATACTTAATTGCCAACAAATATCGCTTGGAGTGGACCACCATGTAGATTAATTGCGGGGACCCCCAAACACATATTGATATATCAATTAGAGCTACAACTTATTTGGTAAAATAGCTACCTGCCACCCAAATAGTGCTAACTCACAATTATTGCTAAAATTTGCCATTTCCCCTATTAATTAATAAACTGTGGGGTCGTGGGGTTGTAATGTCCTGGCTTAACCTTACAATCAAGTTACCGCAAAGCGCTTTGCCAATGTGAAAGAAATGCATCCTGCATGATAGAGGGTAGAATAGGGGCCAATATCTCCACAGGTTTCTAAGAGGTATTCCACTCAGCTCCTTAAGGATTCTTCACCTTTTAGACGCCACATCAGCGAGTTTGGTGTGATAGTTTTGGATGGTTTATGTCACCCATTTCGGCAAAAGGTGAGTGTGTTATGTTTGTTTTCCTCACTGTTTTATTACCAAAGGGTCATTATCAAACAATCAATCCTGGGTAGAATGTTCTAAGAGTCTAAAACCAAAAATCATTCTTTATGTCGTGTGAGTTCAAACTCTTGTGTTGAGGGACACTCAAGAATGGCCACATATGTTGGGGAGTGTTGGGGGGTGTTGGGGGGTGTTGGGTGGGTGATCCATATACATGGTTGATATTCAATACATCAAAGGTCGTTCAAAAATGTTACACGAGATGATGGAAAGATACAAACCCTTTCAGATACATCTCATCACCGTTTAGATTGGGGGAGGTTCCGGGGGGTATCTACAGTGTTTCGCATCAACCAACTGAATATGCTTCAATCACTGATGATTCTGATGATGGCGCATGGTCGGATTATGAGTCCCTGTTTCAGGATTATGATTATCAGTATCACAACTCTCCAGATAATATATATATATATATATGTATGTAATAGCAATTGCAAGAATCGCGAATCATTAATTCTGATCATAGTATGTAAATGTGTATATATATAGGCAGAGAAACAAATCAACAACAAGGTTGGCCACATAATGATTGTATGATTGTATGATATTGTATGTGTATGTATATATATAGAATACACGCATTTGTGATGGGCTTGGCTCCGCCAACTATGGCGACCATCCTGTGGCAAGAGCCGAGTCGGCCCGACGAGAAACCATTGAAAAGCAGGTTTTCACCGGATTGAATGGAATGATAGTGGACAACTATGAGAAATTCCTGGGACAAATATTGAACATCATGGAAAATGGTGATTTACGCCCTCAAAAAATAGGTTGAACCAACAATGGAGGATTTTAAATACCAAAGACGGTGGTATGGTGGGTACAGTAATTATCATGTAGTCAATCATGTGAATATGTCATATATACATATGTATGTACGTATATAAATATAGATATTTATTTGTTTATTTATTCATTTTTTATGTATTTATTTATGCATTGGTTTATTATTGGATAAATACGATCACGACTTCTTGCGACGTCACAACGTAGATTGTGGTTTGGAGTGTGGTAACTCTACCATTTGAAGGTCGAGCTTTTCAGATTGGTGAATTATTGCGATTTCTAGATGTTTGAATCATTTTTTAACCCTTGAGACTGAAACGTTCCACATTTCGCACAGCCAAATTTCTTTGTTCCTCTGCGGAAGGTTCGTTCTTGCTACTCTTCAGTTCGGTTTCCGCTCGCTGAAGGACCCAACATTCGACTGACGCAGCTGCATCGCAGCTCCAGAAAAATATGGGTTCTCCCTCGTGAATATCACCAGATTTGGATGATTTTTGGGGCCCGTATTAAACAGAAAACGTTTGTGTTGCCAAACTGCAAAGGCGGGCCTCTAAATACACGCGACAAAAGCCGAGGCACCCGTGACATGATGGCATGTTTCCTACGGTATTGGAAGGCAGAGCATGGCAAGCATTTTTTGCCTACATTGTATGTGTTTAAAATAGTAATCCTAGAGCCGCCAACCGGAGACAAGTCTTGTAGTCGTTGTGTTCGCCTAAATTGCGAAGTTTTTTTGTGCAAACGCAACTCTTCACAAGAAATGCATATTCCAATGGTTTGGGCCTGCTTGCAGTCATTTGAGAATTTGTTGGCCTGCCATTTACAGCAGGATATCTTGAATTCTGAAAGCGCAATGGCGCGCAAATATCACAAAAGCCACTGAAACATTTTTTTTGCGACAAAAACGCCCGGCAAAATACCCGCAAATACCTTGCAAACGCCTGGATTTTTTTTAGAAAGGCCTGCAAAACCAGAAAAGTCGCATTCTTTCTGCTAGATGGACTTACTAGAAGCCTGAAAATTCTTACGCAAGCCATGTGGCTCTGCCATCAGTATGCGTGGGCGCAGGGGAGAATATTGAGTTGGAGATACAATGGGGGCACCCAGACATGATTGTCTTTAAGTCGCAGCGATTTGCAGCAACACGTCTTTTTGAGCCAGGGTCTACCCAGGGCCAACGTCTCTGTCTGAAGATAGCTTGCTGGGTTGCCCCATTCCATCCCGTGATTGGACCTGCCATCTTCTCTTTTCAATTGCCACAAATCGGCGCCACTTGAGATAAACCCCAGCTATGATTCTGCTTGTTGTAGATCCCCTCATGTTTTGATATTGTTCATGATTTTCCATGTTTCACATTGTCATTATTTTCCCAAAAGTTTCGCGCTATGTGTGGCTGCATCCCATTTAGTAAATTGGTGATACTAGCTGCACTTCCAGATGTACATGGAACCTCCCCAGTTAACATGTATCTACATGAAGTTCCATATCCAACTGGGATGAGTTTTGTGATTTGCACATGTTTGCACTTACTCAGTGGCTTCCACTTGACACAAACATTTGAATCATGCAAAGTGTTGCACATCCCAGCATCATAAGCCTTCACCTTATTGGACCCGGGAACGGCTAAGGTGGGCTGGATGCTGAGTTTCCCGGAACGGTGTTTTGCCATGGCGGACGAGGCATTGAAAAGATACCAACCAATGGGAAACAAGGTTGGCCCAGTAATAATTTAATCAGTTGGTTGATAACCCACATAAACTCTAGTTAACCAAGGTATCAATCAACCTAGTTAATTATCTATAAAACCATCCTTGAACGTTTGTGATTTTGGAAATTTCTTTCGGATACCATTCAGCAGGCAAATGCAATAAACCGTTGTTACATTTTCGAATTTTACATATATCGTGGCTACGGCACCTCCTCAAATATTTTCGAGAAAATATGGCAATCGGAAAACATAGTGGAGATTGATGAAATATTCATGGAATATAATTGGAATGTAATAGACAATGTGGCGCCCCTGTGCTGGCTGAGTATGTCAAAAATGGGCATACCACAGGGAGAATCACGGGGGTGATACAGTGGTGATACAGTGGTGATTCTGCATAGGGGAATAGTAGTGATTGCATTGTTTTGTTTTGTATGTTGATGTATTTGAAGTGCACCGGGGATTGATATATATATATATAATGATATATATATATAATGATATATATATATATAATGATATATGTATATGACATATATATATATATGACATATATATATATATATATATATGATATATATATATATCATATATATATATCATTATATATATATATATGATATATATATAGCCGACAGTAGATTATGTGACCCTGGTTGAAACAACAAAATCATGGGACATCTAGGGAAAATGATTTGAAATACATGAGTAAATGATGGCGTGAATATCCACAGGAAAAGTTGGTTGGTTAATTGTTCTACATATGTTTTTTGTAGGATATTTTAAATATCTCAATATTAGATAAACTGTAGGTTTATCTACATACAATTTTTAAAATCGCATATGTTTATGGTTGGATGGGTTTGGAACCAATTTCTAATTGCAAGCAGGGGCCTTGCTGGGCTGCTGGATGGGCTAGCCAGGGATTCACCAACCAACGCGGGATGGTCTGGACACAAACCAATTCTGAGATGAATTGTTTATAATGATTAACTGTGCAGACCTGATCCAATCACGTGGGTATGTTGCAAACATACGCAATTGATTGGATCAGGATCTAGTACAGTAGTTATATATTGTTTAACCATACGTCCCCTAGTCGCTAATAAGGGAATCTACTTACCAGCCACACGATGGACCACCACGCAAGTTTGGATTTGAGAAAACCATTTTTTGCATGCCATAGGAAAATAGAGTTTTGTTAGATCTTTTTACTGTACGGTGATGTTTCAGAATATGTTGTCACACAGCTATACTCAGGTATTAACCATGCAGTGTGGAATCCCATGAATCATAGATCATCTTCAACTTACCTTAAATTTTACCATTTTTAGATTTCCATCCCCCTATTAGTTGTGCAGAAATTAGTTGATTGACATTGGCACTTACATGTAAGGTTATCTCCATGCGGTATCCCTATGGCTAACCGGCTAACCCCGTTCGAAAAGCCACCGTGCTTTTCATTACAGGATGGGGCCGTGCCCCCCAGTGATGTGAACGTTGGTTTATAAAACCATGAAAGTTTGTCCCCATTAACTAGTTCGTTATATCTACCATATCATAAACATCCATGAACCATAGAATTCAGCCACGAAATAAGGCCGGCTTAGCTATCTTGGGGGCCCCATGATCATTACCATCTTTTGTCGAAATTCCCATATTTTTCTTGGTGACGTCACCCTTTCCCCTGGTAAAATCGCTGTTGTCACCGCTTGTTGCTTGTTGCGTCAGGCTGTGGCCAGATACAACGATAAGTGTGGATGCCGAACTGCCGTTGGGGGGAAACCTATAGCTGGGGGAGACCCCAATAGCGCACATCTATAAATGGATGAGGACTGGGGGTACCCCTATTAGAAAGGCAATCTCCATATATCTATGTATATCTATAGTTGTTTATGGCGCGAGCATCATCGTGTAGTGCAATTTTGGATCAATTTTATTGGGAAGAGATTGAGAAAATATTAATAATATTAGCCAAATCTATGCTAGGATCTGTTTGTTGCTGAAATTTGTTGGGGGGGAACCTCAAAAGAACACGTGTTCATGACACGATGGGTGATGTGTGCCTAAAAAATGGGGATCTGTTCCTCAACCAAAAACGAGTGTTCTGAATTGGGTTGTACCTGAATTACCTGAAACAATAACAATTCATTTGATGTCTCACTTGACTTTACAGGTGTGGGTAATGTTGGGATTGGTTCTTTGTTTTTTGCTGCAAATAGGAATCTACATATTTTATGATATCTGTTATATATATATATATCATAGATATATTGTATATATGTAATATGCGTATTCATCCTGAAGTAGATAGAATATCACAATTTCAATAGCACTCTCACTGTTGTGAGTTGTTTTGTTTTTTGATGTGCATATTCCATCTACTCCAGGATGACTATACAGGATGAATGTATGTATGATATGTATATATATACACATACACATGTATAATCATGTATACATATACTTATACATATACTTATACTCACCAGCTTTAAGTAAATGCTGGGTAACTAAGATTGGCTTGCTGGTTAAGGCTCTTGCAAGGGTAGAGCCATCGTTCTTTACCCTTTGGTAATCGAACATGATTTGCTGGAAAATCCCCGAACTAAATGAAGGCTTTAATTGGAAAATCAACTGTAAATTGTGGTTTTCCATCAAGCCATGCTTGATGACACAGGAGGGTAATCTGGGAATCATAGGAGAGCTGATCAGCAGGGAAAACATGGATATATCTCACTAATGGCAATGGAGCATTGTTGAAACATTTCATTAGTATATGCAATCAAACAAAGGATCCATTAGACCATGAAGAAGGTCATGTGTAAGATATGTCTAGATACTTCTGTCTTTTTTTCCAGTGTCACCATGTCACAAAGATTGCTGACCCAACACTACTTAGGCAAATCTGGTGGTTTTCAACTACGCACACCTACATATTTTTTAAAATACTGTTTGTATTCCAACCTGGCGAGGGAAGATCATGGTGGATGATGTTCAGATGATAGCAGCGCAGCTGTTGCCATTCAAAATATTAATTATGTATCATATTATCATTATGTATTGCAAATAGCTGCTTTGATACAAAGGAATCATGAAGCTAACATAACAATATTCAGAATATGCATTGTGTATTGTTATGTTTGATTGCGCGTATTTGTTTGAACAGCTTTTAGTACTCGTGGAACGTCAATCGCTGTGGCTATGGGTCTACCAAAGACCCGTGGTTCTATGAGCAGTCTGCACATTTAAGCGCCATTTCCCCTGTGACCTTCCCCATTCCAGTTCCTATATGCTTCCCATACTACTGTTTTTCGTTTGAAACTGTAGAGGTTTTAGAGGTTATATCACAACGCACGGGGTAGTTCACCATGGGATGACGCTAACTGCACCCCCAAGCATAGTTGGTCCCAAAATCCACTATGACTTCTTTCTATCCCATTATTTCCCATTTTGATTGGTTACTGCTTAACATTTTCTCGTTCATATCTTCGGGTAAACATACAAAAAATCAAAAAGATCTGGAAAACCCCTTGATTCCCGTGTGGAAAACGATCTGCAAATGATGGATAAGGGGTAGTTTTCCACATATATTTTGGCATGTTTACAGGTTGGAAAATCATGGCAAGTCATGCTAAATCCCATCCATCCATCCATCTCCAGGCGCGAAGCCTACATCGCCTGGCTGCAGCGTTGATCGAAGCCAAAAAATCAGCATCAGCACGGCAGTAGAAACCACGGCGGGATTTGTCCAGAAAAGAGGCCCCCAAAAGAGAGATTGCCACAATTGGAGAAATATCAAGTTGGAAAAGTTGGAAAAGTTGGAAAACAAAGCTTCAAATCTTGTGAAGATCAACTCTAAGAGAAGCTATTTGTATCTTAAAGATTTGCCACGAGATCATGAAGACAACAAAAATCTGGTCAAACATCACGCGGCATAACTTTAGTAAAATCCTTGCGAAAGTCTTCACCCTTTTTCCGGTCGACCTCAACTCGCTGCCGTGTGAAAGATTCGACAAACGGCGCCAGGTGCCGGGATGCTGATCCCCAATTTCACCGGAAAGCCAAACAGTGAACTTCCCATGATCCAAGACATGGGGACGACAGCATTTCATGGTTTTTCCATATGGTCCAAGACATGGGTTTATCTGAAAATATCATATGGCTATACTCTCCAAATATTTTAGCATATGAATTATAACCATATAGGTTTATATGAAAATATGGTATACCCTCCAAATGGCTATTAAATAATAGGGATAATGATGACTGAACCATGGATTTAGGGTACCACATGTTCAAACAAAACCATATGGACCAGAACTACTGGGCAATCCTGCTCCAGTGTCCAAAAGTGTTGGATCCCCTGTAAATGTTCTTTTCCCAGACATCGGGATACTGTACTTGAGGCATCCACCAAAATGCTATAATGCTTAAAGCTTGGAAGACCATTAATTATTGGCGGCTGTATAGCTGTGCCATTGTTGGCTTTTTTATCTCAAAAAAACATGGGAAAATCCCTGAAATGAGTTTTTGGTTGAGAAGTAGCTTAACCCATCTTAACCCCTGAAAGGAGATCAAGCCAGGGGGGTGAGATCATCGTAAGAAAATTAGCCCAAGCCATTGGCTTTGGAACTTGAATGTTTGCTACGGTTCTATTCTTACGCATCAAATATGTTCTTTCAAACGGTGGCGACAACTTTGCAATCCTGCCTCCAGAGAACCAAACCATGGGTTTCCTCGAAAAAAAAATTGCTTTCTATGTATACTATTGGGATCTATTCAAAGGGTTCTTGGACGGGGTCCAAGAGGGGTCAAAGTCAATTTTTGTTGTTGTTTCTTGCCTTAGATTCATTTATCAGACCCGCACCAGAGCTACATCAGACCGCTTAAAGCTGAACTGAGTGTCAAATTCACCGGTTTGACATTCTGGTTGATGATTATATATAGAATATCATAGGAAGCTATGATATGCATACAAACTATCCATACTATCCTTTATATGGGTATGGGTCAACGTTTAAGACCTAGGGGACCACAGATGATGGTCTATTTTCAGTATTAACCATCCATTTTTATGGGTACAGTACTGTACCCATTTTTGACCCATAAGCTATAGCCATATATTGGATCACCATCCATGACCAGAAAAAACACCGTTCCAATGTACTCTCTTGACCAAGCAGTTGGCTGCGGCTTCAGCAGCCACTGCTCAACCAGTACTTTTTGCAGGGTATCATGCCAAACCTCCAATGACGAAATGATCCAAGCTGTTTAGTTCCGACTTTGGTCGTCAACATCACAGGCATTGAAACTGGGTAACTGTCTGAAAATGTTGGGTGGATATAACATGATATAACCAATATTAGCCAAGCAAAATTGTGATTTAATGGAATATGACATTATATATGATGGGATCTGTAGTCAGCAATATGATATTTGGTTTTTCCCAACAAGATGAATTATACATCATCAAAGTTGGAGATAGCCTATTTTCAGACAATCAATACTCATTCATGGCTTATCAAGAGGGCAAGCTTTACACGACCCAGTGACCCAGTGTTACTGCGCAGACCGGTGGCTTAAGTTGTTTTTGGTGCGAAACAGTCCATGAAACCAGAGACTGTTTAACGTCTCAAACGACCTATCCCCACAAATCACAGAGAACGACAGTAGGATACTGTGGGAACAATTGCCATCACATACGGGCTGAACCAAGCAGGTCTAGAATTGATTGTAAGTCTTTCAGATCGGATTTCTTTGGCATCGTGTACTGAGTCTGAAAAAGTCTGATAGTCATCAAAAGAATAGATCCATTTAGTGTCACATCAACCACTCAGGCCAGTCTAGTATATACAGTTCCATAAACATCCAACAATGTTTTATTACGGCAACTACAATAAACGTACTGTACTAAACCACTTCAAAACGTCTCACCAAAAATTCAGTGGATCCAATACGTGATCCCCTTGATGTTCATCATGATGGCCGCCCTTTGGTGCCAAGGTACCAGATCTGTGAATGTTTTCTGGGTTTAACCAAGATGGTGATTTAACCAAGAAAAATATGGGCATTGAATCAGCAACGTTTTGGTTTAAGCTCCAGATATGGAAAACCCACCGTTCAGTTTGATGCTTAGTATATACATTAGAATCCCATATGCCTACATTTTCCCATGGAGAAAGGTGTGAGTTTCCAGCTCGCTATGTTAGATTACTAATTGTAAATAGTTTACGTGGCCCACCATCCGAGTAAGAAGTTATTGTATAAATCATAAACCCATCCACCTATAGATTATACATCCATATACATATACATATATCCATCATAAATCCATTGAAGGTATAAACCAACTTACTCATCTTGGAGTCCCGCATCGTACACTTTTATTGATTCAAATGTTTGGTGTAGATTCGGACATGTTTTTTCTTCCAAAAGCAGCATATAATCATCCCCAGCCCCAATCAGCTGGCCACATGTGCGTATCCGATCTTATACCCCATGTGTTCGTTAGTTCGCACCTTCTAATCAAGCGGGTTCTGGTTCTAGTGATTTGCTAAATGCCTTGGTTCTAGCCAAGTATCTATACATATACAATTTTATATACCATACACATGAGATGCATGATGAATGTGTATATATATATAGAGATAGATATATGCCTTTGTTCACGTAAGCAAGTACACCAGTGGCATGGGAGATATATCCCATTGTATTTCCGTTAGATCCCATTATGACCAGATAGAAAAATATGTTCCCAGCGTGAACGGAGAAAATCTCATTATTCTGGTTGGTTTGTAGGCATCAGGGTCAACTATTGGGGATTATAACTTATAATAATGGTCAATTGGGGAGCACCGGGGGATTATAATGGTCAATTATTGCTTATGTCATAGTCCCCAATACATGACTTAGTAGAACCCTCTGGAAAAGCCAATCAACATGGGTATTTTATGGTAGAATTTCTGAACAGCTGATCCACTTCCCCCTTATTTTTCCCTAATATTAGATATTCCGCTTTCGGATCGACGGCATTCATTTTGAGACCCTGAGATCTTGGATAGGGGACAAGCTGAGCCAAGCTGTCGGATGCGAAGCATTTGGGGGCACTCGGTGGTCATCGTGCTGGTTGGAGCGCTCACTTGCATATGCAATGTCTGGGTTTCATCTCAAAGCCTATTCTTAGTGACATTTAGATGCATTTAGAGGTTTATTCCCATATACTCCATGAGAATCCCCAAGTGGTTAATCCCTTCCCCAGTTGCTGGATAAATCACCATCTTTGAGGCTTAAAAGAAGCCATCTTTGGTGAACATCCCAGTTTCAATATTTTTTTCTGGTTACCCTCTGGTACACTAACAGTTTGCTATTGAAGCCATGGCCATAGAAATAGTTGATTTAGCCATTAATAGCATTGTGATTTTCCATCGTTATATTACCACGAGGTATCCCTTTTATATCCCCATTATATTGATGGATTTCAGTTGTTTCTTGCTTCTTAGATTGCCATGGCTTCCCACATGAAACATGAAATATCCCATTGCCCATTATTTTGATATGGATAGTGATGGTTGTGCCATTATGGCCCTGTATCTGTGTGTGGAAATATAATGAATGATCCCGATGATGTTTTCCTCATCAAATCCCATGTTTCCACACATCAAGTTGATGTTGTCTTTTCTAAGTTTGGTTTTATATCCCCATTGCAGTAAATCACACTTATATACAATCCAATACTGATTGTGTATAGCTGTTTTCATCCCCTGTTAACTGTAGTTATATATAATCCCCTGTTGACTGTAGTTATATATGTATTATATAGATATATTATACATTTTCCTCATTGTTATCCTCTTTTTATCCCATTAACCCACTAGCTATAATTATAATCACCATCACACCTCTTATAAAACTCTTGTATACATCTTATATACCTATTATATATGTGTATATGTATATATATATACTGCCATTATCACGCCTGTTATCCCATTAATTCTATGCCTATGAAATATACCTATTTTTAAAAGTCAGTTTTTGCTGCTACCTCAGCACTGAGGTGGACCTGCCGCAGCATTTTCGTTCAGAGGATCGGATTCTGGTTTCGAAAACACACAGGAAATCTATGGGATAGTTCTTCAAGGGATTTGGATACTATCATGGAAAATCATGAGAAAACCTATGAACATAATGAGGATATAGTGGGGATATAGTGGGATGGTTTAATGTGTTTTCTGTGTATATGATTAATACATCATATCCAATCTTGTTGATGAAAAACATGTGATTAAACAGTGAATGGAATGGTATATTTCCACCAAAATAATATTTTCAGATATATTAATCCAATAGGCAATGTGCCAATATTTAAACAATATGGCAACCCCCTTTCTGGGGTTTTCCATCAATATTTCCATCAAGATAATGGGGATATAGGGACATTGTTGGGATGTCATGGGATAGAATAAAATACATAGCCAACAATAGGATATGTGGCTGTGTCAGAGCATGGGCCCCCTGGGCCATACCACCAATATATGGTTATGTTATGTTAATAGGGAACATGGTGATTAAACAGTGGATGGAATGGGTAAGCCATTTTCAGACAGAACCGCATATTTGAATCATGGGCAAGTGGTTCTTGGGTTTTCCATGACAGGAAAAAACATTCAAACAAGAACGGAGGAACCTTCCAAAGCATTATTTCATCTTATCTCAGGGGTATCAAGTATTTTGCTCAGAGTTTCGGTTTCAATACAATCGAAATGACTGGAAATTGGGCCAGATGTTTGTGTTTTTTTGAAGGCCCCCGCGAACTGGATCCATGCGAAAATATGTAGAAATCAGAATGGAATAGATAGCCAAAATTAAAATGAAGATAGACCATGTTTCAGAACAAACATAGAAATTTTCAGGGAATACCTAAACTGAATTTCAGGAAGTGAAGACACACATAATATTAAAAAAGACATATATTGATATTTCAAATTTATTTTTAATAGTCCAGAGATATTCACTATTTGTATTTTGATCTTCGAATAGTCTGTCCCATCACCTGATCTTAAAAACCTAAGGAATTATGTTAATAGGTATCAAAGGTATATATATATGGTACATGAGAGTCATACTGGTGATTAAAACTACATTCATAGTAGGTGTATAAGATTGTATAAGAGTCATATAATCCTTATATTCCAATATGTTTCATAGCCTCCACCTCGCCAGGAAGTTGCGCAGAGGCAATGGTCATGCAGTTGGGAAGCTCAGTGACTGGAGGTTTTCACCCCCAAAGATGTGCAGTTAATAAGCCCTTTACCAGTGATTTCTCTGGTTATAACTGGGGCTATCATGGCCCATAAATAATTTGATAGGGTAATTATGGGTTATTAAACTGACTTAAAACTGGTATTTGTTCCTAATATACTGTGGATCTAAGACTGATCTAAGTTGTGAACTGGCCATGACAACCAGAATTTGCCCACCAAAAATCCGGGTGATGAACGGGATTTACGATCGTAAGACTGTTATTTTTCTCTTACGATCTGTGGAATGATTCCTTATTATCAGCCTCATTATATTCCACAGCTTATTATCAGATGATTCCTTATAATGGTAATGATTCCTCATTATATTCATATCCTTGTTATGTACATTACCATTGTAATCCCCATATGTCCATGTATAACCCAAGCTACGACCTCAAGACTTAAGAGTTTGGGCACGTTGAATATTTTTATGGGCCCCATCCCTGGCACTTGCTGAGAGCAGTAAGTGGAAGATAGCCCATTGTATCACATACAAGTTGAAACAATCCCTCGAAAATCCCGACAGTTGTGAAATTCAGGTAAAATATCCATGGATATATCCAACATCATAATATGAATATGAATATTCGTAAAACAACATATTCAATATCCATCATGCCCTCCGTCATTCCCGCAGGAACACGCGGTGGTTAAGCCGAAGCACAAGACATTTCTTCACGCTTCAAGGTGCGGCTGGATGTGAGTAAACCCATGAAGAAATGGGGAGTTAATTAGCGAAAGTTGAGATTTAGAACCATGTCAATGGGATACGATATGGGGATATCGTGGGGATTTACAGCCATCAAGATTTGAATTTGGGTGTTTCTGAAAATGGAGTATACCATAGTATACCTACAAATATCAGGTTTTGAGGGGAAAATGATGATCGACCATGGCTTTAGGATGATTTAGGGGTATTGTATTTCGTAGACAAGCCATGACAAGCCCACGTATCGTATGTACATCAGTCATCAATAATATATGGGCTATCAACATCTATCAACCACGTACAAGATGAGGCCCCCCAGTTATAAGTTGGTTTATAACTTGTAACCCATCAAGTATAGTTGTATCCCTCTAATCAAGCCTAGTTGACCAAGTTATGTGCGTCAACTTAGCGATTTCGTTTATGGCAGCCTCACCTTGTACCAAGTGGAACGCACCCCCCAAGAAGCTATGTGGCCCGGTGTATTGCTGGTGTAAGATCATGTAAGATCATCAACACTGAAAAGTTTGCTGGATAGTGGTCAGCAATGGGGATGAATCAAAACCTTTGCTTTGAAATACAATATTTGGAGGAGGTGAACATTCAGAAATGCCATATTTGGAGGAGATGAACATTCATAAACGCCAACTATTTTGGAGTGAAAACCGAATGTACTGATCGGGTTTGGACCAATACCCAAATGGGTTATTCAAACATGTTTGGTGAACAGGCCAACCCATGTGGTCTGCACCTGATGACCTAGAACCAGAGAAAGTGTCCATGCAACACCAAGATGAGATACAGTATTCGTTCCACATAATCACAAAATAACGAATTTGGGATTTGATATAACATATGCAAAATTATTGGATTAATTAAAATATAACGGTGATACAACATACAATATCATCAACAATGAAGGGATTCGCAGCAACTAGTCAAAGTCGGCGGATGACCGGCAGGTAGTGCCCCGTAGCACTGTGATGGAGAATGGGTTTCTATTCTGTGTGGCTTGAAAACAAACATGGGGGTTTCAGCTAGGATAGACTCGTACAACCTAGAAATGAGATAGCTAAGTTGGTTAACATCTACAGTAGCTTAGCCATGGATTCATCCTGATTATTAACCATGACATGACCAAACAGTCGTGGGTTTCCCTGGAAATAAGGTACCCTGGAATTACGACATCTTACGGGTGGCGCAAGGTGCACAGTCGTGCACAGTCGTGCACAGTCGTGCACAGTACAGCCAGTAATGAAACTGACGAAGAGAAACACTTTCACATGTGTCATCATCATCTCAACACAGGGGAACTGGTACCTTGGTCTCACTCTGGTGTGATCCACGAACGTTATATCGGTGGGTCAATGGGTCTTCGACGACGCGGTCAATTACTTTCAAGTCTTGAAAGAAGAGTTGGCCTGACAATTAGAGAAGACACACTGACAGGAGCCGCGAAGGCCTACTTCAAGATCGTTGGATCGTGGTACAAAACGGTACAAAGCTGTTCGCGACTTGTTGGACAGAACATTGGACACAAAAATGGCTAACTAGGGTTTATGGTAGATTGGTGACACTAGTTAATTGGGAGTTATAAACAAAAAACATACATATACTATCACATATATCATATATATATATACATATACATAATATATAATATTGATTGTCACACATATCCTAGTCTATCTCTAGTATATCTCCGTATCTAGTGATGGTGTTCCCCGTCTGCCGTCTCCGTGCGAGATGAGGTGCCGAATTGACGATTTTCGAGAGGCGGGGATCCCCGGACATCACCATACTTGTTTGAATACTAAGTTATAGTCATCCATGACGACTGGATGATTTGGGGTGGGGGTAGATTTTAGGAAACCTCCAATCCAAGCTAAGAATGGATGAATGGTAACTGGTGATTTATATTTATGGCACTGGCAAATATTGAGGATATGTCATACAATGTGGTGAACATAACTGCAATAGCGCAAATAGCAGTCTTTCTGAAGCTTATAAACCAACTTATAACGTTTGGGGCCCCCACCTTGCAGAGATATTGATGGGACATGTTAGATTTTAGTGGAATGTCTATGGGATTTCAGCGGAAGGCAATGGGATATATATATATATATACAGTGCTGTACAGTCACTTAGAACATATTTTTCCAAATGTTTGGACTCTCACACTTAGAATTTCCAGAGACCCCCACACTTAGAACAACCAGAGCAAAATCAGTTACAACATCCTATATGTAGGTTGATGGATGTTCTAAGTGTGAGGCTCCTTGCAACTAACCCTGGCTCCCCACACAGAATATCACAAACAAGAGTTCGTTCAAGTTTTCTTTTCTGTCAATAGATCATTTTAAAAAAAAACAGTTACGTCAATGTCAATAGATCATTTTAAAAATCTATATGTAGTAATGTCTTGGGATGTTCTAAGTGCGGGGGTCTCCACAGCTGATTGATAACTTTGTGTTCATATAAATATATTTATGTCAATAGATCACTTTAAATATATATATATGTTGTAATGTCTTGGGATGTTCTAAGTGTGGGGGTCTCCAAAGCTGATTGATAACGTTGTGTTCATATACATACAGTTATGTCAATAGTTTATTTTAAATACATATATATGTATGTATATATATATATCTATACATATATGTTGTAATGTCTTGGGATGTTCTAAGTGTGGGGGTCTCCACAGCTGATTGATAACTTTGTGTTCACATAAATATAGTTATGTGTTGTAATGTCTTGGGATGTTCTAAGTGTGGGGGTCTCCACAGCTGATTGATAACTTTGTGTTCATATAAATATAGTTATGTCAATAGATCATTATAAAAATATATATGTAGTAATGTCTTGGGATGTTCTAAGTGTGGGGGTCTCCACAGCTGATTGATAACTTTGTGTTCATATAAATATAGTTATGTCAATAGATCATTATAAAAATATATATGTAGTAATGTCTTGGGATGTTCTAAGTGTGGGGGTCTCCACAGCTGATTGATAACTTTGTGTTCATATAAATATAGTTATGTCAATAGATCATTATAAAAATATATATGTAGTAATGTCTTGGGATGTTCTAAGTGTGGGGGTCTCCACAGCTGATTGATAACTTTGTGTTCATATAAATATAGTTATGTCAATAGATCATTATAAAAATATATATGTAGTAATGTCTTGGGATGTTCTAAGTGTGGGGGTCTCCACAGCTGATTGGTAACTTTGTGTTCATATAAATTTAGCTATGTCAATAGATCATTATAGAAATATACGGTTCTCCGCTTGCATAGAATATGCAGTTGTTCAATTCCACAGGCAAATTTGCCGAAAATGTACTTAGAATATTCCCCCATTTCATTTCATGTTGGTTTTTTCTCCCCATGTGGTCTTTGCTCTCGAAGCCTCTGTACATCTCTATGCGGCGGCGGAAAAATGTACTTTTTAGTACACAAAGTAATAAGAAATCGGTCAATTTGGGGACCTTGCCAGTTTTTGGTTTTTGTCACCAAACACCTTGTGAAAAACGTCCCTATCTATTTGTCTGGAAACATGAAAGAATTTATGTGGAAAAAAAATGGAAAAGTGAAGAATTTGTATGGAAATGTGGGATTTATGATTTATAAGGAAAATGAATATATATATATATGGAAAAATGATGAATTTGACTGATAAAGTGAAAGAATTTATATGGCAAAAATATGGAAAAGTGAAGACTTTCTATTTCCATTATCCAGTGTATGACATGCATTCATTGTCAGAGTCATTGAATCTTTTTCCTGGGACTTCTCCGCTGGCTACTTCTTTTGATTACTTACAGACATTGCCGGAAGACCTTCTAGGATGTCTCCGAAAGCAGTCTGGGGGTCGACCCGTTTATGTCCTTGTGACCAAGCAAGTCATTGGACGGCTTGCATCTTGGATCATTTCTGGTTATGTTGACAAGGAGGTCAATGAGGTATTGGAGAAAGACTTGAAAAAGCCAGCCAGACATTTCATTTGTGATCTGGTAGTTATTGTGACAGATTATGCCCTCAAAGCACTCATGGGGTGCTTGATTTCTGTCTCGATGGCTGCCAATGTCTCACTCCAGAAAAGGGACTTCAACATCAATTGCCTGATCAAGCCTGAAGATGCGCTCAACGAAAGACTCCAGTACATTCACCATCGATGCGTTTGATTCAGGGTTGAGAATGGAGAGGTCATACTTGCGTCAAGCAAGTTTCAGCCCCGGGCCTTTTCGCTTGCTGAATTGTTTGACCTTCTGCAGTACAGTGGTCCATGTTGCTCCTGGCAATCCTGGTGGTCATATCAATATTGACGGTATTTTGCAGATCTGATGCCAATGTTAGGGGTGTGAAACGCACATACTAAACCTTCACTCTTAAAGTTTACACCACCCATGGCAAAATTGATGCTGGTTTAACCCAGAATCAACTGGACTAACCCTATTTATCCTACCTACAACTGAGGCTATAATATAAGGATTGTTTTTTCAGTTTTTTTTTATTTGATTTTTTCTGTTTTCCAGCCTGGGTTTGTGGCTTTTGTGGCTTCTGTGGCTTTTGTGGATGTGTGGTTTTTGTGGGTGTGTGGTTTTGTGGCTCTACCATGCTTTACCTATCTATCTGTCTGTCTGTCTGTCTGTCTATCTGTCCATCTGTCTATTTGTTTATTTGTCTATCTATGTATCTATCTATATCTATCTATCTATTTATCTAATCTAACCTAATCTAATCTAACCCAATCTAATCTTATCTTATCTAATGTTATATCATGTTATCTTGCTTTATCTTGTTTTATCGTGTTTTATCTTATCTATCTAATCTATCTAACCTATCCAACCTAACTAATCTATCTAATCTAATCTATCTAATCTAATCTATCTAACCTATCTATCAAACTATCTATTTAATCTATCTATTTGATCTATCTATTTAGTCTATTTATTTAATCTCCATATATTTAATCTCTTTATTCAAACTGTCTATTTAATCTGTCTATTTAATATGTTTATTCACTCTGTTTGTTTATTCTATCTATTTAATTTATCTTTTTAATCTATCTATTTAATCTTTCTTTTTAACCTAATCTAACCTAATCTAATCTCATCTCATCTAACCTAACCTAATCTAATCTATCTATATATCTAATCATCAATCTAATCTATCTATTCTATCTATCTATCTATCTATCGATCTATCCATCTATCAATCTATCTATCTATCTATCATTCTATCAATTTATCTATCTATCTATCTATCTATCTATCTAACTATCTATCTATCTATCTATCTATCTATGTATCTATCTTTCTTTCTATCTGTCTATCTTTCTATCTATCTATCTATCTATCTTTATATTTTATATACACACCTTGTATCCCTATATTTACCTTAATCCAACCAGCAACAGACTTTAAATCGGCCATAAACCAACCCTAAATAACCACAAATAACCCTAAATAACGCTAAATTACCCTAAACCAACCATAAACCAATCCAACATAACACTCCCTAAATAAACCCAAAACCAAGCCTAAACTAAATAACCCTAAACCAACCGTAAATAAACCCAAAACTAACCCTAAATAAACCCTAAACAAACCCTAAACAAACCCTATACCAACCCTAAATAAACCCTAAACAAACTTTAAATAAACTGTAAACCAACCCTAAATAAACCCTAACCCAACCCTTAACAAACCCTAAACCAACCCTAAACCAAGCCTAAATAAACCCTTAACCAACCCTAAATAAACCCTGGCCCAACCTTAAATAAACCCTAAACCAACCATAAACCAAGCCTAAATAAACCCTAAACCAACCCTAAATAAATCTTAGTACCCAACCCTAAATAAACCCTAAACCAACCCTAAATAAACCCTAGCCCAACCTTAAATAAACCCTAAACCAACCATAAACCAAGCCTAAATAAACCCTAAACCAACCATAAACCAAACCTAAATAAACTCTAAACCAACCCTAAAAAAATCTTAGCCAACCCTAAATAACCCTAAATCAACCCTAAACCAACTCTAAATAAACCCTAGCCCAACCTTAAATAAACCCTAAACCAACCATAAACCAAGCCTTAATAAACCCTAAACCAACCATAAACCAAACCTAAATAAACTCTAAACCAACCCTAAAAAAATCTTAGCCAACCGTAAATAATCCCTAGCCCAACCTTAAATAAACCTAAACCAACCCTAAACCAATCCTAAACAAACACTAAACCAAGCCTAAATAAACCCTAAACAAACACCAAATAAACCCTAAACCAAACCTAAACATAATCTAAATGACCCTAAAGCAACCCTAAACCAAGCCTAAATAAACACTAAATCAACCCTAAATAAACCCTAAACAAACACCAAATAAACCCTAAACCAAACCTAAAGATAATCTAAATGACCCTAAACCAACCATAAACCAAGCCTAAATAAACCATAAACCAACCCTAAATAAATATAATAAGTCTTTGCCAACCGTAAATAACCCTAAATAAACCCTAAACCAACCGTAAATAAACCTTAGCCCAACCTTAAATAAACCTAAACCAACCCTAAACCAATCCTAAATAAACACTAAACCAACCCTACATAAACCCTGAACAAACACCAAATAAACCCTGAACAAAACCTAAAAATAATCTAAATGACCCTAAAGCAACCCTGAACCAAGCCTAATAAACACTAAACCAACCCTAAATAAACCCTAAACAAACACCAAATAAACCCTAAACCAAACCTAAACATAATCTAAATGACCCTAAACCAAACATAAACCAAGCCTAAATAAACCCTAAACCAACCCCTAAATAACCCTAAATAGACCCTAAATAAACCCTAGCCCAACCTTAAATAAACCCTAAACCAACCATAAACCAAGCCTAAATAAACCCTAAACCAACCCTAAATAAATCTTAGTACCCAACCCTAAATAAACCCTAAACCAACCCTCAATAAACCCTAGCCCAACCTTAAATAAACCCGAAACCAACCATAAACCAAGCCTAAATAAACCCTAAACCAACCATAAACCAAACCTAAATAAACTCTAAACCAACCCTAAATAAATCTTAGCCAACCCTAAATAACCCTAAATAAACCCTAAACCAACCCTAAATAGATCTTAGCCAAGCCTAAATAACCTCAAATAAACCCTAAACCAACCCTAAATAAACCTTAAACCAACCAACACTATGATAGCATCCAATGCCACTATTTCACCTACAAAAAATGGCCGAAGTTGTGCTGTCACGCCAGGCAGCAGTATTCCGGACGCCGGGCTTGGAAAATGCTGGTCGTGTACCATCAGAGCTCGCATCAGAGGCGGTCTGATGTCCTGTGATCCAAAAAGATTGTGTCTTTTTTTGTGCTGGATTGTTACCATGAATATCCTGGGATTTAAGGGGGAATACATGAATAATTTTGTGATTATGATTAGATTATATATATATATATGACAGATAAACATTATCATAAATATGTATATATATGTTGAATTCAGCTTGTGTGAGCACCTCTCACCTATGCCAGTTGTCGCATGACCGCAGGGACTCTATCTCCGCTCGAGATCAAAAGAAGCCCGATCGCTTGGTGCATAGGAATGCACAGGTGTTGGTAGGTCAGCCACCAGTTTTAACACTGGTAGCGGAGCCTCCTACGGGAGGCTCCCCTAGGATAGGATTCCTAGGTGACTTGTGTGAGCGCCATGGCTGGTGCATCTCTGCCGTCTGACCCTGCGTCAGGCAAAGTTTTCTCTGGCGAGAATGAGGATCCACTGGAGTATAAAAGATGGAAGACATGGGTATCCAACAAGTTGATGACACTGGATTCAAAAGTTCCCAAAGAGGCTCGTGGAGCTTACGTATACACCCTGCTGGCCGGTAAGGCCCTCGACTGCATAGAACACTTGGATCCTAGCGAGTATCAGAAGGTTGACGGCGAGAAGACCCTGTTTGATCTTCTCGATGCCAGGTTTCCACAAAAGGACTCCTCCGATGAAATGAGTGAAACACTCACCACTGTGTTTGGTTTACGCGCAACTGAAGGTGAATCATTGAAAGTCTGGATTTCTAGAGCTGGCGAGATGTTTGACCGATGCAAGAGAAAGTGTCAGGTCGATTTTCCAGATGAGGCTCGTGGGTGGCTCATTCTGAATCGCTCAGGTTTGAGTGACGAACAAAGTGCGGTAGTTTTAGCCCGCAGTGGAGGAAGTCTGAAACGTGATGCCATAGGCAGGGCCATGAGGTCGTGCTATCCAGATTTTACTGTACCAAAGCGGAAGAGTTTTGGACTCAGTCTTGTGGAAGCTGAGGAAGATCTGGACACCATCGAAGAGGACGACGACACACTGTCTCATGAGGTGGAGGCCTTTTTGGCCGAACATGGTGAGGTTCCTGCCGAAGAGCCTTCTGAAGTTTTTGAGGAGACGGAGGTGGCAGAAGCACTAGCCGTTTCTTGGAAAGACAAGCGCCGTGAGTTAGGGCGTTTGCAAAAGAATCGACGTTTTGGTGCTGCTTCTGATCTCCGAAAGAGCTATCGCGTGGAGATCGAAGAGCTCAAGCGCAAAACGCGCTGCCATAAGTGCCAACAAGTTGGACATTGGTCCAGGGAATGCAAGCAGCCTGCAAAAGGAAAGGGCAAAGGTTCCAAATCTGGGTCCAGTTCAAAGGGTTCCGACTCAGGGGTAGCACTGGTTGAGCAGTTTTCGGAGACATTTGTTGCTACGGTGGCTGACGAAAAGTTCTCTGGCCTCAGCATGTCGCAATGGCTGAGGAATCGACGCGCTACAAAGTCTGAGCAATCAGTGCCTGCGACATCAACTGAGGTGTTCCTGGTCAGTTCACCAGGATATGGTGTGATCGATTCTGGATGTGGTCGCACAATTGTGGGACAAGAGACGTTGTCAGATTTCACGAAGCTCTGGAAGTCTCGTGGCATCCCAGTACCTGAGCCTTTTGCTGAGGTCAATCATTTTAAGTTTGGAAACGGCCAGCGTGAAACCACTGAATTGGCAGTCAAACTGCCGGTAGTGATCTCTGGAAAGACTGGAAGTATCAAGGCAGCCATTGTCAAGGGGGCTGCTCCGTTACTGATTTCACGCCGGGCTCTTCAGACTTTATAAGCTGTGATTGATTTTGGGAAGAACGAGATGTCACTTTTTCCAGAACGTTTGACTGTTCCTCTGTTATCGAATGAAGCCGGGCAGTATGTCATTGATGTTTTGGGTGGCATTTCCAACCCTGCTCCTGATGCGACTGAAGATTTCTCTGAAGTCATGCTGCATGAGAAGGTTTCCGTGCCCAAGCAAGAGACATGTCCTGCCAGTCCCACACAGTCATCCGCAGCCATGGATGTGCACTCCGCTGACCCAGGAGTTTCAGCTGACTTGCAAGTTTGGTCTAGGGCTGATTCATACCTCAGTCACACACTCACCACTGGTAGTCAAGGTCCCAACTGGCAATCTATAAGACGACGTAGAGTCATGAATGCTGACAACAATGAAGTTCTGTTTGATGAATGGATTCAACCTCACCACAAGAAATCAAGATATCGTCATCCAATACCTCAAGAAGTTTTTCATGTGGTCACTGAGTTTCATTTCATCCCGCAGGAGACAGTAGCGACAATTGAGAGTCTGCCTGCCCATTGCCAGCGTCAGTTAGATGCCCAAATCCGAAGTTCACCAACTGAGGTCAGATCCAGTGTTGATGATAAACCTTTCTTAGTTGCCGAAGTTTTCAGCCCACCGCGTTTTGCCCCGTTGGTTGAAGGAGTGGGCGGTTCTTGCCGTTCATATGATCTGACCACAGGCTTTGATTTTACCAAAGCAGAGGTGAGAGAACAAGTGGCTGATGAGCTCAAGCGTGCACCACCAGATCTGCTTGTGCTCAGCCCACCGTGCACTGACGAAGGTGGATGGTTCAACCTTAATGCCTGCACTATGGATCCCAATGAGTATCTCCGTAGAGTTCGGCGTAGCCGTTTGTTCATCAGGTTCTGTTGCAAATTGTTTGAACAACAGGTGCAAGCTGGAGGTAGGGCCATTTTTGAGCATCCGAAGGGTTCCAAGCTGTGGACCTACCCTGAGGTCCGTGCACTCGTGAATGAACATCATGTGTTGTCATGTCACATGTGTCGTTTTGGGTTACGCATCCCCGGTAGTGATAAGTTGATTCGTAAGGCCACTCCCTTACTTGTCACCCATGAGAACATGAGGGTTTTAGCCAAGGAGTGTCCAGGCTCCAAACAACCGAAACATGAGTGTCATCAGACCATTGCAGGGTCAGATCCAGCTGTGGGCCGAATCAGTACTTTTGCCGGGAAATACACACCCAATTTTGTGGAATCCGTGATGGACACGGTGCCTCGATACATGGAACTGAAGCAGCAGTGTCTTGCCGTGTGTTCTCCGTGGTCCAGCAAGCAGCAGGACGAAGTTCTTGCAGCCAAGCCCGATCTGTCAGCCGACAAGAGTGATGAGGATTTGATGAAGGTGATTGACAAGGTCCATAGGAACTTAGGTCATCCTCCCACGCATGATCTTGTTAGGATTTTCAAGCATGCCAAGGCCTCAGATCGCGCGATCCAACTGGCTCAGAAGCACAAGTGCAATTTTTGCCAAGCTCAGATCAAGCCACACGTGCCGCTGCCTGCCAAGAGTTCCAGACCACAGGAATTCAATCAAGTGGTTGGCATTGATGTAAAAAACTTGAATGGTTGGTCCCCCAACATGAAGGTTAAGGCCCTCAACATCGTTGATCAACCTAGCTGTTATCAACTCATGATCCCCTTCTATGAGCGGGAAACCTCCGATGTTTTGCGCAGAGAGTTTGCCAATCACTGGGTCCGAATTTTTGGTTCTCCAAAGGAGGTCATTGTGGATCAGGCACAGACCAATTTGGGCGAACCTTTCCAGAGCTACCTGGAGTCGTTGGGGACTCATGTACATCAAATTGCTGGCGAAGCACATTGGCAGTTGGGGCGTACAGAATCTCATGGTGGTTGGTTTTCCAGGGTTTTGGATCGTACCATGTCAGAGTTCATGCCACACAACAAGGAACAATGGGAAGATTGTGTAACCCATAGCCATGTGAAGAACACCATGATCCAATCCTACGGATATACACCACATCAGCATGTGTTTGGGAAAAATTCTGACATACCTTCCGATCTCATGAACGAGCCACTTCATGTCATACCAGCCACACTTGGTTTGTCCGATGAAGCTGTAGCCCGATCACAGGCCATACGTGCTGCAGCCCGTCAAGCTGTTTTGCAGACTCAAGATGACCAAGCGCTTAGGCGTGCTTTTTCAGCCAGACCACGCCTGCAACAGCAATTTGTGCCTGGTGACTTGATTGCGTACTGGAGAGCCCAAAAGTATCAGCAAGGTAAGGTTCAGCTAGGAGGTCAATGGTATGGTACAGCAGTTGTCATTGGTAGCATTGGCAAGAACTATATAGTAGCCCATCGCCGACAGATCTTCCGTGTAGCACCCGAGCAAATGAGACCAGCAACCACTGAAGAAAAGACTATGGTTACTACACCACAAACTGAGTTGTTGGGGGTAAAAGATATGTTGGAAGGGGTACTTTTAAGAGTAGCCAATACATAGACCTAGTTCCAGGGTTGTATCCACCAATGGCATCCGGTCCCGCAGATCAGAGTCAGCCCACTGAAAGCCCAGAGGTTGCGTCAGAACCTTCCATACCGGCCAATGGTGATGCTGATGCGTCCATGGAACCAGTTTCAGGGTCCACTGTGAATCCCAAAGCTAGGTCTCTAAGCTCCGAGGAGCATGATGAACCAGACCAGTTCCCGGTGAATCCACCACCTGATGACGTCACTGTTGAAGATCCCAACATGACTGGTTCTTCAGATTCGGCATCTAGCTATGGCCCTTTGCGACGTGTTCCATCAAAAAATGGACCTGCTGCTTTGTACAGGCCGCCAAGTATGAGGGAACAGGACTTCTTGGACATGATGAAGGAAGTTGTTCCTAAGTTGATTGAACATGCCACGAATCCAGCAAATGCATCAGCCTCACCTGCTCAGAGTTCCTCACCTAGGGTAGGAGACCAGCACAAGCGTGTCCTTGAAGATTCCGATGCTGTTGAACCACCCAGCAACAAGCCCCGCATCGATGCCGTGTGCGAGGTGTTGTCTGTTGAAGACGTGACTGAGTTGTGCAGGCAGCTGGAAGATCCCAAGGTCACCACTGAGTGTTTGTTAGCCAACTATCTCCAAAAGAAAACCAGTAAAGAACTGCACCACAGTCATAACCATCCTGATTTGCAAAGCCTGATCGATGAATCCAAAAGAGCTGAATGGAACACCATTGTCGAAAAACATGCCGTCAAAGTCCACTATGGCAAACGTGCCGCCCAACTCTTGACACGCTATCCAGACCGTTTCATCGGCAGTAGGTTTGTGATCACTCGAAAGCCTATGGAAGAAAATCAGCCTATTGTAGAAGATGATTCCAGTACGTATCGAGTCAAGAGCCGATGGTGTCTTCAGGGTCACCTGGACCCGGATCTCGACAAGAAGGTTCAAGATGGTTTGCTGCAGTCGCCAACTTTGAGTCAAACAGGTCGCATGTTGTTGATGCAACTCATAGCCACCCACAAATGGGATTTGCAGTTAGGGGATATCAAAGGTGCATTTCTGGAAGCTGGCGAGCTGCCAGCAAAGTTTAGACCTCTGTTTGCAAGACAGCCTCCAGGAGGCATTCCGGGCGTGCCACCTGACGCCATTTTGGAAGTCGTGGGAAACGTCTATGGACAAAACGGTGCTCCTTTGGCGTGGCATCGTACTTTTGATTCCGAAGCTGTGACCGTTGGTTGGGAGCGATCCAAGTTTGACCCTTGTCTTTACTTTCTCAGGGAGCAAAACAAGTTGGTTGGTGTTATGGGGGTACATGTGGATGATACTGCACTTGGAGGCCAAGGAGAGCGTTTCCAACAAGCCGTGGCAGCTCTACGGGCTAGATTCCCATATAGGAAGTGGCGAGTCAATGAGGGAGAATTTTGTGGTGCTTATTATGTTCAACATAAGAAAACCAAAGTGATTGAGATGTCTCAGAAGCTGTTTGCTGAAAGACTTAAGCCAGCCACAATTCCCAAGAGTGCCTCGCCTGACGACCTGTTGACAGAGTCTCAAATCCGTGTTTTGCGAGCCATCAACGGCTCTCTCAACTGGCTAGCCAGTCAGTCGCGACCAGACTTGGCAGTACAGACCAGCCTCAGCCAGCAAGCTTTTCCTGCACCTAGGATTAGGCATTTGCGCGATGCAAACAACGCAATTCGTCGAGCCAAGATGCATAAAGAGCTTTCCATTCGGTTTGAATCCATTTCCCCTGAAAATCTTTGTGTGTGTTGCCATTCAGATGCTGCTTTTGCCAATAGAGGTTCCCATACTCAAGCCGGTTACATATTGGCTTTTGTAGATAAGCGTATGCACAACGGAGAGATTTCACCATGGACACCAGCCATTTGGAAGAGCTACAAGTTGCCTAGGGCTGTCAGCTCAACACTAAGCGGGGAAGCTCAAGCACTTGCAACTGCATCTGGATCGGTTGAATGGTTAAATCTACTTTTAAGTGAAGCTCTTGACGGAAGCGTCATCCCCAGCATGTGCCGATCCTTGTTGGCCAAGAGACCAGCCATTTTAGCCACCGACTGTAAGTCTTTGTATGATCATTTAATATCCCCTTCATCGCCCACTGCAGTGGATGACCGTAGGACCAGTATCGATATTGTGATCATCAGAGAGTCCATCAAGCTGTTGTCTGCACAAATTCGTTGGCTTCCAACAAATCGCATGATAGCTGATGGCCTTACCAAGGATAAGATGGAGCCTAGCGATCTGCTTCGCTCATGCGTTCGTGCTGCATCGTATCAGATTTCTCCCGAAGACCATGTCCTGGCGCAGCAAGCAGCTGAACGTGCCTTTCGAGCGCAAAACCGTGAGAAGAGTGCCCAGAAAGCAGTTGAGACGTCTGGGGGAAACTGACTTCTCAAAGGGGTAAGATGTATCACTCTGACTTCTTCCATAATGATTGCTAGGTATAATCTGCAGATGTCTTGAGGGTCAGTCTTTAGAGTGCACAGCATCCTGCCGAGAGCCTTTCGATCAGTGGAACATGTCCAAATCTCGTTTCATGATAATTAATAAGGTCACTTAAGCTAGTGACATAAATAAGTTTATTTCCGCTGAGGATGTGAGCAGTTGTGCATGTTTGGTGCTTGGGAGCCCCTTTTTCTCGTGTTTATCCATTGTAGGAGGTGCACCGAAGCTTGACCTAGCTTCTCACCACCCTTTTTGCTCATTTCCTTCGGGCCTTTTCGTCAATCCAGCCACCGGAGAATCCGTGGATATCTGGTCCGCATCAGAGTTTGCGCCCAGCTCTGGAGCCATGACAGATGGAGCTAAGCGTCGTGAAGATGCTTTGATGCCTCAAGATGCCAAGCGATTGATGAAGCCCAAGGCCATGGCTGCAAGCTCAGCAGCTCCATGCACAGCCTACTCAGGCACCATGGGCACTGTGCCCTTTGTGAACGCCGTGAGCCTTCCTGACATTGAGCCTGAGGTTGGTATCAAGCTGCCACCTTTTCCACCAGGTGTCACGGACGTAGCCACATGGGGAGAGACTTTGATTGAGTTTGGCCAGTACAAGAATGCAACGATGAGCTATTTTGATCTGGTCTTGTCGACAGATGATCGCGCAGTGAGCTACGTGAAGTGGTGCAAGTCTCGTGCCAGTTCCTCTTCCGGCCAGCTCAAGGACCTGTGTGATTTTCTGAGCCATCATTTTGCTGATGAGGGTGCGAATCAGGGTCCACTGATTCCCGGCACCACCATGACCCGTCGTTTGAAGAAGTGATCTCCAGAGATCGTTTTTGCATGACTTTGTGAGAGCAGTTTTGTATCAAGCTGTGTGAGATCTGCGGGGTGACGCAGATTTGAATTTCCATACACAACACTGGAGAAAACAGAAGATGATTTATATAAAAGAGTTATTACCAGTGTTGAATTCAGCTTGTGTGAGCACCTCTCACCTATGCCAGTTGTCGCATGACCGCAGGGACTCTATCTCCGCTCGAGATCAAAAGAAGCCCGATCGCTTGGTGCATAGGAATGCACAGGTGTTGGTAGGTCAGCCACCAGTTTTAACATATAGATAGATAGATAGATAGATATAAAACTTGTAAATACAATGGGATTTAATGGAGATAGATACATTATATGTTGATCGGGATAAATTATAGTGACATCACGTCGTGACGTCATTGGAACGATGAATGCATGAGGGGCCTTATTTCAGCAATTTTCAGGTTAGTGAATTACCATGTTACTATAATTCAGCAAGATATATGATGGATATGAAATGGATAGGATGGCCAATAGGAAGATCATGAGAAAACAATGAATGCAACAGGATCTTGTGTGGGATACACAACCATCTTTGACCAGAAAAGCATAGAAAAGCAAGGTGCCATGTTCAAGTTCCATGGGTTATTTTTCCCATAAAGCGAGATGATCATCCCCCCTTTAATAGAGGTAAATATACCCATATAAGAAATCCCTAACGATGGTGAGATGACCATAGCCAGTATACCATGTTTTGACCCTGGCCATGGCACTTACGAACATGTTTACCTTGAATGGTGAAGTACCCCCAGAACTTGGGGGCGCAGTTCTACTAAGAAGTTGTGATCTAATCATAGTAAAATAGAGTTATGGCCTGAAATACCAGTTATAAGAACTAACATAGCCCCATTTATAGAATGTTTCTCACCCCATAGAAATAACCAGTTATATATAACTAGTAGCCATGGCCATAACTGTATAGGGGGCCCATATCCCCACTTATTCTAACAAGGGATCCCAAAACAGGCAACGAGATCTCTGTGCTTTGGCCAAACTCTGCGAGGAGAAAGCGGTCGGAAACTCAGACACAGCCATTTCCACAGGGATGTATGGGATGGGAAGTATATTCGGCCGGAAATTGAGAGAGACAAACCCCATCAAGTATCAAACACCATCAATGAGAATCTCAACAATGATAAAGTTGGAATATATCTATTAAACACCATTAATGAGAACATATATATATATTGGAATATATATTCTCAAACACCATCAATGAGAATATCACGACAACATACTGGCGCCCCATTGGGGATCCATCCGCCCCAGGACGATGAAATTCCTCACTGACTCGTATTGTGGCTCTGCCAAATATCATGGTTCCTGAAATTAGTTTCAACCAACCATTTAAATTGTGAATATTAGTTAATTTTGCCCAAGAAAAAAAACGATTTATTTAACAAAAATCGTGGTCTAATGGGATAGAATGTGTTTATAATGTGGATATAATGAAATATAATCCCATCTCCCTTTCATATTAAACACCCGATTCTATGGTCCCGAATATGTGATTTCATCCCCTAATCTCGTTTATGGGGAGTGTTTGATAATAGCGAGAAAGGATTAACATGGTTTCCAAAAACTATTTTCAATACGGAAAGATTATTAATATCAGGTTACCATATCATAATCAGGATATGGGAACTAAGCGGCTTATGATATGGGAACTTGAAGGTGTTTTCAACCCCGGATTGACAAACCTTAGTTGATGAGTTAGGATGCATCTCTTAGAAGAATCATCCCCACATTCGGGTTTGTCTGAAGATGTGGTTAAGCTATCTCTAAAGTCTAAGGTGTTTCAACCCCAAACAGCCCCACATGCAGTCTTAGAAGCTGTTTGGAGCAGTAGGGTTTGATCCCAAACACTTTAGAATCTATATGTGAACTCCCTTTTTTTAGTAGGGGTTGATACTGGTAAAGTAACATAGCTATGCCTATATCAATGGGTGGTTTTACATAGCTATGTTAGTTTAAGAAAGGGCATAGCCATGGGTACCCAGAATCCAATGTCCTACTGAGGTACGACGCCTTTGGCGCTGTGGGAGGCGCTGAAAAAAAACTCACGCCTGCGGTATTATGGGAACATATGGGATAAATAAGGAATCATGTGTAGCATTATGGTACACTAATAGGGATATATGTTCAGGATTGTAATCTATACCCGTTCACTTGACATTATTTCTCCATTATATGTTCAATACAATAAGGAACGCTATAGCATTTTAATGGACACATAATGGAGATATGATGGGATAAAAAGCAAAGTATGGTACACTACGGGGGGGACATTGAGCAACAAGCACGTTGACATGGCTATAGGAAAAATGGAATAGAAGTAGAGTAGACTGGAGACACTGGGTAATCAAACATGGCTGGCTGGGAACATAAAGGAGGTATAGTGGAAATAACTAACAGAAATAGCGATTTAACCAGCAACAATGCGGATTTTCGTTTTAGTAGGGAATATGATTACAATATAGTTGATACAATAATATGGTGCTATCACAACATATCCCGGATATGATTGTTCCTTATATCATTTAACCAGCAACAAGGGAGATGATACTGGGCATATGATGTCACTGTGGGAATTGGGGTAGCTACCCCATAGACAGCAAGACAGTGTCTCCCGTCCTTGCAAGAAACGCCTATCTACTCATTGCATTCTATTCCTATTACATATATTATATAAAATAATATATATATATATGGCAGTCGATCTGAAGGTCCTTGCAAGGAGTTTTAACTGCGAAAGCCGTGTGTGTTATGTTGGAAACCCTCGCGAAAGTTTTTTTTCGAGTTCGCGAAGGATTTTTTTTTTACTCGCCAAAGTTTCGCGAAAGTTGGATATTATGAATCATTATCATTGTATACATTACAGCTTGTTAAGGGCTACCACCTCCTGCCGCCCGGGGTCCGGCAGGAGAATGGTACCGCACCATAGGTAGCAACCAAGCTTCCGAAGGGGAGGCTGCGCCACGGCTTCGCCACTGTCAAACACCATGGTCTTGAAGCACCTTGCACCTGCGGCTGGTACTGCCTAACCTTGCTTTCTGAAGTCTCAAGAAACCAGGCCCAAATGTAGCAGCCAAGCTTCCAAAAGTGAGGCTTTGCGAGAGCCAAACACCAAGGCCCCTGGTGTTTGCTTTTCCTCTGATGCGCCCCTGCTGATGGCTGGGGTCTGCGGATAGGGGTATTTTCGCGAAAGTTCTGCGAAAGAGTGGGCGAAAGTCAAAGTGCATTTTGAAGGGAGTGGCCCCAGTAAGCCTTGCAAAAAATTGCCTAATCAGCAACAACCTGTCCTGAGAAGGAGATTCCCAGATGCTAGCTGCATGTTTACAAGGCTATGAAGAAGTTATCCGCGATAATTTTGTATGATTTTGCAGGTGATGAATGAATCTTCATAAGAGGGGTTGTTGCTCAACATGGGTTCCGCGAAAGATAATCATGGAGTTCGCGAAAGGTTCGCGAAAGAATTTTTTATTCGCGAAGAATGGCCGTTCCCGGATAAAGGAATTTTGATCAAACATCATATATAATTTTATATTACTGTGTCCAACTATATATTATATATTATACAATTTTATATTTAATTATACGATGATCATCATTATTGTTATTACATGTCATTACTATTCTTGCTATTCTTGGAGGAGTTATTATCAGTATTGGACTTAAAGCTCGAACCGTCTCGAGGTTTGTTTGACACACTGGTGCTACTGGGGCTAGTTTGGACAAATTCTTTCAGGGAAGACCGAATCTCTTGGGAGAACTTCGACAGGTCAACGAATGCACTTGGGAAGCCACTCAATTTGTGCCACCAGGGCTGTCTAGCGCTGCAGCCACTGGAGGATGTGAGACGATTTGGTCCACCTTGCCTGCAACTCTTTTTTTCATGTCCCTTTTCTGTTTCTCGTTCAGAATGTGTATGAAGGGTACTATAGCACAGCCCGACGGTATGTGCCATGGTATGCTGATTTTTATACCTGTATTGTGGCATGGCACAAGATCGTGCCCCCGTAGTTATCAGTTGGTTTTTAAACCATCATTTACTAACTATGTATATACCATAACCCAACAGACATTGGAGTTATAAGTCAACTTAGCAAACTAATTCTCAGTAGATTCCAATAACAATATCCCAGTAAATCATCATTAAATCACCATTAAAGCATCATTAAATCACCATGCTTTGTCAGGTGCAGAAAGCCGTCCGAAGCCGAGAGCCACCTGAGGAGGAGCGAGGAAGGTTTGAGGTGTCTCAGAGGATGATTTAAATGACCCGACTCGTTGCTGCTCAAGTACCACATCTTGGGCATTGCAGAGTTCCAGTTCAATGGTCAGATTGCTGGGAAATTACTCATAACCTTGCCACATACCAGAAGCACCCAGAGTCCATATATCTCAGAGATGTGTTGGTGCAAAATGCATGATGATCCTAGTCGAGAAGGCATAACTTGCAAGGCAATGACAATGAGGAACAAGTCCCGTCATGTCATGTTCGGCCCAATCTTCGAAGTTCTTAGAGTTTTATCATGTTTTATCATGTTTTATCAGTTCCATGATTTAAATTTTAGACCATAAGATTCCCCTGCATTCCAAATGCCCATTTTTTCCATTGCGCCATGGCCCAAACGGTTCGCATTCAAGTCCCGAAAAAGGGTACATTCACTTGCAACAGTAGCACCGCAGACGAGGCCGTGGAATATTTGCGGCAAGTGTTAGATGAGCCCTGGCATGGTCAGAAACTGTTGTCTTGCGGTCCACAGAAGTTGGGACCCCACAACCCGATGCATGAATTCAATGAAGACCTTGTGTTTGCAAACTATTCATACTTGAGTTCTGGACCTCCGATTGATATCCCAAGAACAGAAGTGCGTGGAATCACCATCAAGCAGCTGTCACGTCTGCTGGATTTTGTTGAGGAAAGGGCCTCCACTTGGTGTGAAGTGCATCAATGTTCACCACACTACAGGCAACCTTTGTCTTTCAAGGACTTCAATATGTATCATGCGCATTACTGGGTCATTCACCCTGCTACGGCCAGTCCCTTGTACTGCAGCTATGTAGAGCTGGTCGCCAGCGAGGCTGCAAGTCAACGGCCTCTGTGGTTTGCCTCCTATGTGTGGGCGGCGCCGCTCCACAAGTTCATGGCCTGCCTGAGGCACCAGGTTTCTTTGCGCGAGTTGCCTGCGCACACAGCCTATTGGGTTGAGGTTTACGCCTACAACCACCATCGGCTTGAGGAGGAGATCTGCGACAATCCCCGAAAGACGAGCTTCTGCCGTGCACTGAAGTTGTGTACCGGTCTCTTGCTGATCTTGGATCAAGATCCTCTGAGCAGGATCTGGACGTGCTTTGAAGTGTCTCTGGCAGTAGAGGAGCGCAACATGTCTCTGGCAGTGGAGAAGCGCAACAAGGGAAAGTCCGGGAAGCATTTTCTGCTGGATGTGGCGGCCATGGATCGTCATGGCGAAGCACATCTCATCACAGATGGCCTAGCCGGTGCTGAGGAGCGGATGGACGGGGCGCTGGGTTTTTTGTTCAAAGGCCAGCGTGAGGCCAAGTTCCCGCGAGAGATTATGCACAAAGCCGCGCATGTTGACGTTGCCTGTGCTGATGCAACCAAGCATGATGACAAGATAAGGATTCTCAACAGCCTTCGTTGCCCACGGGCAAAGACAAGGGATCTTCTTAATGAACCACCGTATGAGGATCCAAGCTTTGATGCGGTCGGCAACGCCATGAGAGAAAAACTGGAGGAAACCGAGAGGCTCTCTTCAGTGGCGAACGACCTTAGTTTTTTGCTTGGTGAGAACCAGAAAAAGACAGACGGAGTTGAGAAGCTTGTGCAGGACATGGATGAAGAGCTTTGGAATGAACAGGACGACACTGTGCAAAAGTTTCTCCCGGAGTTTGACTTGTTTGAATGGAGCAAGGACAGAGTTGAGCAGAAGGTGCAAGAGATCCGTGCTCTTCATAGCAAACATGCAGGAGTCAGCATGGCCTACTTGCTGCAAGATTTTGTGCACTTAGCCCAACAGAGATCACAAGAAGTAGATCCAACCTTTCTCCGATTGAAAGAAGTCTTTTGGCTCTGTAAGGACAAAGTCGGCCAGGACTTGTACTGCCCAAGAGATGGCAAGTTGGGCCGTGCTTTGGTGGATTTGCTTCCCCCAAAACATCGACAAAGGCAAAACTACTTCATGTCCTGGAGTTGGCAATACTCAGTGGGACAGGTAAGAAATGCGTTGCAAATGTGGAAAGCACCGATGGCAGCTGAGAATGTCTTTTTCTACATGTGTTTTTTTGTGAACAATCAATTCCGTCTCATTGTGGATGGAACTCCGGCTGGCAGTGACGATTTGGAGGAGGTCTTTGAAGAGAACCTTCGACGCTGTGGCCAGATGGTAGCCATTTTGGATGGATGGCACCGGCCCAGATACCTGCGACGAGTTTGGACGATCTATGAACAGTACGTCGCGTGCACTCTGAAGATTGACGTGGCATTTGTGATGCCTCATGAAACCTGGATTTGCTGGATTGTTTGTTTGTTTCATCAGTGCTTAATCATGATTAATCCACCAAAGGTGGAAATCTGTGGGTGAATGAAACGATGATGGGTGAATCTTCATTTTTGAGCAAACGTTACATTAAACTGCTACAGGTTTTCCGCAAGCCACCATTTACAAAAAGTGCCGAATCTACTCTTAGTTCTTTGTGATTTTTGCAGCCCTGCACGATCGCAAATCCAAGGAAGCAAGTGCCTCCCTGTCCCAGAAGATTTCTCTTGGAGATAAAGGCATTGCCGAGGTGACCCGATCCCTCTGTGAAGTCAACGTGGCCAATGCAGAAGCATATGACCCACGGGATGAGAAGAAGGTCAAAGACACGATCCAAGAAAGTGTTGGTTTTCAGGTGGGAACCCGCCAAAACACCAAACCTGACCCTGGTTGATTGGTTAACGGGTTGTGTTTTTTTCCGGATATAATTGCTATATACCGTATACCTTTTATATTTTGATGATAATCCTGCCATCCACATTTAGAATCAACCAGTTTTTGAAGGGACGACGTGTTGCGGGAGCAGCCGCTCAGGAGGTGAATCGGCATGTGAAAAGTGCCATGGCTCAATGGATCGGTGGCGTTATCAGGGACAAGTTTGAGAAGCTCGTGAACGAAACGGGTGAGGAGTGCGAGGACGCCGACGATACATTTTGCCCCACAACTTTCTGTGGGGGTTCTTGTTTTTGATTCTGTATCCCGGGTCGCTTCCCCACCTCCGCCTCCCGCCTCCCGCCTCCACACACACACACACATACCATCTCTCACATACAATAACTTCACACACACAAACTTAACACACAACTTTGTCACATACCATCTCTCACATACAATAACGTCACATACCATCTCTCACATACAATAACTTCACACACACAAACTTAACACACAACTTTGTCACATACCATCTCTCACATACAATAACGTCACACACACAAACTTAACACACAACTTTGTCACATACCATCTCTCACATACAATAACGTCACATACCATCTCTCACACACACACACACTTAACACACAACTTTGTCACATACCATCTCTCACATACAATAACGTCACATACCATCTCTCACATACAATAACTTCACACACACACAAACTTAACACACAACTTTGTCACATACCATCTCTCACATACAATAACGTCACATACCATCTCTCACATACAATAACTTCACACACACAAACTTAACACACAACTTTGTCACATACCATCTCTCACATACAATAACGTCACATACCATCTCTCACATACAATAACTTCACACACACAAACTTAACACACAACTTTGTCACATACCATCTCTCACATACAATACTTCACACACAAACTCACATCTACCATCGTTTTGCGTGGCAGGCGTGGCACTGATGGCACTGGGTGGCATGCTTGGTCTTGGTTTAGTCGCCCGTGACGCCGCGGCACTTTGCGTGGCAGGCGCGGCACAAACTCACATCTACCGTCGTCTTGCGTGGCAGGCATGGCACAAACTCACATCTACCATCGTTTTGCGTGGCAGGCGTGGCACTGATGGCACTGGGTGGCGCGCTTGGTCTTCGTTTCGTCGCCCGTGACGCCGCGGCACTTTGCGTGGCAGGCGTGGCACAAACTCACATCTACCATCGTTTTGCGTGGCAGGCGTGGCAGGCGTGGCACAAACTCACATCTACCATCGTCTTGCGTGGCAGGCGTGGCACAAACTCACATCTACCATCGTTTTGCGTGGCAGCCGTGGCACTGATGGCACTGGGTGGCGCGCTTGGTCTTGGTTATGTCGCCCGTGACGCCGCGGCACTTTGCAAGGCAGGCTCGGCACAAACTCACATCTACCATCGTTTTGCGTGGCAGGCGTGGCACAAACTCACATCTACCATCGTTTTGCGTGGCAGGCGTGGCACTGATGGCACTGGGTGGCGTGCTTGGTCTTGTTTTAGTCGCCCGAGACGCCGCGGCACTGGCAGGCGTGGCACAAACTCGCATCTACCATCGTTTTGCGTGGCAGGCGTGGCACTGATGGCACTGGGTGGCGTCCTTGGTCTTGGTTTAGTCGCCCGTGACGCCGCGGCACTTTGCGTGGCAGGCGCGGCACAAACTCACATCTACCGTCGTTTTGCGTGGCAGGCGTGGCACAAACTCACATCTACCATCGTTTTGCGTGGCAGGCGTGGCACTGATGGCACTGGGTGGCGCGCTTGGTCTTGGTTTAGTCGCCCGTGACGCCGCGGCACTTTGCGTGGCAGGCGCGGCACAAACTCACATCTACCGTCGTTTTGCGTGGCAGGCGTGGCACAAACTCACATCTACCATCTTTTTGCGTGGCAGGCGTGGCACAAACTCACATCTACCATCGTTTTGCGTGGCAGGCGTGGCACTGATGGCACTGGGTGGCGCGCTTGGTCTTGGTTTAGTCGCCCGTGACGCCGCGGCACTTTGCGTGGCAGGCGCGGCACAAGCTCACATCTACCGTCGTCTTGCGTGGCAGGCGTGGCACAAACTCACATCTACCATCGTTTTGCGTGGCAGGCGTGTCACTGTTGACACTGGGTGGCGCGCTTGGTCTTGGTTTAGTCGCCCGTGACGCCGCGGCACTTTGCGTGGCAGGCGCGGCACAAACTCACATCTACCATCGTTTTGCGTGGCAGGCGTGATGGCACTGGGTCGTGCTTGGTCTTGGTTTAGTCGCCCGTAACGCCGCGGCACTTTGCGTGGCAGGCGCGGCACAAACTCACATCTACCGTCGTCCTGCGTGGCAGGCGTGGCACAAACTCACATCTACCATCGTTTTGCGTGACAGGCGTGGCACTGATGGCACTGGGTGGCGCGCTTGGTCTTGGTTTAGTCGCCCGTGACGCCGCGGCACTTTGCGTGGCAGGCACGGCACAAACTCACATCTACCGTCGTTTTGCGTGGCAGGCGTGGCACAAACTCACATCTACCTTCGTTTTGCGTGGCAGGCGTGGCACAAACTCACATCTACCATCGTTTTGCCTGGCAGCCGTGGCACTGATGGCACTGGGTCGCGCGCTTGGTCTTGGTTTAGTCGCCCGTGACGCCGCGGCACTTTGCGTGGCAGGCGCGGCACAAACTCACATCTACCGTCGTTTTGCGTGGCAGGCGTGGCACAAACTCACATCTACCATCGTTTTGCGTGGCAGGCGTGGCACTGATGGCACTGGGTGGCGTGCTTGGTCTTGGTTTAGTCGCCCGTGACGCCGCGGCACTTTGCGTGGCAGGCGCGGCACAAACTCACATCTACCGTCGTTTTGCGTGGCAGGCGTGGCACAAACTCACATCTACCATCGTTTTGCGTGGCAGGCGTGGCACTGATGGCACTGGGTGGCGCCTACCGTCGTTTTGCGTGGACATCTACCATCGTTTTGCGTGGCAGGCGTGGCACTGATGGCACTGGGTGGCGTGCGTGGTCTTGGTTTAGTCGCCCATGACGCCGCGGCACTTTGTGTGGCAGGCGCGGCACAAACTCAGAGCTACCGTCGTCTTCCGTGGCAGGCGTGGCACAAACTCACATCTACCATCGTTTTGCGTGGCCGGCGTGGCACTGATGGCACTGGGTGGCGCACTTGGTCTTGGTTTAGTCGCCCGTGACGCCGCGGCACTTTGCGTGGCAGGCGTGGCACAAACTCACATCTACCGTCGTCTTGCGTGGCAGGCGTGGCACTGATGACACTGGGTGGTGCGCTTGGTCTTGGTTTAGTCGCCCGTGACGCCGCGGCACTTTGCGTGGAAGGCGTGGCACAATGTCAGATCCACGTTCGTTTCGCGTGGCAGGCGTGGCACAAACTCACATCCATCGTTTTGCGTGGCAGGCGCGGCACAAACTCACATCACATCTCCCGTCGTTTTGCGTGGCAGGCGTGGCACAAACTCACATCTACCATCGTTTTGCGTGGCAGGCGTGGCACTGATGGCACTGGGTGGCGTGCTTGGTCTTGGTTTAGTCGCCCGTGACGCCGTGGCACTTTGCGTGGCAGGCGCGGCACAAACTCACATCTACCGTCGTTTTGCGTGGCAGGCGTGGCACAAACTCACATCTACCATCGTTTTGCGTCGCAGGCGTGGCACAAACTCACATCTACCATCGTTTTGCGTGGCAGATGATGTTTGCTACTCGGGTCGCTCCGGCATACCGAATCAATGACATAGTCAGTCAAGTTCGATTTCAAGTTCGATTTTTGTTATTTGCACACGTTTTGTTAATAAGCTTAGCGCAGTCAAAGATGTGGTCATCGGATCATCTCTCGCTGCTCTGTTTTGTTTTGGCCCAACGTGGAAAGAAACGACCGGAGCTGCGTATTTCAAATGATGTTTGCTGCTTGGGTCGCTCCGGCATGTTTTAATTTCCGACCTGTTTTCTGCTCCCTTCGTTTCTTCTTCTGGCCTGTTTACGCATGTCCTGTTCCGGCATGTTTTATGGTCGCGCCGGCATGTTTTATTTTCCGACATGTTTTCTGCTTTGTTTCGTTTGTTTTTCTGGCCTGTTTACGCATGTCCTGTTCCGGCATGTTTTATGGTCGCTCCGGCATGTTGTATTTTCCGACATGTTTTCTGCCTCGTTTCGTTTGTTTTTCTGGCCTGTTTACGTATGTCATGTTCCGGCATGTCTTATGGTCGCTCCGGCATGTTTTCCGACATGTTGTCTGCTTCGCTTCGTTTGTTCTGCTGGCTTGTTTACGCATGTCCCGTTCCGGCATTTTTTATGGTCGCTCCGGCATGTTGTTTTTACCGACATGTTTTTGCATGTTTATTACCGACATGTTTTCTGCATGTTTATCTTCCGGCATGTTTCTTCTTTCCGCGTGCTTCGGCATGTTTGATTTTCTGGCATGTTTAAGTACTTTCTTCTTTCGGCTTGTTTCATTTCCATACACATTTGCTGCCAGGTACTTGTCTTCGTCTTTGTGGTCGCTACGGGAGGCAGGGCCGCCGGCATGTTTACCTACCTTCGTCGTCGCCACGCTTTATGTTCCGGCATGTTTCTTCTGTCGGCTTGTTTCGGCATGCTTGCTTTTCTGGCATGTTTACGTACTTTCTTCTTTCGGCCTGCTGCATTCCACACACAATTGCGGCCAGGTGCTGGTCTTGCTTGTGGTCGCTACGACAGGCAGGGCCCAACTGCGCTTGAGCAACGCTGTGCAGCGCAGACATGACAGATTCTGTTTCTTGCATGCAGACTTTCATCATGTCGTTCTTGTCGTTCTGTTTTGGTCGCTTTGGCCCAACTAGAAGTTGCAGACAACAGCTCTAGCACGCATACCACTACAACACAACTACAACTAGTCAGTCAAGTTAAATTGGTCATTTGCATTCAAAGATGCGGTCATAGGATCATCTATTGTTGCTCTGGTCGTTTTAGCCCAACGTGGAAAGAAACGATCGGAGCAGTGTAATTCTGCTTTGGTGACCTTAGCCCACCGTGGAAAGAGGCGGCCGAAGCAGACATTGCAGAGGATAGTGTTACCACCACTACAACCACAATTACAACCAGTCAGTGAAGTTTTTGCGGACAACATCTCTAGCACGCATACGACTCAACCACAACTGCAACTAGTCAGTCAAGTTAGATTCATTTGCATTCAAAGGTGCGGTCATAGGATCATCTATTGTTGCTCTGGTGGTTTTGGCCCAACGTGGAAAGAAACGATCGGAGCAGCGTAATTCTGCTTTGGTGACCTTAGCCCAACGTGGAAAGAGGCCGCCGAAGCAGACATTGCAGAGGATAGTGCTACCGCCACAAATACTACAATTCCAACTAGTCACAGTCAACTTAGATTGGTCATTTACATTTGTTTCGTGCAGCTATGGCGGTGCAAAAACTTGCTAATGGTTGGCGCGCCCGCCGCAAGAAGGACGGCAAGACGTTCAACGGACCGCTGCGCGCGACTGAAGTGGCCGCAAACGAAGATGCGCGGCAAATGGAGGAAGCAGCAGCTGTCTCCAGTGAACGCTTGCAAGAAGTTTTTGATAGACTATCGGGCTCGCTTTCTGCCCCGGCCGTGACCTCTGTACCGGCCGTGACCCAAAATGGTTCCAATTGGCGTGCTCGTGTGAAAGGCAGCCGAGCAACTGTCTCTGGTCCGACACGGCAGTCCAAAGCAGCTGCCGAAGAGGATGCGCGCTTGCTTCAGCAAGCGCAGCAAATATCTAGCGCTGAGCTGCAGAAAGTCGCCGATCGTTTGCAGAAGGAAGCTGCTGACGTGCGTTCTGTGGCGACTGTTACTAAACATGGTGCAGGGTGGCGCGCTCGTGTGCAGGGTGCCCATCAAGTGTATGGTCCTACTAGGCAGTCTAAGGCTGCTGCAGACGTCGATGCCAGTCAATTTCAGGCTGCGCTGCAGCTCTCTGCCAAAGAGCTACAGTCTGTTGCTCAGCGGCTGCTGCAGGAGGCTGCTGATGTAGTCGTAAGGAGTAGCCGCGAAGCTGGGTTTGACGAAGTCGTTTTGGCTGAGATGCGTGATGCTTTGGGATTACGGCGACCGCAGAAGCGTGCCAGACTCCGTGCGAAAAATGCGGCCGATGATTTCGACCCTGAGGTGGCCTCAAAGAGCGTGCAGCTTCTGGTTACAGCATTTCAAGATGTGGAAGCATTAGCACCGCGCAGCCAAGGTGCGTGGATGGTGAAATTAGGCTTTCACACTAGACTGGATTATGGCTCTCGGCCCGCATGGACAAGTGGCTTGGAGCGTGGCACGGCGCATGCTGGCTTGAAGAATTTAGGGAACAGCTGCTGGCTCAATGCCGTGTTGCAATGTTTTCGGTGGACTCGCCCGCTGTACAATGCTTTCACTGCTCGGTTGATGGAATGCGAAGAATCGATTCTGGGATCGTTGGTCCAAGATGTCTTAGAGAAACTTGCAAGCAACGACTGGGATTACGTTGCACCATTTGCTTTGCTCAATCAACTGTATGCAACCTATCAAAGAAGATTTCGACCTGGTGAGAGCGCAGATGCAGCAGAAGCTTGCCGCTTGTTGTTAGACCGGTGTGTCTACGGCAGTTGTATTGTACATTTGCTGTCTACATCGATTGCAATGGCTCGGCGCGGCGTCACTCTCACGGAGCTGACGCGTGAGCATTTTGCTGCATGCCGGCCGAGCAGTGATGTTGTCATTTTGGAAGTGGCGCCCGTCGATGGCGGCCGGATGAACTGGTCGCAGTTGTTGGTGGCACCGCCCTCTGGTGAGGCGCCTGCCACGAAGCGGTGTTGTTCACTTTTGTGTTGATAATGTTTAGGTATGTTTGTGTTTGTCACATGATCGCATTCATGTCGTGCGACGCTCTTGCGTTGTGCTTTCGTCAGGGCAACAACTACCTCTACACAGTTTCCGGCTTTGTGGCGCATGTATCTGGAGATCATTTTGTGACGTATGTTCGCTCGCAGAATCAATGGCTACTATGCAATGATGCAACGGTCAGCGTCGTCTCTGTTCTGGGACCTGTGTGGCCTTGTCTGATTGTTTTGGAGAGATTACGCCGGCAGCAGCTGGCGCGGCCTGCGCGCCAGGCGCCGCCTGCGGGCAGCGACTGCCTCTGTCGCTTGCCGCGGTTGTTGCAAGAAACTGTGGCGCCTGTGGCTGATGCTCCTGTGGCGCGTGCGGTAGAAGCGCCAGCTGGGACTGCGAGGACTGCTGGCTCACGCCTTGGCCGTTTTGCGGCGGCACTGCAACGCAAGCGTCGCGCAGACACTCGCGCTCGCGCAGGTCAGCTTGGATGGGAATGTTAAGTTGTTCATTTCATGGAATTGAGGATGATTGTATTTGTGACTTCAGATTTGGTACTTTAATAGTTTTGATTGTAGAAACTATCGTAGTTCAGGGTCCCATAGAAATTGCCTTGGAATTTACTCGCCCGTGCAGTCCATTGCCGGCTCTCGGCCACGTCGCTGCGCCGGTCGGCTCTTTGTGCCCTGTGCTTTGCTCCACACCTCCCACACATGCTATCGACGACCACGTTCGCTGCACAGTGATAGCACTCTCTGGCAACGTCGTGGCGGAACTTTTTGTTCTCAAGGGCCAACCATGGCTCGATGCCATACCTTTTGGTTGTTGGTGCCATTGCTGGAACGTTGCCAGTTTTCACCTCTCCGACAAGGACATGGTGGTGTTCCCGCGGCCAAGACTCAGCCAGTTGGTTCCTTCGCATGGACCTGACATTGTTCTCAAGCTCATTACCAGCAACGATCCGCCCCCAGTGAACATTCGTGTGGTCATCGGTAAGGCTGCTGCCACCTCTGCGGCTTACAGACCGCAGCCTAGCACCAGTCCGCCTACGACTTCTGCGAGCTTCAGACTCTCATGCTACGAAATTTGGATAAGGTTCAACTGAGAGACGTTGACCTTCGGTGCCCAGACAGTCCGTTAGCCAATCACCTCCGGCAACGCTTCTATGAGATGCCGCAATGCAACGTGAAGCTGGGAAAGCGGACGCTGTCCGAATTTCGTGCTGATAAGTCTACGTCAACCTATTACCTTCACGTGCTGGTGTCTTCGGATGGCCAGAGACTGACTTTACGTGCCAAGTTGCTGTATGATCCAGTTTATCTTTGTGTGCCTGTGGTGGAAGACGGCAAAGTCTGTCCATGGAATAAGCCGGCTTTCGCGGAAATCTGCGATGCTATTCAGCATGCTAGCGTATAAAGTCTGTACGCAAGCTTTCTTATCTGCTGTTTTGGCTGCCGGCATTGTTGATTCAATGTGGAAAGACATGCCAAGCAGATGACGTTGAAACGCACAGTGATCCGGAATGGCTTGGCGCAACGTGCAAAGAGCCCAATCTCAGTCACACTGCGTGCGGTCGACATATTTGGGAAAAGACTGCACAGGTAGCGTCATAAGATGAAGAAACTGTGACTGTGTCGCAAGAAGATGCTCCCTGATGTCAGCACTCCGAGGCTTCGCATTGTTGATTGATGTTTGTTCGCAGACGAGGGAATGTACCACAAACTGTGATATGTTGCAGACGAAAGTTGATTGATGCCTGTCTGACATATGATTTGAACTGTTTGTGTCTGGTCTGTTTGAAATGACATATTGCAAACTTCTGTCTGTTTGCTGCAGTCGGAGGTACCTATTCGATTGCTTGCATGGACCAATATGGTGGAACTAGTAAGATTTTATTGGTTGCCGCTCTCATGTAGTAACAAGATAGCACGCATGAAGCCTCTGTGTGTTTGCTACTGCCTCAGGTGCCCATCCAGTGAGCTTCTTGGACGGAGGACAGGCGCGTGTCGCACGGCCCGACAATGAGTCAACGAGTCTATGTCCTCGGGAGCAAGAGCTTTGACCCAATGTGGGAAGAAGCGTATGCAGATGCATCGCGAACCGACACCTATTTGAATGTCTATGACGCCTCAGTGTTTCTGAAATTTGTGGTTGGCTGACATATTTGGAAAAAAACTGCACAGTTAGCGTCATAACCATGGTGCTTGCCACTGTGACTGTGTCGTGACTTGACAGGCATGCGCCCTGTACTTGTCTTCCATAGTTGCATTGACAACCAGCTACATTCGTGTTCTACACTTTTGCGGCCAGGTACCTTTCCTCTATGTCATCATCGTCGGATTCGTGGCTGTAGGACAGGCGCGGCTGTCACGTAGCACATCTCGTTGCACCACATGGAGCACAGAAGATCATGGAACACCTCATTCAGCCCATTCCAGGTCCGCAGTGCTGCCGCATGCAGAGCAGATGACATTGCAGCGCTGGTCAAAAAATGTCTGCACTGTCGCGCACTCACGTCACTTTCACACACCATCTTTCACACGCAACTTTGTCACACACATACACATACATACATACGTACGTACGTACATGCATAATTACTATCTTTTCACATACTTTCTTGCTTTGTCACGCACAGTCTTTCACCACCTCCTTTGTCTTTCCTTCCTTCCCCGTCCCCGCTACAACCTTTGAAGCTCAGCATTGGAAGAAGTTGACTTGTGGGGTTATCCGGTCCTTTAATTTGTTTAGAAGGCTAGCACAAGTCTAGTAGCAGATTTTAGAGATTTCAAGTTCAAGTGTGTGGAAAATGTTATGACCGTGATCGTGCGTTTCGTGCTTACAGTAAAATACAACAGTCGCCATGGTGATGTCAATGAGAAAGATGGTTGGCTGATACTTTCTTGGTCTATTGGTTGTTGTTTAAAGCTACAAGGTGAGGCCCCCAAACATTTGTATTATATATATATATCTGTACATATACATTTATTACAATGATTTCAATGATTACAATGTACAACAATTTGTTTTGTAACATATACAGATACACATATCATGTACATATATTGTTAACATATACATATATCATATTCATAGAATATTGCATACACAAGTAGCAAAATATTTTTTGGGGGATGTAGCTGGAGGTTATGAAGTGCCTGGACGCCGCTCACAATGCTCTGCTGGGAACCCCCGCGCCAGAGGCGCGGGGCGAATTGGTCCCGGTATGTCCCTGTGGGCTCCTGGAGGTCGTTTTCTGCGAGCAAGGAGGTGTGTTTTGAACAAAAACGCTTGGGTCTCTTGTTTAGGAGTTAAATTGGAATTAAGTATCAATTATAGTGGTTGTTTGTGGAGATTTTCACGAAGGTATGGGGATATCATGAATAGATGATGATTGGTGAATTTCTTGGGACTTATCGAAGGAAGTTTAGAAGTCAAACTTCCGACAATATGGACAGATGAAAAAGCAGAGGTGGGAAGAGTCAGAGAAGAGAAGAGAAGAGACGAGAACAGAAGGAGAAAGAAGATCAGAGAAGAGAAAAAGTCAGAAGAAAGAAGATGCAGGTGCGCGAAAAGGTAGAAAAGTCGCGAATCACTATGTTTTTTTCAATGATTTGTGGCTCCGGAGGGTCGAAAAGTAGGCTCGCTATAGCGGCGCGTGCGCAGCCAGCTGGCCAGATGAGAGATAAAAAAAATTGCACGCCGTCGTGGTGCGAAGCACATTTCCGAGTCAAAATGTACAAAACACACCAACGTCGGACCACTTTTAAAAGTTGAGATGTCGAAAAAGTGCACGCCTTTGTGGTGCGAAGCACATTTGCAAGTGAAAAAGCTAAAGACACTGCACGTTCGGAGCACTTTTTGAAGTTGCGATGTCGAAAAAGTGCACGCGGTTGTGGCGCGAAGCACATTTCCAAGTCAAAATGTACAAAACATCGCAGCCTCGGAGCACTTTTGGAAGTTGAGATGTCCAAAAAGTGCACGCCGATTTGCAAGTGAAAAAGCTAAAAACACCGCACGTTTGGACCAGTTTTGGAAGTTGAGATGTCTAAAAAGTGCACGCCGTTGTGGCGCGAAGCACATTTCGAGGTCAAAATGTTAAAAACACATAAAAACACCACATGTTCGGACCGCTTTTGGACGTTCAGATGTTGTTTCGCGTGGCAGGCGCAAGGGATTGTGCACCTTGTCAAAAGTGAGCAAAACGTGAGGGTTTTGTAGCATGTCCAAAAACAATGGCAGGCGTGTGACATTTGAAGAGGATCTGCAAAGATGCATTTTCCGTGGCAGGCGCTGTACAAGAGACATGTTCATCAGAGCTGTTAGGAGGTCCGGGCGCTGATTTCCGGAGAGGGGTTGCATTTGGAGCCTCAGATCTTAAGTTTTGGGAAGATGATTTTGCGTCACAAGTGCAGCACTTCGTATGACCTGGCATCACTTTTTCGCGGCAGGCGCAGTACTTTAGACAGGTGGAGTGGAAAAATCGCAAAACGCATTGGTAAGAGGCCGTCAGCTCTGCACTCAACTTTCCATGTTTGAAGGAAGTCTCACAGAATTGTGTCGTTTTTGATGCTGTCAACTTCGAAAATTGAGGAAGTCTCGCAGACTTGTTTCGTTTTTGAGGTTGTCAAGTTCAAAATTTGAGGAAGTCTCGCCAAATAGGTGCGTTTTCAAGCTTGAAGATAGATAGAGAGATAGAAAAGAAAGAAAGATGAATAGATGGATAGATGTACAGATGGATAGATGGATGGATAGATAGATAGATAGATAGATAGACAGTTACAACTACAACAACTACAACTACCACTATACTGCACTACACTACTGCTACAACTACAAATGCAAATATACTACGCTACATTACAGTACACTAATTGCACTACACTACGCTAATTACATCTAATTACACTACACTACACCAATCACACTAACAACTGCAACAACTATTACTACCACAACTGCAACTACAATTACAACTACACTACACGACACTAGTTACACTGCAGCACACTACAACTACAAATACAACTACAACTACAACCACACTACATTACACAACACTACACTACACTGATTACATTGCATTACACTACAACTACCACTGCGTTACACTAGACTATACTACACATACTACGCTACACGACACTGCACTACACTACAACTACAACTACAGCTACAACTACATTACACTACACTAATGACACTGCACTACACTACAACTACAGCTACACTACCTTACACTAGACTACACTACACTATGACCATACCACACTACACTACACAACACTACACGACATTACGCTGCACTACACTACACTACACTAATTACACCACACCACGACTACAACTGCAACTGCGCTTGCAAATTCAGTAATTGCACTATATTACAACTACAGCTCCACTACACTACACTACAACTACAGCTACAACTGCAACTACAACTACAACTGCGCTACACCACACTACATCCAGCAGCTGTGGCAAGGTGACCACTGCAACCATTGCAACCATTGCAACCATAGCAAAAAAGACAACTCCAACCACCTGTCGGTCCATCAGTGGATTCCCTCTCCCATCCATGATTCACAACAACTCACCTCTCCTATAGGTTTCATATTTTTGAAACTTCCGCCACACCCTTGCACGGTACTACTGGTAGTTGTTAATTTATTGCGGGTTATTATAAGCCATAGTAGGGAAACCGTATCCAGCCAACTAGTTTTTCATCAGATGGAACAGGGGTTATGCCTAATGGTTCATGCAAAAATCGAATCCCGTCATTTCACATCATCACATAATATACTTTTTCTCCACGAAGTTCAGTTGCAATTTAACAGGGATACCTGGTTAGTGGCTGTTTAATGGACGGTTATTCCCCCAGTCATTGGTAATTTCACAGGATTTGAGTGTAAAATCTCACCTTTTTCAGGATTTGCAGTCAACAACTCCTCTTGCAACCGCCGTTTGGGGCTGCCTTGAAACGCGGCAGGTGCATCCTATGAGGCTGGGATGGGGGGTACCGTACGTCTGCCGTGAGACTCGAGACGGAGACTGGAGATGTTGCCATTTAAGGAGGTTCCATGGGGATAGGGATGCAGTATATCATGGCGATATTGTATAGTGGGATATAATGGGGTGTATAACCCAAATGGTCTGTCTGAAAATAAAAAGTTGAGGAATGGGAAACATGAATATTCACCAGTGGATGGAATGAGGTACCTTTTTGTCAAAGACATCCATTTCATCTCCAGGTTCCGATCAGCGGCTGATACCCTCTAGTAGTCACATGAGCCACCCCAAAAACTCCGTTCGAGGAAACATGTAACAGACGGACATCAATATTCAAGCCATGGAAACTTCCCAAGTTGCTATGTGAAGATTAAGCCGTAATGGACGGTTTTGTTTGATAAAAAAGGACCTTGCTCACATGGCAGACCCTCAGGTTTAATGGACTTAATGGTACATTAGCTTGTAGAAGTTTTAAAAGTATGGTTAAAGTTTAAGCATCAAACATAGGGACTGAACCACCACAAATGGCGCTATGATGATTATGATGGAAATATCATGGGGCTAATTGAAAAAAAAAGGTGATCGTCTGGACAACTTACGACTTCACGGTGTGCCGTCACGAAGTGATTCGGGAAACTATCTGCCAATGGCCGAACTTTTTGAGGTTGTTCAATCATCATGATTTATCCACATAGAAATGAACACTCTCCAGCAGTCTGGGAACTACGCAGGAACTTTTTGAGAATTCCTCGGAATTTGGTTAAAACATGTGTCCAAAAGAGTTGGGTACGGCAACATCAATCTGTTTGTGTTCTTTGGGCCAAGATGGATTTTTTTTACCACATCAGAACGTATCAGAAGCACTAAAAGTTGAAGAAACTTAGCAGGAGATCAACGTACTACCAATAGCCACTAGCATCCAGTCATATGGTTTTCTATCGATGAATATCTCACCTAGACACGTGGATATGCATCCCAGTTGGCAAAAAGGTTTGGAAATCCATACACAACTCATACACATTATAAATATATATATATATATATCCAGATATCTAATTATATATCTATAATGTAGTAGATTAATGTAGATTATCCATTTACAAATAGATCATACTAACGGGGATGAACATCCAAGAAACCTCCTTCCTCCTTCCATGTTAACTCATCCCGACGCAGGCCTTTTTCAGTGCTCAGCCTGATGGGGTGGCGGGAGATGGCAAGGGACGGGAGAAAGTCCTACGAGGCGACCTACGTTTCAAAAATCAGGGTTGCTCCAGCCCAGTATAATATTAGGTATATTGTAGGGATATTATTGGGATATTATAGTCGAAGGAAGTTTAGAAGTCAAACTTCCGACAATATGGACAGATGAAAAAGCAGAGGTGTGAAGAGTCAGAGAAGAGAAGAGAAGAGAAGGAGAAAGAAGATCAGAGAAGAGAAAGAGTCAGAAGAAAGAAGGCGCAGGTGCGCCGCGAATCACTATGTTTTTCCAATGATTTGTGGCTCCGAAGGGTCGAAAAGTAGGCTCGCTAAAGCGGCAGGTGCGGAGCCATCTGGCTAGATGAGAGATGAACAATTGCACGCCGTTGCAGCCCGAAGCACATTTCGAAGTCAAACTGTACAAAGCACACCATTCTCGGAGCACTTTTGGAAGTTGAGATGTCGAAAAAGTGCAGGCCGTTGTGGCGCAAACACTGCGAAGTCAAAATGTACAAAACACACCAGTCCCGGAGCACGTTTGGAAGTTGAGATGTCGAACAAGTGCACGCTGTTGTGGCGGGAAGCACATGTCGAAGTCAAAAGTGGCACAAACTGAGTCTTGGAGCACTTTTTGAAGTTAGGATGTTCAAAAAGTGCACGCCGTTGCGGCGCAAAGCACATGTCGATGTCAAAATGTGAAAAACACACCACGTTCAACCACGCCACAGTAAACAACAACGACGACGACGACAACGACAACCACAACAACAACAACAACAACAACAACAACAACAACAACAACAACGACCACAACCACAACCACAACCACAACCACAACAACAACAACAACAACAACTACTACTACTACTGCTACTAGTGCTACTACTAGTGCTACTACTAGTGCTGCTACTACTACCACTACTACCACTACTACCACTACTACCACTACTACCACTACTACCACTACTACCACTACTACCACTACTACCACTACTACCACTACTACCACTACTACCACTACTACCACTACTACCACTACTACCACTACTACCACTACTACCACTACTACCACTACTACCACTACTACCACTACTACCACTACTACCACTACTACCACTACTACCACTACCACTACTACCACTACCACTACTACCACTACTACCACTACTACCACTACTACCACTACTACCACTACTACCACTACTACCACTACTACCACTACTACCACTACTACCACTACTACCACTACTACCACCACTACTACTACCACTACTACTACTACTACTACTACTACTACACTACTACTACTACTACTACTACTGCTACTGCTACTGCTACTGCTACTGCTACTGCTACTGCTACTGCTACTGCCGCTGCTACTGCTACTGCTACTGCTACTGCTACTGCTACTGCTACTACTGCTACTGCTACTGCTACTGCTACTGCTACTACTACTGCTACTACTACTACTGCTACTACTACTACTACTACTGCTACTACTACTACTACTACTACTACCAGATGATGGGGAGCAGCAGTGCATGAGATTCGATTCACAAAGTAATGATGGAATTTGACCTCTTTGTTTCCCCATTCATTTATTATAGAAACTACCAACTCATGGTTAACCTGTGCAGGAACAAGGGTTACAAAATCCCCCAGTTACATTTAAATTGTGTCGAAATGGTTCATAGTAACCCCAAAAAGATAGAGACGTGATCCATCTCTATTTTCATGGGGGGTATTCTATCCATCATGGACAGTTTTCTATAACAACATTTGCTGCTGGTTTCTTTCAAACTTTGGGATCTTGTTCATTATGCTAGATTACAGTACCCGATGGATACATGCTTTATCCCATCTACATCTGGGCGTCTCTGAAAACCAGGTATACGCCCCAAAACTGCATGTTTTATTGCAGTACTGATGACAACTTAACATTTTCCCCATTTTTTCAGACAAACCCAAATTTGATATACCATTATCTCCGATGATTCTCCTATTATAGGTTTTACAGCTTTACCCCCATGATTGGTGGTTGGGGCAAGCAAGCTAAGGCGACCCAATGCGGATCATGACCTTGTCTGATGGCCCAACTGGGAGGGTCATCTGCAGAGGATTCCATGTTTGATTTTCGTCTTCCGGTGATTTTTGAATTGGTTTGGACATCTACCACTATGATCCATTATGTTTATTTGTGGTTTTTTTAACTGGGATATAATTTTTGGGGATTTGCTGGCAGTGGTTTTTGTAATCGTCTCATCGTTTCACCAAAAATGGGAAATCGAGCGGGGATAGCAACCTGTCTGGCCGATCAAGCCCCACAATGATTTTGAAACATGTTGGAGAACTCCCCCCAAAGTGGCCCAACAAAAATTGGGTTTGGAATTGTTATGAAATGCCCAGATTCCCGACATGACTTGGGATGTGAAGGGTTCCATCCCAACAAACGGGATGATGGTCCCAAAATTGACTAGACAACATGTGTCGCAAATGGATCTTTAGAACTATATAGTAAAATCCAAGTCTTTGGTGATAGTGACAGTGTTTCAAAATCAGAGAACTAGACCCTTACATTCAGGTGGCAAAGGTTGACTTCCAATCATCCAGGGCCCTACGGTCCTTGGGAGTGGAGAGTGACAGTTTGGATATTTTTTTGTTAAAAGGTGTTCTGAAGGCAAGTGTCTATGTTTTTGGGGGACATCACCACATGACCTGTATTTTTGGGATGGGTTGCAACCACCAATCAGTCTAAATCAATTTTAAATCCCTTTCTGGGTGGTTTACATTTTCACGGGCTCCTGATTTTGCAGCTGTGGACTTACAGATCATTGATAGGATCTTGGGACGAAAATGTCAGACACAGAAAAAGTGACAACTTACAACAGGGTTGCTCTACCTGGTTTGTGGTCCAATGGTCCTTGACAGTGGTTGGAAATTGGAGTCTGACCCTTGGGTATAGTATCCTCAACAACTACGTGTTTCTGGGTATTTCAATGGCAGTTTTGAAGGGTTTTTAGTCGGAATGTTTGCCGGGCACCTTCGGGCCCCATGGCCATGAATGCTTCCAGCGCCATGAGCAACTCGGCCACCCGCTCGGAGATGTTGGCTGTGAGTTTAAACATTCTTAAGTCCCCATTGATTAATGGTGATTAATGGTGATTAATGGTGATTAATGGTGATTATAGTTAATGGTTATTATAGTTAACAATTGTATAACCATTTTTAAAACAGTTTTGTTGCTTCAAACATCTTCCCATTTCCTTTTGCTTCTATCGAACGGTGCTTGTTTCAAAAATTCTGGCTCCTGGCGTGGTCACGGCACCCCAATGACTCTTCACAGGTGGCAATGTCGCATCCATGGAATTGGGAGAAGATTTTTCAAAAATTGGTTTAAGTCCCATTTGTATAAGATCGTATAAGATCGATTCTATACTTTGACCAGATAGTTCAGAATCTAAAATATATCATAATTTACCTATCAACAAAAAAACCCATCAACAGCCAGATTGCGGTGATTTTACCATGGATTTCTTTAAAGAAACTCCTGGTGATTTGCCCAGAAACTTTGACATATTGCCTCACCCTGAGGTGAAGAGGACCTGGAAAGCAATGTGGATTTGTTTCTGGAAACCGCCGGAACGTTGCTGGCGATTATGCACCTCGACGGATTAACCACTGGCTGATTTACAGAGGGATCTCCCTCCACAACAATCAGGCGAATAAGAAGAAATGTATACCCACCCCTCGATTTTTGAATTTTTTGGACACTATTGCTAGCACAGACATGTGGAGCAAGAAAATGTTGCGAACATCAGACGAATATATCAGTATCAAATGTTTCCAATAAATCAAAACCACAAAACAAAGGCTTTTTCACTCGGGCACTTTGAGATTTGTATTTTTGGGGGATTTCCTGGGATTTCCATGCCTGGGACACCATTTTTGAAGCTGGCAGATGAAGTGAACAGGGCCGCCGGGCCATTGGCTATTCCCTGAAGATGTAATATGATGTAATATTTCATGAAAATGAGAGATGTAAAATTCATGGGACAGTTTGATCCTTTTTTTCAATGTGAACACAGCGGTTTTTTTCACTGGACACCTTGATGGGATCGGTACCATTGCTAGATTGGCCGCCTTGTGGGCTTTACGAAGGCTTCCCATGCATTGTTCATTGTTGTTTGGATACTGCAGATTAGTTGGTCACATCCGCTAAGAACAACAGCTTTTCCAGAGTTGTCCCATGATTTTACGTTTCCGGTTGTATCCGTTAGTTGGATGGATCAATGTCCCATCAATTTTCACATTGGTTGTATCTCCACTGTTGTTGGCTTTTGATTTCCTTTGGTGCCGCACATCTCCCGAAAAGAACTGTGGAATTTCATCTCGTCTTGCCAAATCCACGTGAGCTATTTATTAAACATACCTGTGTTGATGGGTAAACATAGGGGATTATACTAACTGGCTATCATCATAAGAATATTTGCCAACCGACCAGTATCATGGGATGGGATATGTGTTTTTCATGACTCCGGTGTTTGCTGGAGCGTTCATTGTGCATTGCGCGACTGTGTCCCTATCCCGGTTTGTCTGAAAACTCAGGAAAAACACAGACAAAACAACACATTTGATGGATTGAAGCCTCATTGTTCTCCATTAAAATCGCCATTGGTCAATAGCCCATTTTCAGAGACAGCTCCCATGCTTGTCACTTTCATGGTCACTTATGGCCAAAACGCTGCTACCCTTGATGTCTTTCCGCCCCGAGGTTTCTGTCGGCGCCTGTACCACAGGTCTACCCACTGCACGCAATGCCAGCGAAGATCAAGTTTGTGAATCCCGCAAGCATCCTGTCCCTGCACGTCTCTTGGCAGATATGGTGAAAAGAGGATATTATATATTATTGTATATGGAGGTGTCCAAAGAGGGTGGTACCTCGAAATGGATGGTTGATAATGGAAAATCCTTTTAAATGGATGATGTGGTGGTACCTCGGTTTTAAAGGAAACCTCCATATTTACATTATATATATATATATAAGAAGTGGATGGGATGAGTATAAGAAGTGGATGGATGATGCAGTGTGCTAGTCTAGATGGAGGAAGACAATGCTGGAATAAACTGATGATAATCTGCACCATATTCCACTACCATTCGGGCGTCTCAAGCATCTAAGGGAGCCCATCACTTGGTCAAATCTAAAGTTTTGCTCTAAAGGGGAGAATATGAACCTGATCGGCTATAATTTTCATGTTCCAAGTTTGGCCATGCTCATTCATGTCCACACCAGCGATCAGCAATCCTAACCATGGAGCGTTGGCCCTTCTTCAGATTGATCACGGAGATGGACTGTCCGTTGAAGCCATTTTGGAAGGCGTTTGGTCAGTTGAAATATGTTGAAATCTCAAATACCACTGCTGATGTTAGCCCATTGCTGATGTGTTCCTGGCAATCTAAATCCAACAAACATGCGTTTCCATTTGAAACCCTGACTTTCACTGGATTTTGGTGAAATTACTTCCTCGGGTACATTCCTACTTTTTTGGACACCGAGGGGATAGGGTTTGTGCCACGCAGGCAAATTTTGCTGCGCAAGTGACACTTGGATGTGATGACATGTGGGTCAAGAGGGTTGGATTATGCTACGTCAATGAGATGTTTGTTTGTCACACATAGAGGAAGACCTGCGAATGCAATGCAGAAACCCCAAATTGATAGAAAAGTTGAAAACCTAAAAATATGAGGGTTATTAGGATCCCGGAAACACTGTTCAGAATCTTTTTGGGGGTTACAGCAACATACTGTTTTTCCCACGTAGAAATTTGCCAAGAGCTGCGCAGGGATATGTAAAGATCTCATTCAACCACCCGCGCAGCCTTGGCTGCATTCCAAAGTCACGGTTTTGTTTCAACATGTTTAAACCCTTGTTGTTTGTTGTGGTCCCCCGGTATGCTATCGTATACTTCCATATGTGCCTACTGTATCCTCCAATCAGAAACCAAAGGATCTACTGGTCGTGTTTAAGGCGCCTTGGCCCATTGCCTCACCATGTTTAATCTGCATCCACGGTACTATGCTAAACCAACAAACATTGCTATTCGCATCCAGTTTCACTCAGTAAAATCAGATTTGGTGCATCGCCAGTGTTGAATGTTAAGCCCCATTGTTTCTTCTATTATACGTCATACGTGTATCACATCGGGATTTGAGCGGGATTTATATCCATGGCCATCATTCTCAAATGAAGTGGAAGGACGTTTTCCAAAACCTGGTTGTTCACGGTTTTCACGCGTCGGCTCAGGATCTATGGGCTCTACCGACCGGTGCCTGCCGCCGTTCCTGCCAACCTCTTTGGTTTGGTTCCTTCGGCAAGCAAAGAAATGTTGGATAAGTTGGAATCATGTATCGATACTGGTTGTATCATGTTATATCCAATGTGTTAGCTGCTGTTGCTCACATTTTGCTGGCCATATCGGCATTGTTGTTGCGAACATCCCCATGTTGCTATAGACCCACAGCCACCGTACCCTGCATTTCTTGTTTGAATGACCCACGTCTTGTTGGTGAATCGATTCATTTTCATTTCATCATTCATCATCATTCATCATCATTCATTTCAATCACCTGCAATCATGTCACATTGCTCAGGCCACTTTGGATGATTTCAAGTGAAATTGGAGGCACTTTACACTACTTTAGAAATTCTCGGAGCCACTGATTCGTGGCAATCTTCAAATTCTGGCAAGGCCGAGGTCACCATCATGGTAAGATATGGTAAGAGGGGGCGATTGTCACCAAAAATGGTTAATATATAGTTTATATAGACATATATATATAGAATAATATACATTGTTTTGGCGTGGGAATCTGCAATAAAACTGACCAGTTGAATCTTTAGCGACTACCTTTCACACGACCGGAATTGGAGGTTATTTTGTCCTAGGTCTCGGGTTGAATATCGACCCAGATGTGTTCGGGCATCCTTCCATTCTGATGGGACGCCACAGCCAAATATTGGGGTTCAACTTCCCCTGACCCATGGTACAAATTACGTCTCAGAGTCTCACTGACATATCCTACCTGCGTAAACATCAAACACGTATTTGAAAAAGGTCGTATTCATAGATGCCTGGTTTACAGAATCATGTTCTCACATTGTACCTCTAAAAAGAGCTACACCTTGGTAAATCCACCATTTTCAGAGCCATATAGATACAGCAACAACAAAAAGTTGCAGAAAAATAAGTTCCCCTAGAACCACAAATCATACCCATAGAAGATTATATCCAACCCGTGTCTTTTATGATTTCACTCGAATGATATCCCAACAAAAGATGCTCAAATAACCCAGCTGTAGAGCCATGTGGGATTAAGACATTTAGGTGTTTTCCTAAAATGCATTGTTAAAAAATGTGCTCTTAAACATTCCCCGAAATATGAAACATGCAGATGCTTACATCTTACAAAGACATCCTTTTCCGCTTTTTTTTTGGAGGGGATAGGACCCTTCTACATCCACCAGCTGGTCTTAAGGTGGCATCCATCTACTACCTGGGTACCTGTTGGTACAGTGCTTGGCGCTTGGACGCCTTGAAATCAGGTCCGACGATAGAAGTCAAGATAGGGGGTCAATAATCATACAGAATATGAATGACGTATAGTCAACCGCCAACATATACAGATTATCTATTAATATATATATATATACACATGTACATATACATATATGTATGTGTATATGTGTGTATATATATATGCATTGATTGTATGTATATAATTATCTCTATGTATTGAGATGGTTCAGGGATAGAAACATGGATCTGCTGGGTGGTTTCAAAATGTACACGGTGTTCATGTTTGTTCCTCTTTGCTGTTCACATGAAAACTTTCTAAATGGAAACACTGGATTCTTCATTGTCGAGACACTGAAACTACTCATTTGATTATCCCTGGGGGATCGGAGAGGAGCTACGGCAGCGGTATCCATATCCTATTTCCCAGGCGATAGTTCAATCTTGCTGGGATGAGATGCTATCCCTAATGGCTGTGTCTGAACATCGGGTATATCCTTTCAACCGCCATGTTCATGGGATCATGATAAAAAGATCATGTGTCCACTTGATTTTGGTCGTTCTTTTACCCCTGAATGTAGCAATTCCAATGGAATTGGCTGGGTTTTCCCATGGAATGGTGCCAGGTGCCTGGAGCCGCTCTGCAGCGCTGGCAACCATTGCCACTTGGCATTGTTTTGGCCCACGTGGAATGGGTTCGTCTAACCGCCAAAACTGGTACTACATACGCAACTTAAACCCCGCAAAGTTTTTGACTACACACATCGTTTGTGGCATGACGTGGCGGCATCTGAATGTGTATTGGCGGCATCTGATTTGTTATTCTTTGCTGGCTCCGTTTCGCGATGATGTTAGTTACTTGTATGTAGTGTTTCAACACGCTAAGAACGAAACTACGTTCGAATTCTACCATTTATATTTTATCAACACAACTTCATGCCCATAAATAATCGCATGTTGGTTTGACCATGTTTGACCATGTTTGACCCTGCGATGCCGGTGGCAATATATCATGTTGACAGGTCTGTCAAGAATCACTAATGACTTCACCGATTCATGGATTGATTGGTCACTTAAGTCAGTTGTGCATGATCTCTTTCACATCATGTCATCAGCATCTCAACCACCGTTTGTTCATTCGAGGTACCCTCTGGTAATTTAACATAGCTATTGAAAATGGCTATTTATAGTGGATTTTCCCATGAAAAATGGTGATTTTCCATAGCTATGTTAAATTACCGGAGAGTACTGTATGTAAGCCCCACTTGTCTTGTCTTGTCTTGTATTGCATGGTATTGTATCGTATTGTCTTGTGTTGTATTGTCTTGTTTTGTATTGTATGGAGAAGACGTCAGCCTGCTCGACAAAGTCGTAGTTCAGACGCAAGCCCCGCCAGGGACAGAAATGGAATCAGTTCAAGCACTGAAGTCCTCCAAACCAGGTCACGCTGTCCATCTCCATGTGCATGCTGTCCTACGCCGCGCTGCAGCTACATCCTGAAGCCGCCGTGCCTGGGCGGTGGAACATGGGGACTGAGGTGGAAAAATTTGAGGGTTTTCATGAGATGGGGTGAAACTTTGGAAAATGTCGGGAAAATATTGGAAACATATTGAAACATGTGGGACACATGTTGAAATGTGTGGGAAAAATGTTGGACAGTCATCTAATCCATGGGATGTGTTTGGTGTTTTTGTTGGCGATTGGATGGATTTGAAGCAACATACAGGCATCAACTGCCAGAGGCTTTGGTCATCCTACTCCTGAAATGGTCGTTGAATAGTGGTTCGTCACCCGACAACCAGTGACTGGTACCAGTATTTGAAAGAACCTCTGGTAAACCAACCAACATAGCTATGGAAAAGCACCACTTTAAAGAGGTAAGTCAACTATACATGGCCATTTTGAACGGCTATATAAAATTACCCGAGGGTATAAGAAACTCAACAATACCAGTGATCAAGCCAGACTGGGACTAGCCCATGAATTGGACCCCCATCGACGATCCAAGACGGGGACGCGCCCCCACCCACCAAAGGTTCATCGGCCCATTGCATTCCCATATTCAATCAATGTTCAAATCCCATGGTATTCCCATGAAAAAATCCCAGAAATTGTACATTATTGTCGTTCATATCCCCATTCAATTGTGACCCCATCGTTCATTTTTCACTTTTAAATTCCAGAATAATCCCATGATAGTCCCATTCTGATGGAAGCAATGCAGCATACCATTGGAATAATTTACATTACGTAGTTCCAGAAATATGTGGGTGCCGTTGCCCGCAAGTGAAAACCAAGCTCATTGTATATTGATATTAGTATGGGAATCCCATTAATATCAATTTAGATACTCCGACAATTAGTAATCGGAGATGCAAATATGAATAAACCGCCGCAATATTTCCGCAATGAATCTATTGTAACTACATATAATTAGTTGGAAATCAGTCCCATGTATTTCAATTCAAATAAGATCAACAATCCCATAATTATGAATCCCATAGGGCTTCACTACAGTCCCATTACAATAGATATTCAGATATTCCAATAGAATTTCAATACATTACAATAGATAAATGTCCGTTACAATACTTTATTATATATATATTAGATACTGTAAATCCCATTGCAATAGATAAATCCCCACAATATTGATAAATGACTGTTATCATATATCCTCAATATCCCAATTACAAATTCCATCGAACACCCACATGATATTCCCATAGAGCTCACTTCAGTATTTCCAATCCATCTCGCCAGGAACATGTGGGCCATCTCGCGCGTCTCGACCAATGTGCCAACCAATGGGTAGACCTATCCTTAAATCGCCAATCTTACATATGATCATATGAGTGTGTCTGAAAATGGAGGGGATACCCAAAATAGATCAAAATAGTCCTTTTAAATCCTTTTAACTGGGAAGATCATCGAACATGATACTGAAGCCAATGGGTTTTGATGTACCTTATTTTCAGACAAGCCCATATGATGATAACGTGAGATATATTTTTGGGGGGGATACCGAATACTAATCAGCAACCAAGATCTTTGGTTTCCACAATAGGATGAGAGTGGGGATGATTCTCATCATTGAGCCATGAAAAATCACCCGCCATTATTGGGTTTGTTCTTGGGAGTTATACTACCTCAACTGTTGGGGATTTTGATAACCTATATTTGTAAAGTCGATCAACCAACTAGTACCATGAGATGGGATAGTGTTTGTTTTTAATGGCTCAAACGGGTTTGTCCGGAAATAGACTTCCAAGCGTTTCCATGCGCATGCATGAGATAATTCACCAACAATATGATATTTCGAAAAGTGGAATCCGACCAAAACAATTCTAAATTGACCCTTCCTGAACTAACCTTATTATATTGGGGATATAATGGGCAAAATCATAGATGTACATGCATATTATATCATATTATGGGATATAATTGGACATGCAATTAAGAATGTTAAACGTGGGTTTGTCCAGAAATAGAGGACCCCCGCCCACATGGTTGTGCTATTTTAACGGAGAACATGTTGCTGCACCATGGGATTTTGGAAAAAAACACAACACATCAGACAAACCCAAACAGAAGTAAATTCAAACCTTGTCTATTTTTAAGGGGGTACTACGTACTCTCCGGCAATCAAACATGGCACTTGGAAAGCCCATATTTTTATGGAGATCTCAGTGGGAAATCCAGATTTATGGTGGATCTTCCATGGCCATGTTTGAGTACTGGAGAGTATACATATACCATTTATCACCATGACTACTGTAACCATTAACCACCATCATCAACCATGATCAACCATGATAATCCCATTACAATCACATGAAGTTTATATATATATATATATGATTTTCATGGTATTTCCTCAATCAGGCTTAGCGTTCCACCTCAAGACTACCATATATACCCATTAATGCACATTTCCGCCATCATCTCCTAACACGAATGGTCGTGGCGCTACATCTATCCATAACCATATAAACATATGTGAAACCGGCCCCGGTGCTTAAGATGCAACACTGGCATCTTGTTCTGGAGTGTTCAGCTCAAACTAGTGGATTTCGTTTTAATTCTTTCATATTTGAGACGCTTGCTGCGGAGTAGAACAAAGTGAAGTGGTTGCATCTTTGAATTCATACAATATATCAATTCCATGTTTTAGTGGTCAATCCTATTCAATTATATATATATATATGATCATATAAATCCCATGTTTCAGTGGTTTTCATCCTCATTTTTTTACCAATCAACCGACGTGGACCGTGCCGTGCATCCGTCCGAGCCAAGGCTCTTCTTCAGCGTGTGCCTCTTCGCCGCACCGTTGAGTTCCCTGCGCAGCGTCCTCCGGGACAGGAGCTCCGAACTGCTGCCGATGCTGCCCAGCCTGCTGGGGCTGTGCCTCGAAGGGGAGAGATGAAAAATGGGGAAGAATCTCATGGGGGTGGTGTAGTTATGGTGGGAAAATGATGGGAAAACCCATGAATATAACGAGGTATATAGGAACTAGAATGGGAGAAAATGATGGGGGTGGGTATAATGGGTTTGGAGGACAATCATGGGATGTGATATTCTCATGGGATCATGTGATTTTGTCAGATAATCATCATAAAGAATACTGTGGATATTTATAGGTATTAGATGATGCAGAAAATAGAATCTGAGATTAGCTATCTGTGCAGAATTGCACCTGGCAATTTGGATGTGTGGAATCTTATGATGGGATTTATATATCGTAATGTGATAATCCTATCACAATCATATCACTACCAAGATCATGACAATATATTGAATATCGTTATATTTGATCATGACAAGTCTGTTGAGAGCATGGAAATGTGATGAAATTTGAAATAGCCGTTCAATTTGCATGGATTTATGAATCCAACTAAACACATACCCTCTGGCAAACTAACATAGCTGTGGAAAATCACCATTTTTTGCGGGTAAATTAAGGAACTAAATGGCCATGGCTTCAATAGCTAGGTTAAATTACCGGAGGGTATACTATCCATATGTTGGCTGGTGGTCTTATAACCGTTAACCATTATTTACCATTATTGGTATTGATAAACATTATTATTGCAAGAATTATGGCACCATATTAGTGCATTATATATTGATAGACAGGCACATGGTATACCCGGTATCTGACAGACACATCCAGTTCTTGTGCTCCCAGCAGGTTGTGCAGCGGATGCTGGTGTTACATCGGATGGCGTCATGACAGCAAGCCTCTCTGGGTACCGATCCTCAGTCAACAGAAATGGCTGCTGATGACGGCGGGATATAACCAGGGGATCTACCATGGGAACATCATAGGATAATAAAAACGTGGGATATATACTGGATTATAAGCAACGTATGGGAGAATTGGGGGAAAAATAGTGGGATAATAGCTATCATCCTCAACATATGGGATTATCTAGTGTAATAATGGGATATGTAGTGGATTATGGTCGGATAATAACCAACATATTATGTAAAAATGCGGAGAAATGTGTGCAGAATAGAGCTGGACAAACGGAAATGGAGTGGCTGGTGATCTGTGACCATTTTATGAGGATAGAATGGGCATATAAAATGGGATATACAGTGGAATATAGTGGGGATATAGGTGTAGAACCCGGAGTTTATTCAAGAAAACCTGACTGATTAGGTTTTGAGCGGGGTTGAACCATCATTCATAGGGGTTTAAGCATCTAAAGATATCTATAGTATGGGGATGTAATGAATAGATATGGATAGATGATGGTTGGTTAGTGATTCAAGGGAGTATACTATATATATATATATCATGATCCCTGAGCTGGAAATTCTCATTAACCACCGCAACAGAGTTTCCAATGATCTTTTGACACTAATCTATTGCTAGAAAGAATAGGTACCACAGATTTAAATCCTTGGTTTCGGGTTGAATATTCATTGGTAATGAAATATGAATGATGTGTTCGAGGACATTGAGATCAAAATGGGAAAAGTGTGCGGATCCAAGGAATCCAAGGCCACAAGATCAAAGATCAAGTGAGTGGTGAGCACAAAGTATAGTCAAATGTTGCTTGATGACAACATATATGACTCATACTAAAGAAACTCAGCCTTTAACAAGCATCGTTGGTAAAGTGTTTACACCATTAGATCACCATATCACCAATGGTTTGTGCTCAATCCCTACGGAATCCCCCAGATGAACACCTAAGGAATTTCAATGGCTTCCTCCTGTCCTGCGTCCAACTGCCACCTGGATGGGATCAAGGGCAGCTGTTCATCCGATGTCGGTCATCGAAAAATTGGTGATACCGCAAAACAGTGACCTTTTGTAGCTGAACACGTGGCTGAATTTCAATAAATTGATCCAGTTATCCAGTTCTTCAATCGCCTTGGGATAAAGTGGAAAACCGGAGTTTCACCTCATTCTAGTCGTCTGGGTCAGTTGGCTCGCACCCTTAGCCGACCAAGCTGAAAATGATGGGTCAGGAATCCTTGGTTCGAATTTGCCCAGAGCCATCCAACCATCCTTGCCACTCAGGATTCTCATCGGCATCTTTCCGGCCAAAAAGCTCAAGACCTTGCCTGGAGAGACCTCCCCGTGACCAACAGGATGACAGCAGCTGTGCGCCCTGGCCGTGCGATGTGCAGAACCTGAGATGAGGGCGATCCGGAGAAGATTGCGGAAGATTGCTGCGATGTGCAGAATCCCTGGAAGCTGGTGACGACACAACCTAAAAAAGTGCTCGGCCGGTGATGGAAAGTCCGGAAAGTGCTGTCAAGCACGGAAGTGGTGAAGAAAGGTCAATGCTGGCGTGAAAAGGGCTGCGGAAAATGTGACAGGACGGGGTTGAAATTTTCACCTTGGATTTTGGATGGTACAGCCGGTACAGCCAAGTTTTCCTATAGATGTTCCCTAAAATCAATTGAGGAGTGGCTGGTATTTATCCAAACTCATTCAGATATAATAAACATTCATCAACTATCCCATGAGAAGAACGCGATTGCCATCCAAATCAACCTGTGTTGTTTGGAGGGAAACTATGAAGCAGCAGGGCGGGGCAACGCGGGCAACGGCTAGTGACCTTCTCATGGCAAGGATATTATCTGGGATGAAGTTAGAACCCAGAATTTTCGTGATTTGTCCATAAGATTGGGCAATTTACCCTCTGGTAAACTAACATAGCTATTGAAAATTGCCATTTATAGTGGATTTTCCCATGAAAAATTGTGATTTTCAATAGCTATGTTAAATTACCAGAGGGTATATCAATGATCTGCTTAAAATACATAAGGTGGCAAGACCCAGCATTTTCCATCTATTTTTGGGATGAAAACCCAGGAACTACCACAGGTTCCACAGGTATTTTTGGCTTCACCAAGGTAACAGGGTTTTGTGCCATACTACGAGCCAGGGACGCCCATTTCAGGGATCGTCTTAGTGTTTTTAATGACCAATCTCATGGATGTTTGATAGGTGTTGGGGTTATTTGTTTGGCCGGGGGGCGCACCTGAATCACTCAAATTGCAAGTTATTGACACGTAGTGACGTAGTGGTTGGCAATTTAGAATCCAAAACTGGGGAGATATCAACCAAGAGTATATAGCGCAATCTTCCGAATCTTTGTCAGAGCACACTTTGATCCATTGCTATGTTCTTCCTGTTTCTCTCAATCCCAAAAAGATAGAACAGCAAATTGCCATTGTTTTAGCAGGAGTTGTCGTTCCTAGCTTTTCTGGGGCTGCTGTTTTACCTTCCAGTAATCATCCCTATCTATAGATGACGTTCCTATTAAAACATCCATCTAGTGCGGGGATTTTCATGCTAGCCACGTTTCTGATTACCCCAGTATAAAACATATCCGTGGTATGTGGTCCCAACTCACCTGACCCCTACAACAATTCCCGGTGTCCAAGGTGGCGACCCTTGGACGCGCAACAGCGACGCAGCCATCGGTTTTTGGAGAAACTACAGCAGGTTTTTTGGGGGTGGGCTGGTAATATGGGTCTTCCAATGGATCGTGGGTATAGGTCAAAATGGGCTAACCTAGATTAACTAGATTAACTAGATGGTGAGTACGAAACATGTACAGTAAAATCTGTGGTCCCATGGGGCTTAAATTTTGACTCATCTCCATATGAACGTGATGGTTTTATTCATATTAATTATGATGATAATTCTCCATGTTCATGATCATGCTAATCCCATGTATTTGTCCCACTAATGGAAGATCCCATGTAATTCTGATGGTATGCATTCTGATGGTTTCTATCGGTGAATACTTTATCCCATACACTTATCTATCCCATGATGGTGATTGTATGGATATCATCACTATACTGGTGATCATGTACGTTTTGCATCTGGTGATTACATGGTTTTATGGATATTAAACATTAACAGAACAGGGTCGCTGAATCATGTTTGCACCGGATCCGAAATCACTAGTGTAAGATATCAAGTCACCACACGCCCACCCCTCGCATTTTATATCTGTTTTCCCTGGTGCATATTATATCCGCCCCATGGGTTTGTCTGAAAAGATCGTGAAAGCCCCAAAGTTTGTTGTTTGATGTTGATCATCGATTTTCCCTATTAAAATAGCATAAAAATAACCAGGAATTGGAGGTGAATATGGTCCAGAACTGGTTCTTCTCCGGTCACCAGGTTGCACAGCTGGAGTGCAGAGCTGCAGCTCATGCATGGACTACTTGAAGCAGCGCGTGAGGACGGTGATCCTGCGTACTTCTCATGTTCTGTTGGAAACCTGATTTTAGCGCTCAAATGGTTGGGTTTATTAATGGTTATTCTGTTTCTATGGTTGAACATTAAGCATTCAACTCCTGTTGGGTTCAAGTATTGTTTTGGACATATTCTTTTGAACACCACCCCTTTATAATCATCTCAATCATTGAAATCATCTACAAATATGTATCTATAAATATGTAACAATATGTAACATATGTATTTTCCACAGCTATGTTGAAATACCCAGAAAGGACCCCCATCACCAAACCCTTCAAATTACCCCACGGATGAAGGCCCAAGAGGCCCAAGATCCGAAACCGACCTTGTTTCAAGGGGTTCAAAGGCTGATACGTTTTTACCTTGGGCAAAATAACCATTTGTGTGGAACATATCACCATTTTAATAGGTATATAAATGTATATAGTATATAATTTAATGTATATACTTCATCCGTAGCATTGGTTTAAAATGCCACAAACACCACCATATTCTGTTGGCTGATATGTGTTGCTTGATTATTATACAGGTTGTAAGAATCCCCAAATTAGGTGTGACACTAAATATATGGGACATCTTTGATAAATGATGGCTGACTGATGGTTGATTGGACTTGAAGGGAGTTATACTACCTAGTTTATTTTGGATGAATGAACCAATCGATAGTAGGGAAACCTCTCAACTACTACAATGAGATTGGATAGGGGTATATGTCATGGCTCGATTAAACAGTGCTAAACCCCCGCACATCATGGCTGGCTATAAATAATTTTAGTTACTGCATGTTTATGATTGATGACCATATTTACTATTAGATCCTGATTGCAATTATCCATGATTATCCATTATTTGGCCATTAAAAATCATAATTCACTATTGATGGCTAAAAGTTGCTAATGTCGGTAAAACAATGATAAACCATCCCCCAGTCATCACCATAGGTGGCATGAACCATTCCCAGTCATGGGTGGTTTATGACATTGTTTTACCCACTTTACATGTTTTTTGCCATCAATTTGGAACGAGGTGAGACAAGATTCCCAGCCAATGGGACGCAAAAAATTGATGAAAAGCTTATGTATGGCCAGATATGGCCAGTAAATGGAGAAGGCTAGATGTGCCTTCCATGGCCTAAAACGATTTCATGGCTTTTCCAAGAATGTTTCCCATATATCATATAAGATGAGTGACGGATGTCCCATTCTATCATATTCTATCCCCGTTTTTGCTCGTGAAATCCCATTGTTGATGGTTAAACTAGCATGTTTCTTGTTTAAATCACCATTGTTGTTGCTCAAAACACCATTTGGGATGGTGAAATACCAATTTTGGCTACAGATCTACAGTAAGTAGAGGTTTAAATCCAAGTAGGCGACATGCCAAATGCCTTGGAATCGTGACGCGGGTGACGCGGCATGCTAGGAGGCGGCGAGGTGCGGGTGGCCCAGAGGCGATTGGAACGCTGATCAGTAAAGACTGACATCAGAAGTATCAGTTTAATATAGTAGATTTACATAGTTATATAATGTTATATATACATACATGTACATAGAGATAGATATACATATATATATATATACATAATTATATATAATTATATATACAGATATGTATGAAATGCATTATTATTTGCCTAAGGTGGAGGCATGATCCAAATAATGGTTTTCACTGGATGGATTTGATCGCCATACATTTAACTACTGTAGATGTTTGTAGTGTTTTGGACTTACCACATATTCAGACATAGGCCACGACAAGTGAAACTAACTTACCAGGGGGTCAGAAAACACAACCAAGTAAAACTGGCCGAAGATAGTTGGGGGCTAGGGACTGTTAATGTCCTTAAGCCGAGTAGCCCAATTACCCCTCAAGATCAAAGGTGGGTATAGCGACGTCTAAAGTTTGGCATTCACATTTTTTTCTGAATTCTATACTTCTGGGGTTGGGGAAAATTGAGAGTCGTATAGTCACCTCTGGGTGTTTTAATGGAAAACCATCCCATGAATCTTAAAGATATACAGCACCCGACAGAATTATGGAAAAAAAAAACGTTTCAATTTACAGGCGCCGCCTGTCTATGATAGAAAAGTTACGAACCTTTTTTTTCCATAATTATTTTTTCCATAATTATTTTTTTTTCCATAATTCTGTCGGTGACTGTATGTCCATCGATTCGCAATTTGAATGCATTTTAAGGGGGAATATTGAATTATAGAAAATATGTGTCTAAAGATCTGGTATATGCCCCTAAGTCTTCCATTGATATACAATTGCACCACCAAAACTCATTGTTGTACGTACATATATATGCGGGATGTATCCTTTTGCCAAGCCACCAATTGGGTTGATACTACATACTTGCATTTGCATACATATTTCCATAACCCCCCAAAAAAAAGGGGGTTGAATTGTGGATCCATGACATGTCCAACAGGTGGAGCCCCAAACATTAATTATGGAAAGAATAATTATGGAAAAAATAATTATGGAAAAACCGGTCAATCTGCCCTAGCCCCCTGATTTTACAGGAAAAATCAATTATGGAAATAATGGCCACCTCCAAGAATTATGGAAAAAAAAAGGTTCGGATCACTTCCGGGATATTTTGAACCCTTATGGGGAAAAACCCAATTATGGAAAAATCGGACGCAGGCGCCGCCTGTCTAAGTTGAACGTTTTTTTTCCCATAATTCTGTCGGTTACCATAAGCCCACCCGTTGTTTTTTTCCCGCACGGATGTATGTCAAAATTCGGTACCCCTTGAATTGGTTGGTTCATAGCACTTTGCCTCCAAGTCTCTCCGTTGTCTTGGTTGTTTTCCGGCATTGTTCCATCCCACCAGAATCTACTTCCTTCCAAGTATTCAAATCCAGGCGAAACTCGGGGAACATCAACCATCATTTATTAACCATTAACCATCATGACCCATTAATGGGTGATTGATTTATGGTTTAGTTACTAACCCTGAGGTTTTTCGTATTTTTGGGAAAGATGGTTTGAAGTTTTTCTCCTTGCGCCAGTGCCATTTTGGAGCCAAAGAAATCACCCAAAGCTGCGACCCGCCCGACCCGCCGCTGTCGCAACGCCATGGCCACCGCTGTAGCAGCCCCGGAAATGGAAGACCTAAGGGCGCCACAGGCAGGGGAAAGGTGGGATCCCCCAAATTATTGGCCATTTTCGTAGGGAAAATGATGGGAAAATATGTGGAAATATGGGGAAAAGTGTGGGAAAAAATATTTGGAATGGATTTGAAAGGGACAAAAGAGTTTTCAAGTGTCTGAATATCCATATTAGCCATTGGGGATCCTGGTTCGGAAATAGGTAGTTGTGATTGAGGAGTATAATTCCTTTTAGGGTTCCTAGGAAGCCTTTTCTCAGGATGCTACAGAACAGTTATAAATGACATGTTGCTCCTAACTTCCCGGCTCCTAACTTCCCGGGGTCGAAGTCGTCCATTTCTTGCTCTAACCTTTGGATAGAGGGATCCAGATGGCCACGGACCAAAACGCTGGTGCCGCACGGTGGCCGTAGTTCACAGGTCACTGATTTCAGCCGGCAGCCATAAAAGGGCCATAAAAATTCGACATCTATGGATGAAACTCTGAGTTATTGATGAAAATATCATCACTGAGAACTATACCATGGGTTATTCTATCAATATACAATTCCCACTTGTGATTTTTTCATAGCTCATCAATGGAATACTAATTCCCATCGATGTCCATGGATTATCCAATGACAATCCTTAATGAATGATTCCCAATGATGATTCCCAATATTGCTGAAGCACTGTATTAATTTACTGTGTTGGTTTTAGCATCACAGCCCGCACAGATGATGTGCTATCAGTGCGAGCAGACCAATGCTGGCAGGGGCTGCACAACTACAGGAGGGGTGGAACATGGAATGTTGGTGATTTCAAGATATGGAGGTTTCCTAAAATAGGTGTACCACCAAATCATCCATTTTAATAGGATTTTCCATTATAAACCATCCATTTGGGGGTACCCCATTTACGAACTATAATATATAAAATAGTTCAGAGCTATATATAATGTTCCATACCGTATGGGTCAAAATTGGGTACCCCAATATTTGAATGGCGAATATAAGAAATAGATTACAACCTGTGGTCACCCAGGTCTTCAAGTTGGACCCATAGACATATTTCAACTATCTGTTATTTGGATCCATGTTTGGGAAAGTCTCATATCGAAGAACAGTTAAAGTGAGTAGAAACGAAAGCTTTATATAAATCTAGGTTTGGATGGATCCTGTATGATCCAGTTATGATCATATTTGGTATGATGATCATGTCAGATGACTTCCTATCTGTGGGATTGCTAAAAACCAATCAGAATATACGTTGGCGAATTATAAGCCCATCCCTACAACAATTAACCCCATCAGAAATCCTAATGAAGTACGGGATCGGTATTTTTGGGGGCCCTCCCGGGATTGCACCAGTAGGTTTGAGGTAATCCAGATCCATGTTTCATGAATGGAAACTCACCGTTTCCCACTGTTGAACTCCTTCAAGAGCGAAAGATCGAACGGCCTATGGGATTGGCCCACCAGTTTCGATCCTTGGTGTGACCCTCTTATTACCTGGAGTTGGCTTTGTTTGATCATAGGATATCCCATCCACTGATAAAGATCATAAGGTTAGCCATTTCCTATATGTTGGATTCCTATGAGTTGTTTATCCCACTAATTATTTCCCCACCATAATCATCCTCATTATTATCCCATGATATGTTTGTCCCCCTATTTTCCATTAATTCTTCCCATTATAAATATTGACAACGGATCATGATTTTCCTAAAATGACCATATTTTCAGAATAACTGATCAAGAAATGACCAGTTGATACTTGCTTAATATGTCCATTTTTCCCTAACGTTGGTCCATAAATCGTTACAGACGACACACGACGGACGCGTCTAGCTTCGCAAGGAGTGTGCAAGAAGAGTCCCGATACCGCCGGCTTGCAGGATCTACAGGCAGTTTGCGGAAAATCACAATCTTTACCCTCTGGTAAACATACAAAAAACTATGGAAAGATCCACCATTTTTAATGGCAAAATCCACTATAAAGGGCCATTTTCAATAGCTATGTTAAATTACCAGAGGGTAAGTTCGGTAAATCAAAAATGATTATCAATGGGTCATGTTCAATAGCAAACTGTTAAATTTCCGGGTAGGTGTTCAGAATATGTTTTTGGGATTGGATGTTACTTGTCAATACTTGTCAATCTTTTTGGGTGTTGCTATAGGCCATTTGGGTATAGTTGGGTATGATTCAAAACCTAACTATCATTTTTATTCATTTTTTGGGTGGAAACAACTTCAAAAACAAGCATTTGTCAGCCAATGATTGTCGAATTCACCAGGCAGTATCAAGTTTTTGCCCCCATGAGCAGTTTCGGAAAGCCTGGGACGGGTTGATTAAAGGGGGTTTCCCATGGTCATGTTCGATAAAACCGGAGGGTAAGGCCCATGGATAATTTCTGCTAGACAACTATGGCCCGAAACTCCTGATTTCAAAGGAGGAAACAATTTCAACATTATGGATATATAGCTGGGGGAGTAAGCCTTGTTGAAAGCCAATCTTGCCATCCGGAGATTTCACAAGGCCATATACAGAACCATTCAACAAATTTCAAACCAGTACTGTTTGTGAACCACAAGTGTGCCCAAGATTGATTGCAGAGGCAGGACCAGCGCAAAAGGTTTGACGATGGGTATTGCTGGTCGTGCTGGGAAGATTCATGATAATGTTTTTGAAGGCTGAATGCTATGACCCGTGCCGCAAAGTTGTGGTTCTGCCATTCGATGGGTCCGGTTGGGACGGCTCATTGACTCGCAACAACCAGAGTTTTGTTGGATGCGCCTGCTTTTCGTAAACTGGTTAGTTCGGAAACCCTACCTGGTTGGTGGTTTGGAAGTTTGGAACATGTTTTATTTTTCCATATATTGGGAATAATCATCCCAACTGGCTTTCATATCTTTCAGAGGGGTAGGTCAACCACCAACCAGCTACAGTATCCTACACTTATTTAGAGTGGACGCAGGGAATTGTCGAACTGATCCATGTCGCCTCGCCATTTTGGATTTGCTCGTGCACTGCCTATTGAAAAGCCAACCTTCACCCCCTATTGTGCGGGGATATGGTTGGAGTATATGTGCGTTGCCATATGAACATTCCATAACAACCCTTGCCCCCAATGGATCCCATAATGAACAGATCCAGCACGGTTTTCGTAAGGGACATCTCACAGCCCTTTTTGAGACAGACCAGCATAGCTGGCCCATTTCTCGCATCAGCCATAGAACCATGGGGTGATAGGTCCCCTTTTTTAACGGTGAAAAACAAGAGTTTTCTGCCAACAGCTGATTTATCCTAAACCCTTATGCTATTCAAATTCTGTTCCCATTGCCCATATTACATACCCATGATATTTTCCCATGAGATGTTCCATTATTGATGATATTCCCATCATAAATTCCCATGAGATTTTTCCATTGATATTTTTCGGATGTCCCCAGCCGAACGAACTTCTCAACCCCAAGTGTGTCGGCCCAGATGCAATTCTCCTTCCGTCTCTGTCAACTTGCCGCCATCGATTCGGGACCCTATGAGGAGCAGTGTCGGTACCTGGGAGAACAAATTGGGGGCTGATGACCTGGCGCCTAAAAAAAGTGGTTCAACATGAGGAAAACCATGTTAAACCAAGGAAAAATGTGATTGGAGCACATACGTATGCAAAAAATGGTTTTGTAATTCTGGTAGACTCCAGAGCAGACATCACGGGATGTAAAAACCTGTGTGCCGATAGAGATATGGGGTGTTTCAATGATTCAACCGGGAGGGTAGCTACCAAACACACACTGGAGCCGATTCTAAGCAGTTAAAATGGATGCGAAAAAAAAACCACGCAACAAAATGAAAAGATGTTTTTAAGCAACAAAAAAGGACATAACCAGCCAAAAATCCGGTTGTAAACCACAGTGGTTTGAAATTGTTTCATCTGGCATGGCCCTGGTGAAAAGTGACAAAATCCGAGCAAAACCCGTTTCTTACGTTGGGATTAAGGGTGTAATCTGCAACAGGTGGTACATGGTGGTACCCTTGACCCATCCCATGGAGACAAAGCCAACCAAAGTCTGACTTGATGGAAGGGAGCTCGGGTCATTCGGGGCATCCCTCAGTTTTTGCCGCCATAAACCACAGGACCAGGTGTAGGGTTAGTGTATGGTTTAATGTTTTGGGGGGGACGGCATGGTATGTTATTCATGTGAAAACTCCTGGATGAAAGCTGGAAAAATGATAGAAAATGATGGATGGAAGAGATTCTGCACCAGTTGATGGTTTATCTCATTTTTTTATAGGGTTTCAACCATTCAAGGTGGTGCAGGATTTCTTTCATCCACAGTATGATAAATGAGATTGGTTCAACAGCACCATAGATATGGGCGATGATCGCCACAAGAATGGGAAGGAATCCGCTCGTCCTTGGCTATGGGCGAAAATGTCAATGGAATATGCAATACCTGGGTTTGTTTAAGGTATAAGGTGACGTTTTATTTTCCCACTGGCAAATCCACCATTTGGGGAAATTATAGGGAATATATATATGGGAATATGTTGTATTTGTTTGAGTTCCTCAAGCAAAACCAAGAATATCGTCAGTTCTTGCCGCTTCTCCAGTGAAAGATGGATGACGTTGACACAAGACGACCTGTTCACCACGACCTGTGGGTAACTGGTGAATATCCCTCAATCTTAGTTGGAACATGGGATTTTACTAAACTCAACCTGTATGTTGGTTGAAATCCAATGTTGATCCTGGTTAAATCATGTTAAATCTCATTTGTTGTGGCTCAACGCCCCCGTTCCAACTTCTCCCGTTTTCAGGCACTTGGTCTTGGAGTCTCTCTTCTCAACCCTGACGACACTGGGTCGCACTAGAGCTGAGACTTTGACTATACCGCTTTGGGTCAAAACCCTCGTACCCTGGTGAACCCCAAAATAACTAGAATTAGATGATAAGTGGATGTTCAATTGCCAAAACATGGTATAATAGGTTTTGATCCATCCATACAAATTATATAAATCCTTGGTATGAGAATCTCTTCAACTGTGTATGCGATAGGTATCCCCGGACCCCCAAACAGGATGGTGAAGGTTGAAGCCAGGGCCAATCCTGACAATATGCCCTACCTGAGAAGTATGACCCAGTTATTCCACATGGTTATGTCACATGTTTTACGGATTCAGCATGATTCAGCCACCCCCAAAGCTCACACCCCAACAATAAGGGTCGATGTTGTAAGGATTGAACCACCAATAACCACATTGATTCTGGGCGAGTCTTCACCATCATTGGGGCTTCGACAGGGCTCGAGCTCACCAGTGGGGAAGATCCAGGAAGGGCTGAAGAACTGACACTCGTTTAGTCAGAACTAGTTTCACTAAGGGAATACCCACTGTATCGGAAGCATCTCCCAACTAATGTGGGCAACCATTTGGGGATAAACGTTGAACTCCAAGGCATCAAAATGCTGATGACTTGGGGGATGGTTGGTTGAAACTTGGGGTTTTCTCCCACATCAAAAACACACCGAACTCGACTTTCACTCTCCCATCCGCGTCGAAGTCGCGAGGAACGTGAACTTCGATAACTTGCGCTTCGTGCATTACATCTACCAATGCGATGAGTTGATCCGGAAGATGGAGGAGAGATCCATGGGGATGGCAATTTGATCAGAAATGATGGTGAGTTAAGCAGTGAAAATGGTGACTTAATGTGAGTTAACCATCAGATCTGGTGGTTTTAACATGTTCGGTGCAACCCTGACGTTGCTCCGCGCCAGAATTGCGGAAGGGTTGCATATTCTTGAAATGCCATGTCGGTGGACTTTCCATATGTAGAATGTAGATGTATATGTAATCCATGATCATCATCATCATCATCATCATGCCTTATAAAGATAAGTTGAGGCTATTATCAGATTCAGATAGATTCAGCATATTTGCCACCGGGGGTGGAGGATTTTTTTTGATCCCTTTTAAAGATATGTTGATGCTATTTTCAGATTCAGCATATTTGTCAAAGGGGATGGTGGGATTGTTGATCCCTTATGAAGATAAGTTGATGCTAGTCTTTATTCAACATATTTGTCAGAGGGGGTGATGGATTTTTGATCCCTTATGAAGATGAGTTGATGTAATTACCCCATTCAACATATTGATGAGGATGAGGATGAGGATGAGGACGACGACGACGACGACGATGATGATGGTTGCAAGATGTTGCAAGTGTGGAGCAACGTCCGGGCTGGACGGAACATGTTTAAACGAGTTTGATTCATAAACAATGTGACTGAATCAGTCAGAAAGATATGTCACCAGTAAAAATGGTGATTCTCTGGGTAAGGGCCCCAAAATCAAAATTTTATTGTTTGAGTATTGAAACCCATGTGTTTGGGGACCCCTTGGGAAGTACCATGAACTAAGCAATTATTGAACACGGCAAGAGGATCTTCGTATACCAATTTCGTCCAATCCATTTACCATCTAGTGGTGAACGGAGGGAGCGGTTCGGAGCTCGGGGGTATCAACATTTCCCAACAGGAAATGGTGAGCAGTTCGGAGCTACGAATCGAGTTTTCCAACCACATGATACTGAAAGTCCAAGTTGTTCACATGTTGTCGAATTAGAGCCCGTGTAAAAATTCCTAGTCATGTATGAGCAACATCTCCGTGTTGTTTTCATCGTCTCAGAAAAGTTTCTGTGGGAAATTGTACAGAGAAGTTTAACATACTGGTATAACTTTATAACACTTTATAACCCCTTCCGATTCAATAGCAAAAGCCATTGTTTGTTCAATAGCAAAAGCCATTGTTTACTGAGTTATTTTTCTCAAGTCAACCCGGTAAAAATCGCGTTCTTCCCATGTTTCTGATCCCCATGCTTATGCTTTTGTGCGCCAGAGCCTACCCTTGTATTTCTCCGCAATTCAGCCATGTTTCTGCATATTTGGCTGCTTCACCTCTGGTGCCTGTTGGTTAAGCGTCCATTGTCGTTCCTGAAATATGTATACGCATCGCTTATTTGCTGCGTTTTCTTAGTTGAAGCACCCCGTTTTTTGGTTCAATCCTCAGATTTGTTGTTGAAATCCCTACGTATGTTTGATCCTTTTTTGTGGATTGAATTCCAATGTTTGTTGTGTGAGTTCGCGGGGCGGAGTGGTGCCCCTACCATGGCCCAATAGGGATGGTGAGCGTGTGCTGCAGACGCGGCCCTGATTTTGCTGAGAAGACGGTGTTGGCTGCCGGTGCACTTGGAGGGCGACGCCACGGCCCCAGGCAGGCGACCGTGTTCTGCGAAGATTCTGGCGAGAAGAGGTTGGAATTTCGCGAGCAGAAGTTCAGCGCGGGGCGTGTCTGCTTGGCGCACAAGTCTACAGTCTTTTTGTATCTTTTGGTGGTTTCAATTCATCATGAGTGTGGATTAAATCGTGTTAAGTCCATTTAAATCCCCTATTTGTCTTGGTGAAATCCACCGTTTTGACTGCTTCGGATAGGTTAATCTCCAAACTTTACCAGCGAACTCCCCGGCCATCACCAGGACCACCTGAAACACGGAGGATTCGAAGGACCCGTGGCCAATGCCACCATCCCCAAGCTGCCACCCAGCAAGGCCTCACTCGGCAAGGGGGATGTCTTTGTGGGGATATAGTAGGTGAATTATGTATAATAATGTACATGAAATCCCACCATTATACCTCCATTACACCACCATTATACCACCATTATACCACCATTACACCGCATAATACCACCATTTTACCACCATTATACCACCATTATACCGTTTAATAATACCGCTTTTATCTTTTCCACCATTGGAATACCATTTGTGGGTATGTATCCCATATTTTACCACTATTATGAAATGGTGGGATTTCATGATGAGTTTCCCAAGAAAAATATCGAAAAATGGTGGTTTGTAACATGATATATATACCCTAATCCTCAAAGGACCTCGAAATGAAGGCCTTTCAAAAGGACCTCGAAATGGAGCAAAGGACCTCAAAGGACCTCAAAGGACCTCAGAGGACCTCAGAGGACCTCCCATGTGAACCTGAGATAATCTGAGGCCATTTAGGCTTGAAATTGAAGGGACAATGCACAAGATAATAGATTGAAATGATAATGACATTCAAGATAGAACAATTTCATTCAAGATGATAGCTTGACATGAAAATATCATAGAAGACCTATATGATGGTTTAAAACACCCATCCGCCAAGTGAGCCCATGAGCAATGCCTCAACTCGCCGCTCAAAGAGTCAAGGGCTTAATTTGTCTATGTGATACCCTTTATAATCAACCCTTTCCCGACAAACTGCCAAGGGCGAGCAGCAGCAGCCCTGTGCGGAGGTGCCACCACGCCCTGCTAAGAACTGGTTGGTTTCTTGCCAATTTCCCATTTGGATACGGGTCAGGTGATAACCCCGAAAATTGACGATGAAATTTTGATAACATAATGGTGGGCCTATTGATTCGACATTTTTGACTCATACCCATCATACCCACTGATGCTAGTACCCTGCTGTGGGGTTCCTTTGGGCTCAGGGGTAGGCAGCCTCACCCGGTGCCTGCATTTTTTGACCTGTGGGCAATGGAGCCTGGTCGTGTCTCGCTTCTGAAGGCCAGCTAGCTAGCTAGCATCGCAAGCTTTGAAGTCACCCAAATATGTTTTGAAACATCCAAGCTGGAAAAAATGCCGCACAATTTTGGGCTAGTGGTTTCAAACGTCAAATATGTTTATAATCAAAATCATACGTAGTGATGATTGCCCCCATTGCTACTATATTTGGAGCCATTTGAAACCACCAGCACAAACAGTTAATGATTAATTACCACCAGCGTCAATGTGCCATAGCGCCCCTTTGCAGGTGTTCTATGAGGAAAGGCTGAGTGATGATGACTTTCTTGCATCCAGATTCTACCATCTGGCCGTTCAACAAGGAGTCCCCAAACACAAAGTTGAAAAGAGGATTTCCGAACAAAAGGCCGGTTCAAATCTGAAAGGGATGTGATCAGTTTATGCATATGTACTTCTCCTGTTTGGCAACTTTACGGACGACTTCAAAACCAGAAACTTATTGTCGGCCAGGCGCCTTGCACCTTTAGCTTGGTGAACATCTCGCAGGGTGTCATCAACCCTCAAGTTGCTTCGGGCTTGGTGTTACTGAAACAAACACTTTACTGTATAAACTATAACCCATTGTTTCTCCCTACATTCTAAACAAGTTGTTTTTATTAATGAAATTTATTCCTTTAACGGGGCCGAGGTTGAGGATCCCAACAATTCGGCATTCCTGATGGATTTCCTGGCCACCTTCGCTGGTGACATGCCGTTTGCTTCGGAAATGAAGGCACCAACTTTTTCAAGATTTCAAACAGGTTCCAATTCTTAGATGCCTTTTGTCGTCAACATATTTGGTTCCAGACTCCAGCATGTGTCAGGGTGTGCTCATGACTATTGCCAAAGACATGGGCCAGCGCTTGGTGAAGCATAGGTGCAAAGATGACCTGAAGGACTGGTGAATTTTTGATCCTGTTATCCCACCAAACCCTGCTCGGATTTATTCGGATTTTTCTACCATGTTTTGATCACTTTCACTTGTGAGTTTGAAGGAATGGGCTGACAAAGAAGCTGACGAACAACTTGGTTTGGTCCGCTATGTTCTCAAACGATCCCGTAGAAATGAGAAAGCCAGGTCGGCCCCTCATTTGTGGTGCTATGCGTTATAAATTGCCCAAGCTTCAAACTTCCTTTGCGCTCTCAGGTCTGGCTACAAGGCCATGGAAGAGCTCAAGGGCCTGGTCAAAGAACTGTTGGGTGATCGTGTTTCGGTTGGAGATTCGCAACATTTATTTGACTTACTTGGTGCATGCAGGGTTCAAGTATATAACATTGCCTTTTCTAAGCTAGCTCAGGTAATGCAAGGGGAAAGAAGAAGACCGAACAGAAAGATGACACAGAGGAGACACATGGTAAAGAGGAGACACATGAGAAAGATGAAAGCAAGACAGAGGACTTGCCAGAAGAATGCACGGTGAAAGAAGCGTTGCTTGTCACCGGAGCCACATACGATGATTTCTCGGATGACAAGATGAAGGAAAGGGATGGACAGGAAGAGAAGGATGATGAACCCAGAAAAGAGAAGCGTGCCAAATTTGAGCGTCAGTTTACTGGAAGACAAATCCCAGATGGCTACTATGATTCGGATGATGCAAAATATGGGTCCGTTCATGGAAGCTCTAGCGAAGACGACAACATGGATGAGCCACAGGCAAGCACCAAAGCAAGCATGCAGCAGCCCAAGACACCACCAAGAGAAAAGTTGAGAGATGCGGAGAAGGAGGAGGAATGTATGGAGTTAGATTCCGACAACGAACAAAGAAAAGCAGCTTTCCAGGACAGCCCATAACCCCAAAATTAGCTAGTTCAAAACATCCTTTGTAGATTGTACTGCGTGCCCTTAAATTTGATGCAGGACCGCGCCCCGCTGTTCGACAGAGTGCCGGAGAAGCCTGATGTTGCCAAGCTTTTCAACCAATACTTGAGAAATGTGCAGAAGCAAGACCCAAAAAATCCAGGAGTACCCATGACCAGTGACCAAGTAGCTGTTTGCACACAGTTCATTCTGCAGGCCAGACCACCATGCACTTGATTTTCAATTCATTGTCCCAAACTCAGTTTTATTTATATGGGTAAAAATCAGACTTGCTGCAGATGCAAGATGACATGCGCAAAGACATCAACCAGCAGATGAAAGAAGCTCAAGCTGAGCTTGAGCCAAAGACAAGGAGCAACAAAGGTAAGGGGCGGGGCAAGGGCAAAGGCCGTGGAGGTCGTGGGAAAGGTCGAGGAAAACGGCAAACGCCAGCGGATGATGCCGATGACGAACATGTCAGTGGTGATGGTCTTGCTGCTGATGGGCATCAAGGCTTGGGGGAAGAGGCTGAACCCGAAAGAAAGAAAAAGCAACCGAAAACGGCAGCAAAGACAAGGGCACGCAAGGAGCGCATAAAAAGCTGGTTTTAATTCCAACGGTGCTTTGTTAAACAAATTCACGGCTTTTTTTCAAAGCTATTGTTCTTCCAGGACAAAAAGCATGAAGACCTGGGTGCTGACATGCAGGCACACAAGGCACAACGCAAAACACATAAGTCAACACCCACACTGTTTTGCCAGGACCAGACCCTTGGATCTTTGCCTTCTGCGGCTTCTGACCCAAAGGCTGAGGCCGCTCTTGGGGGGGTGGTTCATAAATTTTGCCCGATGAATTCTTCACAATCCCCATTACAAGTTTCAAATACCTCTCTTCGAAATGTCAAAATTGGCAGTGGATATTTTGCTTCTTGCAAATTCCTCACAATCCCAATCCTACTCGCAAGTTTCAAATACTTTTTTTCGAAATTTCAAAATTGGGGCATTTTGCTTCTTGCAAGGCTGGGACCGCTCCCCGAAAGCGCACTGCAACACCAGTGTGGCACCCCAGTGCGTGGCAGGAAGTCAATTGTTAGCGGCACTCTGGATGAATCAATCTGACACACTAGGCTGAACCCAAGCCAGCCGCTACTGATGCAAAGGCCACCATGTACCATTGCAACTCAAAATTTGTAGCTCCAAACCAAGATGTTCTATTCTGATTTGATTCAGTAGTCCTGTAGGAGACGCCTGATGCATCCAATGCACACCAGGACCAACAAAAACTTGACTTCCTTGTGCTGTCTTTCCTATCCCTATTTCCACACCAGCCAAGTCAAACGTCGCAGGAAGATGGCACCCCGGAAGAGCCACCGAAGAAGGCCAGGGCTTGTTCGACAGGAGTAATGGGGTTGGGAAGGGAAACATGTTGCCCCTTTTTGTGGAGGCTTCCCGTCCACGCATTTCAGAGGCGTGCTTCCCATGTTTGAATTCATGTGTTGTGCACATTCAAGTCTTCGCAAAAGATTGTTATCAGTTTCTCCATGTTTCTCCACTTTTGCAATCTTATCAAATTCTTTTGCATGTTGCTAGGAGTGCAAAGCTGCACGTATTGAGTACCTGCGTGCTGTCGAGAAAGAAGACCCGAATTTCCATGTCCCAAGGGATATTGCACCGAACAAGATGCTTGGGGCCTCAACTTCTCATTTTCATTATATGTTTTTAAGTTTTGCCAGAGTATGTCTCTCACCACTTCCCCTCGATGGTATTGCTTGAATGCAATCGTCCCGGCATGAGGTCGTGGACGGTCTACGCTCCTGAATTTCCAAATCCTGTGAACGAGGAGGACTCTCGAGAGAAGCTGTCACCTATTCAGGTTTTGCTTGTGGGAAATTTTTATGTTAACGCGGTGAGCGAAGATCGCGCAGCGCAAGTCAACAAAGTTCATGGTACCACTATCAAGGCAGGTCAGCAGGGTTGCAGATTCAACAGTCAAAAGATGGAGAAACACAGTCGTAATACCATGCACCCAAAGTCTCAGCAGCACCCAATTTATCAGCTAGCTTATGGAGGTGGACACAAAGAAGAAAGGAAGCACACTGAGTTGGGGAATCTATGATGGACCCGCACATGCTTGGAAACTGGCCAAGCAATTGGCACAGTGGGAACCTGTGGAGAGCAAGTGACGAGCCCTGCCTCGAAACGTAGGCCTTATAGGTCTTGGCTGGTTCGGTTATTTCAGTGGCATCACCTCGCGGGTGTGCAATTGCAGCAGCATGCTATGAAAGTAAAATCTATCCCTCTCAAGAACTTTGAAAATATTTTGACGTGATACGTTCACTAATTACTACATAGCCCAGTCTCAAATCTGTTCCTTTCTTGCTGTGGCAGTTGCGGGGGGAAGTGAAAAGCACCAGAAAGTAGCCCCATACAGCCTTGGGTTTCGAATGTCGCAAGAAGACTGGAAATAGCAGCCGGAGATCAGAGGTTTACCAATGGTGAAAAAATGTTCGTTGGCAGTGTGCACATGGCATTTCTATCGAACATCTTTGGTCAACACGTGGATCAATCAGAAAAACTATATGTGTTGTAAAGAACCTCCAAACACTTCCATTTTGATTTCGCACATCTGCAAGAGCAACCTCAGTCATATATTCTATGGCAGCCTTTTTGCTAGCCCCTCAGCTGGTAAAACTTATCAGCCCCTGGCTGCCTGCCAGCATGCCGGCGCAATCGAAGTTGGCGATGAAGTCCAAGCCCATCGCGCTGACCCTGAGAGAGTTCAATACACTGAGGGCTTGGGGAATGCCCAAGGAAGTGTGTGACTCTCAGAGCTCATGACATTCTGACTGAAATGATCATTGGTTGACCCTGGACAAGAACTCATCCTATTGATTCTGAGACTTCATCTCTTGGACATGATCGCTCAAGAGACTCCAGCCAGCGCTCCAGAATGTAAAAGGGTCAGGGTCTTACAGTGATGTTGACTGTTGTGGGTACCTTTGAAAAAAAACGATGCAATATCTTCTGGATATCTTCAGTGAGAACACTGATGTATATAGGGCCAGCCACCCCCTTTTTCTGAAGCAAAGATCATCCCTCACCCCAGGATTTGAAGCTTTTGGACATCTTTAGCGGCAAAGCTGCTGTCTCGAAGTATTTTCGCCCTGCCCTCAGGGTCCCAGATTCAAGTGGCCACGCAATTTCCCCAACAGGTTTTCTTTTGTGTGCATCCAAGTGTCATGGTGTAGAGCTTCCGCAAGTTGCCAAAATTGCAAGGCGATCAGGGCCAGAAATCGCTTTGTCCTCAGTTTGAAGGGATGCTAGATGTTCCACTTAATTTACATGCAAAGCTGGGTTAGTCGGCTACAACTTGCCCAAAAACACAAAAAAGGAACCCCCCTTGGCACTCGTCCTTGGGGAAGCGGGCTGCGCCAGTTCCAGATCTACTTGAATTTATCTCCCATACCAAATGCCAAGGGAAAAGTACGACATCGTCGAAGGAGATCATTGCGATCTTCGAACAGCGTCCGCTTCCCAGGTCTCTCATGCAATTGCTACATTAAAAATGAATTTTGTTGGAAACAACATGTTTATGGATTAGGATGGGTAGGATTGGAGACGCAGATGATTTCATTTTTGGAATTCAATCTCTTTTACCACAATTGGTGCAGAATTGTTTCAATGTTCCTAGATCAGTCTAACACCAGCATCCTCAATGCTTCATAGACCTACTCACACTTCTTAGGAATGGATTCAAGCACCTTCTGCATTTAGCCTTGCGCTTGGAAGAGGATGGTCTTTCGACCGTTGGATTACCATGTACCTCCTACATTTTCATCAATGCAGGAACACATAAACGGTCAAGTGCCACACCCTATGGTGCAGAAGAATTGCAGTACGTCAAGGATGCCAACTTGTTTCTTGTGACTCTCAATTACGGTTTGTACTTTTTTATTCTATATGGGGAACTACGATCAAAATAGGTCAATTTTTTTGGTGCTGTTCTCGGGGATGTGTTGGCCAAGTTCCCACCCACTCAACACCAAGATGCCACGCCAGGTTGACAAGCAGGGTCATCATGGTCCTGATGGTGATCACCGTCAGATGCGCGTATTGGCTGTTGGAGCAGCCGGGGACGAGTCAGTTGATCCATCACCCAGAGCTCAAGTTTCTTTTGGCCCAACTGGACGCATTCTTTGGGCACGAAATCACTCGATTGTCATTGCCTAAGCTTTCATGCACATGCAGCCCAAAGTGCGCACTGTGTAACAAAATTGAATCATTAAAAAAACATACCATGACCATGATACACACGTGTCACATTGGCTTTGCCCCGCTCAGCTGGATGGCTTCATGGGGAGCGACTTCCCCGAAGCCAAGTTTGGCCATTGGAAATTGGTAAGGGTCTAAGCTTGAATTCCGGTGACAAACTGGTCTAAGTTGTAGTTGGCCTACGAGAATTTCAAACTTCCCACCATCAACCCGCATGCTGCTGAGTCCTTGGATTCCTCGTCTTCGCAAGACGCTGCCAAAGAAGAAGCGAGTCAAGCTTTCCTCAGCGGGGATTACTGTGAGAAAGGTAAATTCCCATGGTGTCCTTCGAGTGTCGTTGACTCAGCCTGGAAATCTCTATCGATATATCTATCTAGTAAGTATGTTCCCCGGGTATGGGTCAAAACTCTTATCGTTATACGTTATTTCGCAAAAAAATGTGGAGTTCAGTTGATCTATGTAATGTGATAACTTTGGGATTTGACCCACACCCCATCTTCGGTGTGCAATGTTTTGGGGAAACAAACCTTTGAATCATCAATTGTTTCCTGAGGTCTGGGGGGCCAAAGCTAAAGCAAACACAAGTTTACCCCTATCGGTTTGCGGAGCGTCTCTTTCGCCTGCATACTGAGTACAAGGCTCCATGATTTCCTTTTTTGGTCTCAACATGTGAACAAGCAACATGTTAGCACAGATGAAGATACCATACATCAATCTCCAAACGCTTCCAAAAATAGCATCCGGAACCCTGACCTACTAGTGGACTTACTATTGGATCTTTACAATCTTTATTTGGGTGAGTCGTATGTGGTACTTGCCGGGGCATCGGCTTTTTGAGAAGAACACCCGTTTGTCAGGTGCGCTTTTCGTACAGCCTACGTGCCAGCTTTGCCTCGGCTGGTGAGATGAAACCTGTGAAGGCTAGCAATTTCCGGTTTGTTTGCCACCACTAAAGAAAATTACAAGTGAAGGCCCCTCCTGTGAAGTGGTGCTACAAGGTTCCCTATATTATATTATCAAAGGCATTGAGATCAATAAATGCAAATGGATTCGATGGTTTGGTAATTTTCCTCATCCCCTCGGGTACTTAGCCGGTTTACCTCATAATTTACATTTTGAGCTTTGGGCCAAAACACCTTTATGGTGGAAACAGTTTCCTTGGGGGTCATGCTGGGAGGTGCCTGACGGTGCCCGAAAGTTCTTTGAGCGATGTGGCCTGTCTGAGCTGCGGGCTTTTATTACCGGCCAGGTGGTCGAGGGAGAATATTCGCCCATATTCTGAGTCTTTAATTTCCCCGGCATTAATTTGTCTAAGATGTTTTCATAATTTGTGTTGACCTGTCTCCTTGACAAACCTGGGCTACTTGCAAAATCATTTCCAACTCAGAAGTGAGTTGGCCAATTCGATGGGATTGCCCTTGGTGCTGCCACAAAACATATAATATAAGCAGAAACCCAACAGAAACATAAAAGAAAACATATCAGAATTTAACATTGTACATATTAAACACTGACCCAGCGAGTGTTTAAACACCATAACTAAAACGATGGTATTCAGATGAAGCATAACAGGAAACAAAGAAAACAAAGAAAACACACAAAAACAACACATAAAACGGAAACATGACAGAAACATAGAACTAAAACATAACATAATTCAGTTTTAAGCAATTTTAAAAATATAAGAAACAAAAAGCATGTCACATAAAAACAAACCATAAAAAATAACAGAGGCATTAAACAAAAGCAAAAACTGCGAAACAAAAACAGAAACATAAAATATAAAAACAAAACTTAAATAAAATAAAGAGGAAACTGCAAAACACAACAGTAGCACAACGTAAAAACAAAACATAAAACATAAAATAGAAAGCAAATTGCGAAACATAACAGAAACATAACATAAAAACAAAACATAAAAAACATAAAATAACGAGCAAACGGCAAAACATAACAAACATAACACAAAAACAAAGCATACAACATAAAAACAGAGAGAAAACTGCAAAACATAACAGAAACATAACCAAAAACAAAATATAAAACATAACATAGAGCTCAAATGACAAAACATAACAGAAACATAACATAAAAACAAAACATTAAACATAAAATAGAAAGCAAACTGCAAAACAGAACAGAAACATAACATAAAAAACAAAACATAAAACATAAAACAAGCAGCAAACGGCAAAACATAACAAACATAACACAAAAACAAAGTATAAAACATAAAAAACAGAGAGAAGACAGCAAAACATAACAGAAACATAACTAAAAACAAAACATAAAACATAACATAAAAACAAAACATAACATAAAAACAAAACATAAAACATAAAATAGAGAGCAAGTGGCAAAACATAACAAAAATAACATGAAGACAAAACATAAAACATAAAATAGAAAGAAAACTGCGAAACATAACAGAAACATAAAAATATTTTACATGTTTGACTACCCTGCTCTCAGCACCAAAGCCCGGAAGGGCCCAAATCACGCGTGAATCCCCGTGAATTTCCGTGAAAAGGACCTCCCATTGCGTGAAAGGACCTCCCATAGCGTGAAAGGCCCGTGAATTGGGGGCCTAAATTTCATCAATTTTTGAGTGATGGAACATCATGAGAAAACATGAAAATTATGCCATCAGAACATGTCAGAGCCCCACTTTAGTTGTTCAATAGCTTAGTTGATCCATTTATTCAAAAATTTCCAAACAATTCCAATCATACTCCTTCCATTTTAAGGTTTCCCCTGGAACGCCCACCAATCACAGTCTAAAATGCGGGATTAACCCCTTATTGGGTTCGAATCCTTTCCTGGATTCAAGCAGTTGGCTCAAGACTTGGTTTAAATTGGGGTTCCTCCCAAAATGCCGCTTTCTGCTGCCGCCCAAGAGGCGATGGCGAAAGCCAAAGCCCGTGCGGCGAAGGTTGGCCTGACGAGCGCGTGGGGCGCCCAGCAGATGAAACATTTTCATCTTCTGATTCCAAGTCAAAGCCATGATTTTCTTTGAACCTGGTGATTTTAGTGGCACTATGTAGCAATACAATCTACACCCACTATGTAACCGTTTGGGCTTTAAATGTTGACACGTGCCTTCAATGGTACTGTTGGGTGCCATGAGGCCAGAAAGTACCCCGCCACGTGCGCCCTGGTCAATTTGGGAAAAATGTGGGATCATTGGGAATGATATATAATGTTTAATGGGTCAAACTGCCAGGCTAAGGTTTTTTGTGGCTGTGTAATAAGGCCTAAGGGTTAGTAGGCACAATGGAATTCCTACTATAGGTGTCAAATATCACAAAAACGCAAAACGTGCACGAAAATAAAACCTCAAGACATAGATTGCTTTTTCTTGATTAGTTTTGATCTCGAAGTGTCCCATGGACAGGTACTGGCATCAACTCGTTGGATTCTCAAGATACCATTCCAGCAACTCCTCGTGCTTTAGAACAAGCCTTGCAGGAGACTCGTGAACTCTTAGAAAAAAGGAAGGCTGAAGAGAATGTAGAGGATGAGGGGCGCAACAAATTCCAAAGGTCTGGAACTGTAACGAGTGAAAAACTTTTTGAAGAAGGTGCAGTGTATGAGAACTACTGGGATGAACAAAAGGCCGAGAATGAGTCTTGGTCTCACAGCAACCACGGTGGCAGCTGGGGATGGGGATGGCGACGCCGCTACAATTGGTCGTGGGACTGGGACTGGGACTGGGACTGGGAAAGTCAGCAGCAGCTTCAGCGCCCCAGCACTTTAGAGCAGTTGACCGGGGAGACTCGGGAAGTAGACTCAGACAAGGGTGAGGAAGCAGCCAAACGACAGAAAACAAAGCATGAATCAGCCCTAGGCAGCAAAGGTGAGAAGGTCGAGGAGAAGAAAACTTCAGAGCCTTCATGTCAGAAGGAAGGTGACCAGATTGAGGAGAAGAAAGCTCCAGAGGCTTCAGGACAGAAGGAAGGTGACAAGGTCGAGGAGAAGAAAACTTCAGAGGCTTCAGGGCAGAAGGAAGGTCACAAGGTCGAGGAGAAGAAAGCTTCAGAGGCTTCCGGACAGAAGGAAGGTGACAAGGTCGAGGAGCAGAAAACTTCAGAGGCTTCAGGGCAGAAGGAAGGTGACAAGGTCGAGGAAAGGAAAGCTTCAGAGGCTTCAGAACAGAAGGAAGGTGACAAGGTCGAGGAGAAGAAAGCTTCAGAGGCTTCAGAACAGAAGGAAGGTGAGAAGGCCGAGGAGAAGAAAACTTCAGAGGCTTCAGGGCAGAAGGAAGGTGACAAGGTCGAGGAGAAGAAAGCTTCACAGTTTTCAGGGCAGGAGGAAGCTGACCAGATCGAGGAGAAGAAAACTTCAGAGGCTTCAGGACGGAAGGAAGGTGACAAGGTCGAGGAGAAGAAAACTTCAGAGACTTCAGGGCAGAAGGAAGGTGACAAGGTCCAGGAGAAGAAAACTTCAGAGCCGTCAGGTCAGAAGGAAGGTGACAAGGTCCAGGAGAAGAAAACTTCAGAGGCTTCAGGACAGAAGGAAGGTGAGAAGGCCGAGGAGAAGAAAACTTCAGAGGCTTCAGGGCAGAAGGAAGGTGACAAGGTCGAGGAGAAGAAAGCTTCACAGCTTTCAGGGCAGGAGGAAGCTGACCAGATCGAGGAGAAGAAAACTTCAGAGGCTTCAGGACGGAAGGAAGGTGACAAGGTCGAGGAGAAGAAAACTTCAGAGACTTCAGGGCAGAAGGAAGGTGACAAGGTCCAGGAGAAGAAAACTTCAGAGCCGTCAGGTCAGAAGGAAGGTGACAAGGTCCAGGAGAAGAAAACTTCAGAGGCTTCAGGACAGAAGGAAGGTGAGAAGGCCGAGGAGAAGAAAACTTCAGAGGCTTCAGGGCAGAAGGAAGGTGACAAGGTCGAGGAGAAGAAAGCTTCACAGCTTTCAGGGCAGGAGGAAGCTGACCAGATCGAGGAGAAGAAAACTTCAGAGGCTTCAGGACGGAAGGAAGGTGACAAGGTCGAGGAGAAGAAAACTTCAGAGACTTCAGGGCAGAAGGAAGGTGACAAGGTCCAGGAGAAGAAAACTTCAGAGCCGTCAGGTCAGAAGGAAGGTGACAAGGTCCAGGAGAAGAAAACTTCAGAGGCTTCAGGACAGAAGGAAGGTGACAAGGTTGACGCCAAGGACAGGAAGGCTGGCCAAGAGGCAAAGGACAACAAGGAGAAGAAAGGAGACAACCAACCAGCTGATACCCCACAGAAGAGCGAAGAACAATTGAGAAAAGAGAAAGAAGAAGCCGAGAAGTTGGAGAAGAAGAAGAAAGCCCACGCCATGTATATGAAGTTCTTCAGGAGCGTCACAAGTTCGGATCTTACACTTGTTGACGTTGTTTAAGGTGTGTATGCTTTTATGATGTGGGCTTATGTATCGTATTCTCAACAATCCAAATTTTTGAAATGTACTCATGCTGACACGCTGACACACATAAGGCAATGTTGGGACACCGGAGGAGGTGAGACGCATCGGGAAAAAGGCAGTGGGATGTGGGCACCTCAGCACATCTCAGCCATGTGTGATTATAAGCATTTGCGATTTGCCATACGTGACTTGCCACGTAGCTATTTCTTAGCCACAGTTCTGAAAATTAATTCAGCAGCGATGATAAGTTGTAAACAATATTTCAATATGTTTGATGCCTGATTTGCTTCAGCCACGAGGTAATTCTTTGATGAGCACCTTGTACGAATCTTGGACCCAGTGTGGCGGGGACTGGAAGAAAAGTTCGATATATTTGAATGCTACCTGCAAAGACACGAACAAGCGTCGTGGCGAGCGGAGGTGGATGATATGGAAGGATATCGTAGAGAAATTTGGGTTCCAGGGGGCAACAGACTTGGTCGAGTACAAAAAGAGCAAAAAAGACTTGGCCAAAAACGAAATACGCAAGCACCCCGATGCCCCGGACTCAGAGGAGACCCGTTTGGTTTGCCAGTGCCAAAAGACTTAACAATATGCAAAAAGGAACCCTGGGGGGGTTCCTTTTTGCAACTTTTCCTTGGTGGGGGCTTTCTTTGGGGTTAGCAGGAAAATTGCTACACCGGGCTCAACCATTTTTAAAAGCACATGAATTCTGTCCCAAACTCAAATGACCTTATCTTTATTGCAATGGTGCCTTCAAAAAATCCCTGTCATTTGGACAGGAGTTGACCCAATACCTTCTCCTCGACGCGGACATAGAAGTCGACGAGCATGAAGAGACTGTGAAGCGAATGTTTCAAGCTCTTGAGTGTGAGAGTGAGTCTGATTCCAGTGAGTCAAGCTCCGTCGCCAACAGCGACAGTTCGGATTCCAGTGAGAAGCAAAAAAAAGAAAAAAAGGACGCAACATAAGTTCAACGATATCTCATGACTCACATATTACACAGTCACGCACCATTTGAACTTTGCCAAGATGTGTTTGTGTTAGAAACATGTGCATGTGTTTTCCTGTCTGGATAGGATTCAAAGAAGTCAAAGAAGGAGAAGAAAGAGGTGAAAAAGCCAGCCAAGAAATCAAAAAAAAACAAAGGTTCCCGGCCGAAGAACAAGAAAAATGACAAGAAACCTAAGAAAGCCAAAAAGGAGGATGATGATGATGATGATGAAGAACAGAAGGAGGTAGCTCACAAGAAGGAAGTTTTGAAAGAAGGAAAGAAGGCTGCACCTGGCTTTCTATAATGGCGTTAAACAGCAACCAATCTCACCCGGTTAATTCTGCTAGCTTCCAACCCAGATCGGCAGAGGTTTTTTGTCACACATGTAAATGATGCACATGCTACATGGGCCCAAATGCCCAAAGGATACTTTTCCATATTTTTCCCCAAACACAATTTTCAAAGGATCAAAGCGACTCGACTCCCGAGCCTTTTTGCCATCTCCATCTACCCACTTGCAGAATGAGGCCATCAATCTCGCCGATCGCAAGATCAAAGACTCCAACACAGCCTTGGCGAACTGTGCGCACTTGCTGGGTGGCCCAGGTTATTGTCAATCTGCGCAGTAGCGCTCTTATGAAAAGGTTGCCAATATTATTTCACTTAGGTGTGATTGGAGGGTTGGGTTGGGGGTTCCTTTGAACACTGCAGGAGCGAAAAGCTACGTGCAGCAGTGGTCGGGGACATCGAGGCCAAACCTCAACGTACATTTGTCGATTCGTTCATAAAAATATCCCAAGTTTTTACTTTTCATGTTTGGTTGGATTCTGAAACGCCCATGGAATCAAAATCACACCCAGTGACCCAGTAGTGGTTTTAGTGTTGATCTGTGAGTGGCCACCTGCACAACACCACAAGCCATCTGCCAGGAAGCCGTGAAATCGATGCAAACCCACCGCGAAGAGTTGCAGCGAGCCTTGGACAAGGACAAGGCTACCCATGTCCAGGACTGTATTTTACAAGTTTCTCTGTTGCTGATGGTGATATAGTTAAGTGTACATCCCTTTATGCTAGTTTCCCCATGATTCATACTGATGGTAAAAGCACATTCTGGGAGTTACCGACTACATCATGCTTTAGATGCTATTTATATTATTTAGTCATATCCACATTTGAGAATGTCACAACTTTGAGTTTCCCATTGTACTAATGTTTCCACTGTGTCCCCATTGCCATGACCATGTCCTTATTACGTTAGTTTCCCTGTCATATCCATCCAGATATAATGTTTACTGTTGTGTATTCCCTACCTAATACAGGAAACATTTATGAAGCGCAAAAATAATAATGTTCATATTTTCATTAAGTGTACGTCAGATATCCCCCTTCTGAATGGATTTCCCTGCCGGGTTGTCGTTTTTGGCCAGGTCAGTGACATCGAAGATGCTACGCAGAATGTGAACGAAACCATCAAATCCTATGATGATGCGGCCAAACCGGCCAAGAAGAATCCCAAAGGGAAGTAGAACCCTGTTTAGCTTCAATGGGATGGATCAAACGATCCTTGAAATTTTGACTTAGCTAAGTCGTTGGAAATGTCCCAACGCTTGACCAGGGATCAGTGTTAGCTCCTGCCTTAGTGGGCTGGCCCCAAGTTTGGAAATTCAATTGCAGAAAAACACATTTTCGTTCAGGGTTGGTTTGGCACCCTTGCTCCCCATCTTGAAAGCAAACAAATGCAAACCAAAGTAATCCGCGTACAGGGATATGCTTGGGTGATTTCTGTCCAAACATGGGGGCGAGTTTGGCAGTAGCGGGCTGGTAGGGCCATGTAGGGCCTCTTAAGCTGAGAAGCATCGAACCACATGCTTGGCGACAAAACCATGGCTGCATTTCCGCACGTGCAGATGATTGTGTTACATTTGATTTTCCCTGTTATGTCTGAATGTAAGGCAATGAATTAGATCGAAGTCAAAAGTAAATGACGACCGTTTTTCCACCTCATAATTCCAGATTTGGAACCCGTCTATTGTATATAATATATACTAGCTGTACTACTTAGACCATGGGTCTTCTATATTAGAATCCCATATATGGAAATTGCCTGCCCTCGCAGAATCGGACTCCGACAATGAGAAGGATGCCTTTGTTGACGACATGTTGAGCCGGGTTGCCGAACAGGCCTGCTGCATCACCCGGGACTGGCCACCCAATGTTTTAGTCAAAACCAGAACCATTTTGTTCGGATTTGTCGCATGCTTCTTGCTGGAACATTGAAAACAAATCATAGTGAAACTATCCGATCACTTTGATCCAGTTGGCCAGCTATAGCGAATGAAATCGTAATGGTGGAAGAACACATTAGGAAACAGTTTTGGGTTTCACACTGTTTGTATCGTGCTGCGCGGGTGCACAGTGTGTATGTGTGTGTTGTGCGCGCACGCACATTTGAGAGGCACAGAGCGTCCAGTCAGCAGTGGGTTCCGCTTCAGCGTTTGCAAAGGACAGAATCGCGTGGCGGGTCATATTTTGATCCTTTGCTGTAAGATTCTAGTTTGTGAATCTAATGCACAGCGGCTAATTTAGATCGATTGCTATCAATCCAAATGTCATTCCAGCAGACGCAGGACATACCAGGTCGTCGTGTGAGTGGAGAGCTGCGAAAGCTTTCCAAGAGCTCGAAGCAGAATTGTTCTCGGGATTTTTGGAGGTACCTACAGCTGCCCTTGGAAACTGGGAGATTCAAATGATTGGTCGGCTGTGTTCATTTTATGGTATTCCTGATGCTTTTCGTGATAGACTTACTACTGTTTTAATATCAAACTAGTTGTGAGTGACGCGTTTGCTTTTTGAACCCAGTTTGAGGAACCCCAGTACATTGAGCTGCCCATCTTGGACCCATCCCAAAGGGATACCGTTTCATCTATGAAGTTTCCCTACCTACTTCCACACGAGGTGCTGGCGTACATGTACTCGATTGGGGCAAGGACTCCTAAATCCCACATACAAATGTATTGGGATTGGGGTCGTCGCTTCAATTGCGGTTGGGCTCGGTTGGGGGATGCTTCAGTTGTGCCAGTGGGCATATATGGCGACGAGGCAAAGTACAACGATGGACCACCACAAGAGAAAATCTTAGGGATATACATCAACTTTGTCCTCTTCCGACCAGCCTCCATACGTCACAGCAGGTTCTTGATTTTTTCAATGAGATCCTGTTTCAACTTGGGTCCAGCCACCATGTACCCATTAATGTGGAAACTGGTAGAGTCAATGCATTTTGCCTACTTGGGGAAATTTCCGAATGGTGAGAAGCTCTGTGATGACGGGAGCCGCTTTCTTGTGACAGAGCTACGTGGCGATCTTGTTTGGCATAAATTTTGCTGGCAATTTGACACTCGGGGCTGGCAATCGCTGAATGTGTGTTTTTTCTGCAATGCCAAAAGCAAGGGGGCAACCGACCTGTACAGCGATCTTGGCACAAACGCTTCGTGGACAAACACTGAATTCAAAGACGTTTGGGATTGGGTGGACAAAGTCCTTCCGCACCGATTGTGATCCTTGCAGGGAAGATTCAGCATGCAGTACTTTGTTGTTTTAAGGGGGTGGTTGTGTTTGGATTTACCCAACAACAAAAAAAACAACATTCGTTTTTGCATGGTGAGGTCCATGGTTGGCCCTCCCTGGGTTTGCGATTGATACGGTGCGCATGTGCACAATGCACAATGTCAACCTTGGCATTCTCCAAAAAATAACAGGTTCGTCGCTGCTTTTCAACTATGTTTGGTACACTGTTATGTTGTTTTTGTTTACAGACTAGATTGTTGTGTTGTTTTTGTTTTGGTACTTGTTTTGTGGTGCCTTCATATGTCTTAATCCATGTTTCGTGGTGTCTGAAGCCAGGTTGACTCTTATCTCAGAGGGGCTCTACGGTTGCCCGGATGACCCGTTGCAAACCAACCTCAACCGCGTTTTTCGAGATTTCAGGGCATGGTGCAAAAACAACAAGAAACGTTCAAGCCAGCGTTGTTTCACTGTTGGAATGGTTTCTAGGCATTGTACTTGTTGCAAGTTTTTGATGACATTGTTTTTTTTGCTCACCGTATCTATTCTAGGTAATGTTTCTTCTGTTCAGATCATTCCCTGAGCTTAGGTGATCAAGCAGAACAACAATGTCACGCTCACACACAAAGCTTACAATGGTCGAATCATAGGCGCATATGCCTCTGAAGTCTCGAAGCTTGCCGCTGAGAAATGCTTAGATGCGCCAGGTCCAAACCGCATCTATGGTCAGTGGTTGAAGGAGCAGATTACCAATGGAACAGGGCACATGCCTTCAGATCCAAAGCTCCCACTAGAGTCTGCCTGTTTGTCACTTAACCTATATAAATACAGTAGCCTATATCATGCTGATTTTCTTTCATTTTTTGAAAGTAAGAGAAAATCCATGAACTAGAATATTTTTTGGGGGGCTGTCTACCTTATGGCCTAGGCGAGCAACTGAGAGATGGTTTGGCCTTGTGGAGCGGGCAGGTCGGTACTTGCTGCTGGGAATGGTTCGTACTGATTTGCATTTTCCCCCAAGAATTTGTGAGGTGACCATTGCAACCACTGCAACCACTCCAAAGAAGAACTCCAGCCACCTTTTGGTCCATCAGTGGATTAGCTGTGCCATTCATGATTCACAACAACCAAGCTCTCCTTTATAGGTTTCCTATCTTTGAAACTTCCACCGCCGCTTTGTGCAGGTACTACTGGTAAGAAAGGGCAAGAACGGTATTCTGATCCTTTTAGAATTTGGGGTGGATTGTTGTTTGAGGTCCACTGCTGAAGCATCTGATATCTACGAAGCTGGCCAGACTTGTCTCCAATCCCACAAGTGTTTGACTGCCATTCATGTCAGGCACTGGGTTGTGAAATTTGTGTTTTTCATTTTGTAATTTGTTTTTTTAATGGCTGGGCCCTGGTTCAAGGCAACAGCATGACTGGACTGCACAAGGGATTACATCTCGGCCAGTTCAGTGGGTGCTTACTCCGAAAGTACACTCGTTTGATCATCAACTTCAAATTGTTTTGCGAACACGGATGAACAGTCGTCACAACCATTGTTTTGTTGACGAAGATAGCATGAAGAGATTGAAGGCACTTTCAGCGCGCAATCCTTCTGTGAACTTAGAAAGGTTTCTTCTGCGGGCCTCAAGGCTCCAAATGAAGCTTTGTGAAAAAAGAATGGCCAAATTGCGTCAGAGCAGTGCGCGCAGAAGTCACAGGTGACAACTGAGAAGGACATAAGGGTTGGAGATTGCAGCCGACTTGCAATCTGAAAAAGTTCACTTTCACATATTTGCTTTCAAGAGATTAGAAAACAAGGTCAACTGGTCAAACTGGCCAATCTCGTTGGGTGACCGACGTACAGCGAAGAGGTGCCCGGCTACCCTCAACTTAGCTGACTTCGCGGGGATTGAGAAAACATCTGGTGGAACTGTGCGTGTGTGTGTGCGCACTTTGTGTGGGTTTGTGGGATTAAATTGGAAAAGATTACAACTTATATGATGTTATATGATGTTTTATGATGTTATATGATGTTATATTCTGCCTAATGATGTTTTTATGATATTATAGGATATGCCTAACACCATCATATATCATTATATGTCATTTATGATCATTATATGTCATTCATAAACATTTATGAGGGCCTTTGGCGAAAGGACCTCTGTATGAAGGCCTTTGGTGAAAGGACCTCAGTATGGAGGCCTTTAGAAGTGTAGGGTATATATAACTAACAACAATGGTGCGATTTCATGGGAATATCATGGGATGTTATGTTATGTGGATATAACCGAATATCATTATGGGGAAATTTGAGTCCCCTGGTCCCAAACTATGTTGGCAGTTTTTCACTGGTCCCAAACTGCCAAACTATACTAGGGAAAGTGCGGAAATATCATATTTTGTTGGGAGTTGTTCCCTACCATAATGTCTCAACCAGGGTTATAGTAGAGATATAATGGGGATATAGTAGGGATATAAGTGGGACACAGTGGGAAAGAATATATTAAACTGTGTTGTCTCGGATCAATTGGGAATATAGTAGCGATATAATGATATAATGGTGATATCTTGTGGAAAAATAATGGGATATATGTACTGGGGATATACGTGTGTATATCTATATATTTGCATACATTGGGGATATGTGTAATTAACCAACAATATTTTATATTTGAAATATATCGGATATATACGGATCTCATCGGGCAATATGACAAAGAACCGTTAAAACTATGAGGATACAGTGCGGATATGCATAATCATCCATATTTAATATTGGGATTATCCGCAAATTAGGTTTCTTCTAGTGGACTTCAAGGGGTAGACGAACTGGATGGACCCCAGTTTCTATCCGACCCGAGTCACCATGTGGTCGCCATAGCGAACTGTTAGTTTACTTGAGGGAAATTAAACCATGTTGGCGAAAATATGCTACCCCAACGAGGCAATTTTGGAGATGTCCCACCGTTTCATTTTTGCTCGCCAGAACTCAATTTCTGTAGATGCACCAAAAGTCTCAAGGTCGAAACTTCCCAACAACTACAGAAAATATTGATCCTCTAACATCAAAAACGTGTGAACAATCATTTACATTTTGTGAATATCTTACACGTACTAACGACGAACTATGTTATATGAGACACTTTTCCGTATGGGGGTGGTCCTTGGTAACTCTGCCAGTGTGAAGTACATCATTTGTGACGGGCACGGCACGGATCTCACGAGATGTTGAAGAAGGCTTGCCTTGGCATTCGCATTGACTTGCCGCGACAGCTGGAGGAAATAGTCCCATTCTTCAGCAAGCTAGAGGTACGTGATCTTCCAAGGGTCAGTTTCCCCATCAACAGAAATTGAGCGGCCTTTCCCCAAGCCAAGGTGCCGCATGCCAACATCACGGTGTTCCCAGTTTTGAGAAGTTTTGCGTTAACCAGGCACCTCAACTAGAGGTATGTCAGCTAGCACAGCCAGCTCCAATTGCACCTTCACCTTCAGTGGCTTCAGTGCCAGTGGCGCCAGTGGCTGCGCCTGCAGTGCCACGATTGTGTCCTCCAGTGGCTCCGGAAGGTCCTCCGAGGAAGAAGGCGAAGCTCCCTGGACCAATCTCTACAAAGGCGAGACTCTCTGGACCAATCTCTGCAAAGCCGGTCCCTCCCAAGGCAATGCCAGTGCCTTGTGAAGGTAATTCGTTCCACTGGTTTGCACGGCCTGCCTCAGCACGTGTCTAAGAACCTGTGCGAGCAGCTGAGAGGGGTGCTGAGGACAGTCTACTTTGGAGACAAGTTTGTGGACTTTACAGGTGGGATGGATCTTGGCCTTGGGCCTGCTGCTTTCGTAGGCCATGACACCATGTCAGATTGGCAAGCTGCTTTGATTTTACTGGGCCACACGTCAAGTAGGGCCCGGGCAAGCCAGGTGACGGAAGTTTCGGAAGGGGGGAAGGCTATAAAGAAAAGGGAAAGCCTATAGGAACGACGCCTGGCAGCCTGGCTGGCACGGCCGTTGACTCCGTGATCTCTTGGAACTCTTTGTCCTTGACATTTCTTTCTTCTCGACAGCTTGTCTGATATTGCCACTTTCTCTTGATCCCGCTTGCTCCTGACATGTCTGAATCTTGACAGACCTTCCGGTTGCTTGCTGCTTGTCTGGACGTCTTTTTCCCCCTTGCAAATTACATTGTTCCTGCCTGCACAGATACACAAGATCAGGTCCGTGCAGCGCTGACAAAGCGGACCACTGTTACGCCACCTGAGCGCAAACCGAGCGCGAGCCGCACCCGTCGCACAAACACATTTCCCCACATCGCAATTTCTACCCTCTGCGCAACCCTTCATCTCTTCACATCTCTAACCTCTCCACTTTTGGACAGGAGCTTAGACTTCTAAACTTCCTTTGATGATTTTGTTTTTATAGTACACATACATATACAGTGGAAATTGATATGTATATATACATATATAATCATATATATATATGTGTGTGTTTTTATTTCATTTATTTACTTATTTATTCATTGATTATATATATATATATGTCTATGTATTATTTGATATACATATGATGTACAGTTGATATGTGTATGTGTACTTTTGCTAGAATAGATATTTTGTAGATGCTCTTACATCGTATGATATATATCTATACACATATTTAGTTAATTTATTTGTTATTATGTTCTTTTTTATTATTGTTCTAAATATATATATATACATATATATATACATATATATATACATATATATATATATATACATATATATGTTTTTACATATAATCATATATTTTTACACGTTTATACATATATATATATATGATTAATTATATATATATGTGTGTGTGTTTTATGAAATATATATATATACGTATTTAAAATATGTGTTATATATATATGTATAGATTTATGTATGTATATATATATATATCATATATCATATATATATATATACGTGTGTGTGTGTGTTATATTTATAAATGTTTTGTGCATGTATTAATACTCTATATATTTATATAGATAGATCAGATAGATCCAATCTAACATTTACATAATTAACATAGGTATAGCTTGGATATTTTCATCCATCCCCATGGAGATTCCGAGCAAGGCTGCCGGCTACACCGCCACCCCTGAAGAGGCCAAGGCCTCGACAGAGGCCCCATGGCCGTGGGCTACCGATAGCCATGGCTATGAATGTAGTAGTTTAATGGTGATATCATAGGGATGTAGTGAGATATAGTATAGAATATATAACTAACGTGATATGAAATGTTGGGCCAACTAATCCAGTACTTGGGCTGGATGCCTATGGAATACAAAGTATTCATGGATGGGATTATTAGTGGATGTGTATTAGGGCTATTGCGGATGGGATGAGATGACTCATATTTATTCATCAGAATTGACTTAAGGTTACAGATTCTTATTAAATATTGTTAAGTTACTACTAGAAACAAATGAATTATGGATCTATATCAAATATTATTTATAATCCAGATTTGTCTGAACATGTTCAGATACTTGGCATTTTATTCTACCGGAGGGGTGGGTAATTTTATTTTTATCGTTTTTTTACCCTTCCTCCTAGCACCCAAGGGATACTAATGAATAAGTATTAAGGATTGGATGCGATTATTAATCATAACGGGTAATTGAATTTCTATCTTTGTAATATTAGCCAAGAAAAACTGATGGATGGGATTATCAATCATTATCAACCACTATTAATCATATCTAATACTTAGCTTCACAATATTAGACTTTGAAGGTTCAGGAACAAAAGTTGTCTTTTAGGTGTTTAACCACAATAATTTGAGGTCTAAAACCAACAGGTTTTGGAGATACAATCGGATTTAAGTAGATATAAGACTATGTAGGTGATAGTAGTCCCTTGATTCACACCAATCACCAAATTATATTAAGTTTACATTAAAAGAATCAACAGTTGCAGTATATTGATATGTTTCCCCCTATTGAAAATTGTGATTTACGCATCAAAAATGTAGGTTTAAGATGGTTTCTCCATCCTGAAACGGTATATACCTATATATATGTGTGTGTGTGTAGATACAGCCAATCCAATATTCAATATTGAATACCGTTCCCATACTTGTATGGACCCAAAATCATTGATGGATGGTTCAGGTTTGGTGCGGTTTTTTTTTGGCCAATTTGCATAGTCATTGATGCTAGTCCGGCTGCTATAACAAACCAGGCTATATTTAAGACCATGTCTTCATCTCTGACTAACCATGATATGTTTTTTTGATATATGTGTTTTATCACTAACAGGAGGTTATGAATTGTTGGTACTAACTTTTTGAATGTGGCAAACCCAATAAAACATCCACTGAATGTCCATAAATGGGTCCTACAAACCATCCCCAAAGCAGTTTGGCAGGTTTATGGCATTGGGTGTCCCACATCATACCAGTACGATGGGATTGTGATCATTAAATCACTATCGTGTCAATCACTATTAACATCATATTTAATATCATATCAAACGTATTTTACTTTAGTTAATACAACATTCGTCAATATTCAAAAAGCAAAACACAAGAATAATTTCCAAACTGTATAGATACTATACAGATATTGTATCAAATATGTTATAAAGATCATCTACATTGTATCAGATCTTATATGCCAGTATACGATATTAACACTATGGATACTATAGAACATACTACAGTAAATACTATGGAATAATTTGATTCATGAGCATGATATTTAAAAAATATATATATATATATATATTAGCTACTGTTACTATGAATGCTGTTAATGCTGCTGCTATGTTACTGCTATGTTACTAGTAGTGCTACTACTAATGCTACAAATAGTGTTAATTCCGGATGTGTCCTATTATAGTGATTACTATTTTTAGTAGTATATACTAGATACATAGGAATTTCCTAATATAATAATTTACTATTAAACTGCTCTAGTATTATTAATATCCATTAATTATATACTGGAAACTACTTGGAATGCTACTGCTACTGGAAACCATTAATAACATTATTACCGATTACCCATCATTAACCATCGTTAATATTATGGTACTACATACTATTATAGTTAATGCTATTGCTATGATTCCATTATTGGTAATGACCAATCATTTTCATTATTAAGTAGTACTAGTAGTTTCCATTAATTATATAATTAGTACTAGTAGTTTCCTCTAATTATATAGTACATTCGCTATAGTATTTGCTATTAAACTACTAGTAATGCTACTGCAGTATATAAAACTTGATATAGTAATACTATATGACTAGTAACATCTAGTACTGTTAAATGTATGATACTTATATTACTATAGTACTATTGATTAAACTCTTTCCAGGCGCTTCTGAAGTTGGCAGCTCCCAGTGGCATCCTGGCGCGTTCCGCCCTGGTTGGCAACGAGGACATCTTCGGCGCCTCGGGGAGAAACGCGGTGGAGCAACGGGTGATTTTGGGCCTGGAAAAAGTTGGGGGAAAAGTCGAAAAATGATGGAAACATATGGAAACCCTGGGATGTTTGTGTGATTTTGGGTGACATGCCTCAAAAAAAGTGGGTTGAATAGGAGGAAAGCGGAAAAAATGTGCGGTTTATTCCAAGTAACCGAGGAGTTGAGAAAAATTGGTGCTTTATCCGTGGGGTTGACCATCAAAGGAAGCCTTCAGATTGGTGGATACCCCGTTGATCATAGTTCGCAGTTTTATATCCGAATTACAGACAGCAACCCGAAAAATTAATCGGAAAATTCAAAAAACTTGAAAATTCCGAAATATCATCTACCATCCTGGTCCTGGAAACACTAATTGTTTATCCTTTGTTTGGCATTGCTATAGGCGTCTTGGAGATGTTGACCTATGGCTTGTCGCTTGGCGAAACGAGCTGCGAGCTGCGATCGTTGGAATTGGGTGGTTTGTACTGGTGATGTCATGGTGATTGAATTTACCCTCTGGTAATTTAACCTAACTAGTGAAAATAAATGAAAATCAACAATTTCTAGTTGATTTACCTATTCAAAATGGTGATTTTCTATACTTATATACTTGTGAATGGGGCAAGAATGAGGAAATAATGGTGATTTGTATTTTATAATAGGATAGTTTCAAACGATACCCTTAAGTGGAGTTGACTTGGTAAATGTGAGTCAATCCACTTGAGGATTTTTGATGGCAAGGATTGTCAAACTTATCTACTGACCACTTACTTAAATAGAATATAATAGAATGATGATCCTCCAGGTATGCCCGTATTCCGCACTGTGGATCCAGTCACTAGATTCACTAGATTTCGCGTTCGGCCTGCGAGCCTCCCATCGAACCACTGCTTCTACCCTCATAAAACATGCCTGAAATATCCCGAAAATCCCCGGTCAGTCGATGTAAACTTCCCATGAAAATGTCCCAGTGGGATTTCCCAGCCATGGGGATTATCCCTGCCGGGCCGCCGGGTATCAGGAAAGGCACCTGTGCCTATTTTTATCACGCACCTTGGCCGAGAGGTAAATCTGGGGTGTTGCGAAATCTTTTGCCATGGGAGAATCTGTTTAATAGTATATAATAAAAATAAACACACTCATGATAGCAATATGATAATAATACCCAGCTATTTCTTGGGGGTACCTAAGGTTGCCACAGATATTTGTGGGATTTTGTGGGTATCCCATTTTCAAGGTCAAGTAGTTGGCTAGTAAAGTTTGTGTGTTTTATTCCCCACATCTTTGTGTGGGGTTCTTGTTTTTGATTCTGTATCCCGGGCTTCTCCTCCTCCTCCCGCCGCCTCCGTAACACAACACACACAAACTTAACATACAATAATTTCACACACACAAACTTAACACACA